GGACCGTTCCTCACCCGGGTCTTGAACTCGGACCCATCGGAACCGCAACGCATGTCTTTACGCAGTGCGCCAACCGAGCACTCACCAATAAAGACGCTCGAACTCCTAAAAGTACCTCAAAGTCGGTCTTCCGTGTTTAACTTTAAAACTCCAGCTGTCACTCTGGATAAAGAGGGTGCTTTGGACAATTCCGCCTGCAGGTCTTGAACTCAGATCCATCGGAACCGCAACGCATGTCTTTACGCAGTGCGCCAACCGAGCACTCACCCATCAAGCCGCTCGAACTCCTAAAAGTTCCTCAAAGTCGGTCTTCCGTGTTTAACTTTAAAACTCCAGCTGTCACTCTGGATAAAGAGGGTGCTTCAGACCATTCCGCCTGAAGGTCTTGAACTCAGACCCATCGAAACCGCAACGCATGTCTTTACGCAGTGCGCCAACCGAGCACTCACCCATCAAACCGCTCGAACTCCTAAAATTACGTCAAAGTCGATCTTCCGTGTTTAACTTCAAAACTCCAGCTGTCACTCTGGATAAAGAGGGTGCTTCCGTCCGTTCCGCACCCGGGTCTTGAAGTCAGACCCATCGGAACCGCAACACATGTCTTTACGCAGTGCGCCAACCGAGCACTCACACATCAAGCCGCTCGAACTCCTAAAAGTACCTCAAAGTCGGTCTTCCGTGTTTAACTTTAGAAATCCAGCTGTCACTCTGGATAAAGAGGGTGCTTCGGACCATTCCGCCTGCAGGTCTTGAACTCAGGCCCATCGGAACCGCAACGCATGTCTTTACGCAGTGCGCCAACCGAGCACTCACCCATCAAGCAGCTCGAACTCCTAAAAGTACCTCAAAGTCGGTCTTCCGTGTTTGAGTCCCTCAGAGGGCCTCTCAGGGCCTGAGAGGCCCTCAGAGGGCCTCAGAGGGCCCTCTGAGAGGCCCTCTGAGAGTCCCTCAGAGGGCCTCTCAGGGCCTGAGAGTCCTTCAGAGGGCCTCTCAGGGCCTGAGAGTCCCTCAGTCCCTCACTTTAAAACCATGCCTGAAGCAGGCCTTGAAACAAAACCCGGTCTGTATGTAATGCACCAACCAAGCACCTGCTGATCTTACCATTCAAACTTCTACAAGTACCACAAAGTCAGTCTTCCATGTTAGTCCCTCAAAGGGCCTCTCAGGGCCTGAGAGTCCCTCAGAGGGCCTCTCAGGCCCTGAGAGGCCCTCTGAGGGACTCAAACACGGAAGACCGACTTTGAGGTACTTTTAGGAGTTCGAGCGGCTTGATGTGTGAGTGCTCGGTTGGCGCACTGCGTAAAGACATGCGTTGCGGTTTCGATGGGTCTGAGTTCAAGACCTTCAGGCGGAATGGACGGAAGCACCCTCTTTATCCAGAGTGACAGCTGGAGTTTTAAAGTTAAACACGGAAGACCGACTTTGAGGTACTTTTAGGAGTTCGAGCAGTTTGATTGGTGAGTGCTCGGTTGGCGCACTGCGTAAAGACATGCGTTGCGGTTCCGATGGGGCTGAGTTCAAGACCTGCAGGCGGAATGGTCCGAAGCACCCTCTTTATCCAGAGTGACAGCTGGAGTTTTAAAGTTAAACACAGAAGACCGACTTTGAGGTACTTTTAGGAGTTTGAGAGGCTTTATAGGTGAGTGCTCGGTTGGCGCACTGCGTAAAGACATGTGTTGCGGTTCCGATGGGTCTGAGTTCAAGACCCGGGTGCGGAACGGACGGAAGCACCCTCTTTATCCAGAGTGATAGCTGGAGTTTTGAAGTTAAACACAGAAGACCGACTTTGAGGTACTTTTAGGAGTTCGAGCGGCTTGATGGGTGAGTGCTCGGTTGGTGCACTGCGTAAAGACATGCGTTGCGGTTCCGATGGGTCTGAGTTCAAGACCTTCAGGCGGAATGGTCTAAAGCACCCTCTTATCCAGAGTGACAGCTGGAGTTTTGAAGTTAAACACGGAAGACCGACTTTGAGGTACTTTTAGGAGTTCGAGCGGCTTGATGGGTGAGTGCTCGGTTGGCGCACTGCGTAAAGACATGCGTTGCGGTTCCGATGGGTCTGAGTTCAAGACCTGCAGGCGGAATGGTCCAAAGCACCCTCTTTATCCAGAGTGACAGCTGGAGTTTTAAAGTTAAACACGGAAGACCGACTTTGAGGTACTTTTAGGAGTTTGAGCGGCTTGATGGGTGAGTGCTCGGTTGGTGCACTGCGTAAAGACATGCGTTGCGGTTCAGATGGGTCTGAGTTCAAGACCTGGGTGAGGAACAGTCAGAAGCACCCCCTTTATCCAGAGTGATAGCTGGAGTTTTGAAGTTAAACACGGAAGACCGACTTTGAGGTACTTTTAGGAGTTCGAGCAGCTTGATGGGTGAGTGCTCGGTTGGCGCACTGCGTAAAGACATGCGTTGCGGTTCCTATGGGTCTGAGTTCAAGACTTGGGTGAGGAACGGTCAGAAGCACCGGGGCCTCTCAGGGCCTGAGAGTCCCTCAGAGGGCCTCTCAGGGCCTGAGAGTCCTTCAGAGGGCCTCTCAGGGCCTGAGAGTCCCTCAGTCCCTCACTTTAAAACCATGCCTGAAGCAGGCCTTGAAACAAAACCCGGTCTGTATGTAATGCACCAACCAAGCACCTGCTGATCTTACCATTCAAACTTCTACAAGTACCACAAAGTCAGTCTTCCATGTTAAACTTTAAAACTCCAGTTGTCTCTCTGGATGCAGACTGTGCTTCGGAGCACAGTCTGCCTTACGCGGGAACTTAGACTCACCCATAACACATAGCCAGCTAAGGTTTCAAAAAGAAAACACAAAATCAGTGTGGAACTTGTCTTCGTTTTATGAGCACAACCTCTTTAAAGAACAGTTAGTCTTCCATGTTAAAGTTTAAAAGCATGCCTTAAGCAGGTCTTAAGGCATGCTACTTGTAGAAGTTCGAACGACAAGATCGGCAGATGCTTGGTTTGCACAGTGGATCGAGACTGGGTTGCTGTCCATTTGGTTCTTAGTTCAAAGCCTGCTTAAGGCCTGCTTTTAAACTTTAACATGGAAGACTGACTTTGTGGTATTTGTAGAAGTTCGAACGGAAAGATGGGTAGTTGCTCGGTTGGCACACTGCGTAAAGACATGGGTTGCGGTTCCGATGGGTCTGAGTTCAAGACCTGCAGGCGGAACACTGCGAAGCATAGTCTGTATGCAGAGTGTCAGTGAGGGAGCCAACTCTCTAACATGTGCTGGATTCAGCACATGTCAGGGAGGCTTTACTCAGAGAGGTGGAAAGTGGAGGGAGTTCAAGATCTGCTTATGGAATGGTCTGAACCATACACTGCATCCAGAATGTACTATTGTAAATGTTGGAAAGAGAAGGAAGTTAAAGTTCTCAGTCCATGAGAGCAACAATGGACAACGTTAGACTCTCACTGGGTCTAAAGTGAGAGTTCAAGACACGTGTGCTTAACGGTCCAAAGCACACTCTTTATCCAGAGAGACAGCTGGAGTTTTAAAGTTTAACATGGAAGACTAACTGTTCTGATGGTCCTTGGGGTACTTGTAGAACTTAGAATTGAAAGGTGCTCAGTTTACGCAGTCCATAAGAGCAACCAAAAAAAAAGGCACTCTGAGTGACTCTCAGAGTCACCTCCAATGAGATGCACACAGCAAATACATGTATCTCGTATTTCTGTTTTCTGAACAGCACAACTCCTGACATGCCAGACGTGTTCAGTGGCTGTATTTGGCAGCTGTGTGCTTGGGAAAGGGGTGGTCACATGTGCAACTGGAGAGAGTTGCAGCTTCTCACAAGCAAGTAAGTGTAAATATCTGAAAGAGACACCATACTTTTACAGATTATTTATAATAAAGATGTTGTGTAGAGCCTTCTTCAGTCTTTCAAAAAAATCTTAAAGTGGTTCTATTTTAAAAAATAAATAAATATATATATTAACATAAAAGTTATATTATAGATGTATCTTTTTCTAAAAATTTTAATTACCCAGATTATTTACTTATTAATAATTAATTATAACAATTGCAAAATTATTTATTTAAATATTTGTTTACTTATTCGTGTGTTTATTTGTTATTTCGTAGAGTAATAGCAGTATTGGTTGGCTTGGCAATAGAAATATCCCACGCCTGTTGTTTAACTTTCTGATTTCTGTTTTCCGGCACCCTTAGGCTTCCCAGTGGAAGGGTCGCCCACTCTGTACAGCCGGGGCTGTACAGAGTGGGATCTTCCTGTGGGATCACAATCAATGGCACCATCATCGGTTTCGAGTTCAGCAGCAAATACGCCTGCTGCACCACAAACATGTGCAACGGAGCCTCAGCTGTTCAGCGCTCTCTGACTGCCGGCCTCTGTGCCGCCATCTTGTCCTCGCTGTGGGGATTCATTTAGTTCAACATGAAACCTACAGATTTACACGTCTTAATCCTCTGATTTTTCTTTTTCTCCTCCTTTTTCTGTTATTATTTAAAATGTTATGCATTAAATGAAGTTTTAACTAATCAATGTTATTTTCCAGTTGGAGCAGATGGAAAAACAGAAATGCACAAATCTATAATATTGTTCTAAGAGGCTTCCTTATTATTGTTAATAAAGTATATATCATATCAAACATGGATGCTTTGTGTTCATTGACTGTGAACATTTTACAGTTCAGCCGTCTATGTAATTTGTGTTGATAATTATAATGACTGATTTCATTTTCAGAATATTTGGTTTTACCTGCTGGAAAAATGTTCATTTTAGATTAACTCACAACCTTACAAAAGTATTTGCCTTCTTTGTGAAACTAAACGAACATTTATGGCTTTTTGTATATTTTTTATCTTCTACCATCTTAACACAAATGTATTCTGATTGAACAAGTATTTACTAATCAAACAAAGGGATCTGTGTGTCCTGTAGTTTTCCTGAAGCAAAATATTTTGGAGGAGGACATTTTGTTTTCTTCACAAAACTTCCTCCTCAAACTTGCAAAAGAAACAAAACCTGATTACCCTCCTTCTTATCAGTCGTCATTTTCTTGTGTTTCGACCTCAGTTTCTCTTTGGTTCACGTAAACTAAGGCAGCTGAAAATCTGAGTCTCTAATACATTTATTTTATAAAGGTTTCTCTTTATACGCCTGTGAAAAATGAATACAATCTGGAAAGCGGTTTTTGGTCTCAGCACCATAATTGTGGCAGGTGAGTTTAAAAATATCTCTCATTTATTTTAATAGCTGGTTTTAATTAGTCAAATTTCCCTCTGATTTGAGTGATTATAGCCAAACTGAACTGAAACAAACATGATTTCACCACAAGAAAATTAATTTTTATTCACAATCATAAAATTGATGATTACTTTAATTCCTTCTGCTTTTATTTGTAATAAAGTATATATTTTCAAAAGTATTCAAGAGTAAGAATAAAGAGAAAGAATCTTATATCAAGACATTTCCTGTTTATGTGCTCAGAATGCAGAAATTATTTGATAAAAAGTAACTAAAAGTCTTCCCTGGCTTATTTCGAGAAACTAGTTACATTTACTTGAGTAGCTTTTTTGAAAAAAAAAAAAAAAACGCTTTTAGGAGTATTTTTACATTGTTGCACTTTTTAATTTTATTTGAGTAATTTTATTTTGAAGTATCTCTACTCTTACTTGAGTTAAATTTCTAGATTTTCTTCCCACTGAATGAAAAACAAACATGTTTTAATCAAAGATTCACCATAAACAAGAACAAACCTGCAGTTTTTAAAGCTTTATTTTGAAAGAAACATTTGGAAAAATGTATTTTGTCATTTTTGTCCTTAAAATACCAAAATTTCCACTTGACATTACATCTCTGTGGTCCAGCTGATGATGTAATTTTTAAATATGAAATGGTTGATAATTTGATCAATTGCAGTACTTGAGTAGATTTATTTGAGTAATATTTTGGGCGGCTACGTTTTACTTTTACTTGAGTGAAAACATATTGAAGTAGTGCTACTCTTACTTAAGTACTCTGCTTGTTTTCCTCAATTTAGCCAAAAATATGACCAAATAAGTGGACAGAGATATTTAAATTTTCTATATTTCATGCAACCTTATCAACAAAAAGTACATTTACGATTACTTAAAATGATGTGGCACTTTGTGAATGACTCTGTTTGTTTTCTTTGCTGAACAGCGAACTGCCTGACCTGCCGTCAATGCTCTGTTGGCATATTTGGAAGCTGCTTGTTTGGGAGTGACGCCATTTGCGCTAACTCAACAGAGAGCTGCTACACAGGAGAAGCACGTGAGGAAAACCTTAACAAAGCAACGTGACCATCTACAGATAATAAGATTACTATGTTATCCATATCTTAAGGAACTATGTAGTGGAGCCAGTTATTCTGAGCAGATGTGGGTCGTGATAATTGGGTCCCTAAAACATATGACAGTTAATTAAAGTAAATTCTTATTTGTTAGAAGCAACAAAAGAAAGTTTTCATGACTCTCATTACAGTTGTGGAAATCAATTATTACTCGTTTCTGTCAAACGCACCTCGATTTCACCAAAGTCAATAAGTACTGAAATCACAATTTCTGGATTACAGTGAGAATTCTGGCTTTTTAAAAAAACTTTAAATTTGTGTTTTCACAAAACAAGCACTAGTTTTACAACAAATATGTTTGCATTTGAAATTTTTATTTGATAAATCAGTTTTCACAGAACAAGCCTGCCGTTATTTCACAGAGCTCGCTGTTTATGTTCGTTTCAGAGTTCAACGCTACGGGGTCGCTGACCCTGCACACCAGGGGCTGCTTGGACTCGGACCTGTGCGGGTTGACGCTGACCGGGTCCGTTCTGGGAGGCGCGTACACCAGCGCCTACAAGTGCTGCGTCACAGACCTGTGCAATGGAGCCACTTCCGTCCAACTGTCCGCGGCACTCTGTGCGGCCATCTTGCTCCCACTCTGGGAATTCTGGGAGTTGTAGTCTAACATGAAACGCCTCTGTGCTCGCTAATTTTCATTTGTTGATCGTCAGTTTTGTCTTATTTTAGATGTAATCCTTTGTTGGTTGAAGTAAAAAAAGTTGTACTGTGATTTCACACTGATTCTCTGTGATTATGATAATTTATTACTGTAAAAATCAATAAAAATGGATTTAAGCTCCCTCAGTGAATATTTATTGTTTTTGAATAAGTTCTGATCTGAAACTTTCACAACCTATCACAGAATTTGAAATAAAATGTCCATATGACACTAAACACATATAATAATAATAATAATAATAATAATAATAATAATAATAATAATAATAAATCATTACATAATAATAATTTCAATAATTATTATTAATTTATAAGTAATATTAAATAATTACTATAATTAATTATTAATAATAATAATTGTCAATGTATTTTGTAATAATAACTAAAAATATTGGACTAGATGCTAAACTATAATAAGATTTAATAATGATACTTACATTTTTAATAATAGATTTTCATATTTAATTAAATTTATTTTGGATTAAATAAATCTCACTTATCCATTTCTTTATGATTTAGTTGTGTACTTATCATAGATATTTTAAATTAAGTAAATTACATTAATATAAAGACTTTTTGTTCTTGTGGATTCAGGCACTTTTGGAACATAATCTCTGACAAGCTTAGGAACCTGGAAAGGTACAGAAAAAATGTATAACTGTTTGGTGTGTCTGGATATTAAATGTTATTCAAAGTAAGAAGAACATAAGTCAGTAATTACTACTTAAGCCCAAAGGTATAATATAGTCAATCAAAAACGTCGACAATTTTTTTTCATATTACTCTTGGACTGGACAATTTATCTAAAAGATAATTAGGCCCTTAAAGTTAAACAATTTTGAAGAGACGCAGTTAATCTTTGCGCTCCATCTGGGTGAGGTTTGTTCTGTCTCCCTCATCCAGGCTTGTGGTATGTCCTCTTCACGGCTGCCAGCTACAGTCTATTGTTCCCTCCAGGTCAGCTGATAAATGTGGCTGCGCCAACATGTCTGCAAGTTATTCTGCAACCAACGACGCCCTCTGGCGCTTCACAAGCACACAAACAGGTTACTCTGTCAATCATTGTATTGGATTTGTCTGCAAAGTACAAGTCTAAGTCAATGCGAGGAAAATAATAGGAAATTTGTATCAAAGTGGGGAACATGCAACCCCTGGAGCGTTTACACAGTGGAAGACAATTTAGGCGAGAAACTCAGCCAACCTCACATCGAACTATGACTATGATTGACAGCAAAAGGTAACTGGTTGTAAACATCCTATTTTTTGTCATAATGACACTTATTGATAATCAAATCAAAGTTCAATAAGTGGATGTCACCATGATTGATTTTTTTGTGTGTAACTATGGCAACATGAAAACGTGCTGCAGTAACTGTGGTCTTCAAGCAGCATCCTATGCTGTTTATTTTCATTTTCCTGAAGGTAGATTTTTACAAGCCAGTATTATTTAAGTCACTACTCACCCGTTTTCCACGTACAAAATGTGTCCGACAGTTTTCACGCTTTGTGTCCCTCATTCTTCCTCTGGCTGTGAAAGATCTCGGCTTTAACACTGATTTCTCTGTTGTTTCCTGATAATAACCTTACAGACCTGATGTAAGACTCATTGGAGAATTTTCTTGCCTTTTGTTTTTGCCTTATAAGAAAAGCAAAATCAGAGCCTAGAAACCACCCAATTTAAATGAGAATCAACATTTTTCTAAATAACATGGGGTCTTTATTTTGTACCAGTCATAAATATTGTAAAAGCTAATTTAAGGCTAGAAAGGTGTGTGTCTGAAGTCATGTAAAGATTTAAGAAAATTCACAATAAAGTCCAACTTGAGCACCAATTTTCAAGTTTAAAATCATTAAAGTGTCATCCTGTTTAATTCTTGGATTGATTAAATCAAATTAAAAATGTAATGAATGGTAAAGTATTCAATAAGTACTACACTGTAACAAATTGCCCTGTATTTTTACAGTAAAATGCTGGCAGCAGGGTTGCCAGCATTATACCGTTAATATACAGTACCCTTACTGTAATCAACTTTACAGTATATTACCGTCACAAAAGAAATCTTTTGATTACAGCACATTGCTGTTTTTATCGGATTTACAGTAGACTACTGGCAGGTGTGTTGCCAGTATATTACAGTTTTTCTATGGTACCATTACTGTTGAATTCACATACAGCTTACTACTGTAAATTTCCAATATAAAATAGAAACATGAAAAAAAACACTTAGAAAATGTAAGTTCCATCATGTCAAACATTTATTTGGAAAAAAAAAGAACCAACTCAAACATCGACTCATACACAGTGTTTAGTGGGCCACATAATAAAGACGAAGGTTTTGAAACGACAACGTATGTGTGCCTTAAACCTAAACCTTTTCTACAAGAATGTTGAGGGTAAACTGTCCAAAGTAAGTCATATTCTGGAAAAACAGTAAGAAAATCACCATCTATTTTGTGAAATAAATTTCTTAACTGATTTAAATAGTATTTGAATAAAGCATGAATTGTGGCCTTTTGATTAGTCTGAAATAAAATAAGTATGAAATAAATTATGGAAATAATGCATTGTACAACTCAGCACACTACTTTTTCAATACAAAATATGACTTTTTGTGGAAGTGAGGAACAATATGATGCAACATAAAACAAATGAAACATTTAACTTTCAATCTAAAGCATAGAAAAACATTGCAAATTTTAGTTTGATAACAATTTAAATGAAACATTTAGACTTGAATTTCCCTTAGGGCAAAATCAGAGCTACAACTTCAAATGATAAAACAATGAAACAATATTTGACAAGATAAGTTAAACATGGTGCCTGTACAGTCAAAATTACATCTGAAGAACAGAAAGTGGGAGCCTTAACAAAATTTATGCTGTTAATTGAAAGAGATGTCTTAAGATTATGCTGACCTTTAAACCAAAAAAATCTCTCAAGAACACTCCTGTTCAGGGATAAGTTGCCTTCATGTCTGTATAGTTTTTTGTTTGTTTGTTTTTGCGTGGAGGGGCAACAATATCTATAGCTTGGTTAGAAAGTTCTCACTATGAAATTCCACTCAAAGTCCATGAGGTTTTTCAGCAGAATTGAAACACGGGGGATGACAGTGACCGACTTCTTTTGAAAAGTTTTCCCTGTCCTCTTGGAGATGATCTTGCTACAGCTGGCCTTGGTCCGGGTTGATATCAAGAAAACGCCTGAAAATGCAGTAATTTCAGATTAGCATATGATGCTTAAGGAGTCAGGGTTTAATGTGTGCTAGATGAAGACAAACTTTTGAATGTTAAGAGTTAATAAAGAAACACCAGCATAACATAAACAGTTTTCTGCCAAGTCAACTCTGTGAAACTCCAAATTCCCAGTTGATATCCATTCACCAATTTCACTTTAGCAGCTAATCATAGCAAATCAAGTCAAATTACACAAAAGAAAGAAAAAGAGCTTCCAAACATGTCAATATTTGTAAATATGAATCATCAAAAATAACTTACCTTAGGATTGGCTCATAAAATGCAGGATTCAAATGGATAGTCCTTGTAAAGAAAGTTCTAGAGCAGGGGTGTCAAACTCCAGTCCTCGAGGGCAGGTATCCTGCAACGTTTAGATGTGCCTCTGCTGCATCACCTGAATACAATAATAGGTCATTAGCAAGACTCTGGAGAACTTATCTACACAAGGAGGAGGTAATGAAGCCATTTCATTCCAGTGTTTTTGTACCTGTGGCACATTGAAAAACTGCAGGACACCTGGAGGACTGGAGTTTGACACCCCTGTTCTAGAGGTTGCTTCCACATAAATCTAAAATCATTCCCAAAATGCAATGCTACTCAGAGTATACTACAGTATTTTATTAAAAACAGTAATAATTGCCCAGAATGCATTGTTTTTCACGGTGCAGTACCGTTTTCAATAGAAACAGTATGATACTGTTCAGTTTTGGCCGGTTTTTTTACAGCAATTTGTTACAGTGTAGTGCAACATATATGGATGCTTTCTGATTCCCAGTAACGTTGCTACTTCTTTTTTCTTGTCATATTTTTTTCTTTAGATTTACTAAATTAAATGTTAATTCAAATTAATTATTCAACCAGCTCTACCTGCTTGTCATATATATGGACAATACAAAGTAATGAACGTTAAAAAAAAACAAAACAGAAAAGTATCAATTAGTCATTAAACAAGTCAATTAATTGGCTAAAATGATTTTTAAAAAGTTTTAATTTAAATGCAATAACTATGACTCAACATGTTCGTCTTGGAGAATATTTACTAATTGTGCTGCTGGAACAAAACCGCGTTTAAAAACGGGGTTTCTAAACTCCTTGATGTGATGCACTTCCGGTGCGCCGGAAGTGTAGCGCCTCCGGCTACCACGAGGGGGAGTCACAACCCTGCCTGCTTAAAAAAAAAAAAAACAGATGCATTGGCACGTACTGGCCTGCAGATGGAGAAAAGAGCTGTACATATAATAAATTAATTTATTTAGCATTTTTAGGGTGTTTAGCATTTTTACTTAAATATTAAACAAGTTTAGCTTTTTTTAGTCTCCCCCTAATATTTAAAGTAAAGTATGAATGTTTTGTATTTGATAAAGATAAGCAAAACGACCCATAAAATCCGCAACAATAAGCCACAGGTGACCCTTTTTTTGTTTCTGCATGACATAATCCAGAAACATTTTGAAGAACGTCGCTGTAATTTTACCAACTTTATGGCTTGAACTCGGTCTCTTCTTGTTCTCCTGCATTTCTTCCACCTAGTTTCTCTTCATGCAACTTTCTGCAAGGGCTGCGCAGCAGGAAGTGGAGGCGCAGCTTTCATGATGATGATGATGATGATTGTGTCGCTGCTCCAGTGCAGACCCTGAACCTGGAGGAGGAAACCAGCAGCAACAGCAGCGCGGTCAGAAAACTTTCAGCACTGTGAGATCTGGATCTTTTCAGGTGAAATTTTAGAGCTTTCTCTCTCTCTCTCTCTCTCTCTGTCTCTCTGCGGGGAGAAAATGGCTTTGTGCGGCATTTCCGCTGCTTGTGCGGCCGCCACATTGTCACACTAGTCGGTTTGTGTTCGGGGATTTGTCGTAGCGGAAGATGTGGGCTGAGCTGCCCGCCTTTCCGCCGCTGCTTTTCGCTTCTCTCTCAGAACTTTACTCAAACTTCTTGTCCTCTCTTGTTGCTCCTGCAAAGGTGTTCACCGGGTGAAGATGAGCGACGCAAACGAGCCCAAAATTGAGCTTTTTGTTAAGGTAAGCGGCAGCGACGACAGCCAGCACACCCAGGGAGCGACGACGGGTTCATGGGAAAATTTGAGTTCGTAAAAGGAGACCTGTGTTTGTCTTCATGTCGCTCATGACTCAGCGCGGGTCATAAACCCCTGTAATCTCATTAAAAGCACATTAAGACAACAGGCGACGGGTTTAAATTGAAGTTTGTTCCTCTCCATAATGACTCCTCTGTATGAACATGCGCGCCGCCCTGCACGTTTTCCCTCCACCGCAGTGAAAGATGCTGTTGTAACTTCTCTAAAGTCACATCCTGAGCTGCACTATCACACATCTGATTGCCTAAAGTTCAATCAAAAAGTGCCTATTCATGCTATGTGGCTTTAAAAGTTTTCCCAGGATAAAACATCCACTATTTTTGCGTCTGCTGACTCGGTTTGCATTATTTCATACATGAGAATCTGTTTCCAGCTGAATAAGTGCTCAGATGGCATGCAGGGTTCGGTAAATAAGTAGATTAAACAGCTGACAGGATGTGTTGGTTTTGGTTTATGTGCTCAAAATATTTGACCTTGAAAAAATGGACTTTAAGAAAACATTTTCAGCAATCTTTTCAATTTGAAAATGCATTTTTACCCCTGCTGCTACAAAATAAAACCTCTCCATAGTCACGAAAAGACAGATTTATTTTATATACAACTAAGAGCCCTCTGTACTGAAGCACATTGAAAACCTCCTGCTTTTCCCACCAAATATTGATTTCTGAGTTAAATCATTAGTATTGTTGTTTCTAAATGAATATTAACTTGTTTTCTTTGTATTATTTGAGGTCTGAAAGCACTGCATCTTTTTCATTATCTTGACCGTTTCTCATTTTCTGCAAATAAATACAAAACTTTTGTCTGTAATTTCAGAGACATGTTATCAGTAGTTCATAGAATTAAAGAACAATGTTCATTTTACTCATAGAGCCATAAAAATTTAAATCAGAGAAATTGATCATTTAAAGTGGACTCTTACAGAGCTGCATATATGATTGTGCACTTAATGTAAAGTTTTATTTCGAAATCTATGGAAGTTCAAATAAATTGCGTGTTTTTAATTTTTAGATTGGAGAACAAAGTGAAGTATTTAACTTTTACAAAAGATGAAAAACCTCTTATGTAGTAAAATGAAGTAATTCCTTCAGACAGTAACAAGTTTCCCCCTGATTGTAATACTTACATTTTTGCTTCATCAGATCTTTAGAAATGGTTTCAGAAATTATAATCTCTCTCCCCCGTGGATATTTTTCAATCTGGATTTTCATTTTTAGTGTAATGGCTTCTTCCTCACTGAGCAGCTTTGCAGGCCATGTTGGTGCAGAACTCGCTCCACTCATTCCTGTTTCACTCTACATATTTAGAACGTCTCTCATTTATTTAAACTGTGTTTTGGTCTTAGCAAATCATCTTTGCTTTTATTTTGGTGAAAATACAAAAAGCTGATTTTTTCCCCCCATCTCATTAATCTATACCTAAAACACACTTTCTCCATCTTATAAGTAAAATAGTTGTAGTGATATAGAGCTTGATCAATTTGCATTTTTATAGAATTTGCAAATCATCATTAGCAAATGGAAAATGTGCAGTTTTTAAAATAAAAACTTGTTTTAATAGGAGTCAGTGGGAGATAAATTGCAGTTAGTTTGGAAGATTAAAACCTCACAATTTTAGGTCAATTTAATGAACACAGAGAAAGTTAAGTAGGCGTAACATTAATAAAGTTAAAAATTCCCCGAATCCATTGGGTTAGGTGATTAAAATAAGGAAATGTACATTTTTAATTACATTGCTTTGCATTTGCATTTCAAACCCTGTAAAGTCTTGTGTAACTAAAACCTTTACGAGGAACACGAACCACAATAACCTGTAAATGTTTTACTTTCCCTGCTTGTTGATGTCAAACACCTGGCTTGATGAAAAGAAACGAATCTCGTTTTGCAGGCAGGAAGTGATGGTCTGTGCATCGGCAACTGCCCGTTCTCCCAGCGCCTCTTCATGGTCCTGTGGCTGAAAGGAGTGGTTTTCGACGTCACCACAGTGGATATGAAGAAGTAAAGAACCGCCCTCGTTTGTGTTTGTTTTCATTTGATCCTGTGCAGGTTGCTGCTGGTACAACAGAGACATTTATGTTGTTGACCGGGACTCCAAAAACACAAAGTTTCACCAAGTATTGTTGGTCTGGTTTCTGGTGCATAATGTCTCACTAAACGTGAAATAAGACAAAACTAACTAACAGGTAAGTTTTGAGCAAGAAATAGGAGCTTGTTTCAAGTCAACCGTTCCTTATTGTTGTTTTAAAGGAGTTTTTGTTCAGTTTTGCCTCATTAAAAGAGAAATAAACTTCCAGTGGGACTAGAACTTGGTTGCTAGGTGGCAGTTGGTTATGGCACTTTTTCATCAATACTATTATTGATTTAAAACAAGCTCTTAACATCTTGCTGAAAAGTTACTTGTAAGTAATTTTGTCTTATTTCAAGCACAGTCAGATATTTGGACTGGAAACCGAACCAAAAGTATTGGGGTTGAGAAAACCCCAAGTTTTAAAAAGGCAGTTCACACTCGTGACAATTGGTACGATATCAAGAGTCACGAAGACTTTATTTTGCTGGTTCTTTTAAAAAGAAACTAACATTATTTAACTAATTAACTGCTATATGTTTGTGAAAGTGAATTATTTTGACCCACATCTGCTCAAAATACCTTAATATTAAGAAATTATTGATTTAAAACAGGCTGAAAAGTTACTCTGAAGTTAGCTTGAAGTACACTAAGATATTTGCAGTAGAAACTAAACCAAAAATACTTGGCAATGTTTTGTGTTTTTGTCGTGTAACTCATAGGCCAAAAAATAAAAATAAAAACTACTTGTGAAGGTCGCAGCCTATCGTCGATGAGTTGGGCCAATCACCCAGTAGCGTGAAATAAGAAAGAAAGCAGAGCGTTGGGTTATGGAGTAACTGTTTTGGTTTTTCTTCTTCCTCTCAGGAAACCAGACATCCTGAAGGATCTGGCTCCTGGAGCTCAGCCTCCCTTCCTGCAGTACGGCAGCGAGGTGAAAACCGACACCAACAAAATCGAGGAGTTCATCGAGTCGACGCTCTGTCCTCCAAAGTAACCACTGACCTTCACTTGTTCTGTTAGGATGTAATTTTGTTCTGAATGTTTGACCTGAAATGATATGAAGTGATAATTTAGTGATAATCCTGGTTATAGTCTCTTTGGATAAATCACTGCCCAGATCTTAAGTCATGCTTCTGATAACTTTCTATTGATATTTTAATTGATGAATAGGTTTTTCTTAAGCGTTCGGAAGCTATTTTATTGTTTTTAAAATTTATTAATACTAGTTTAGACCTGGAACTGTTACTATTTTATGCTGAATCTATGCTATAAACAATAATAATGCATGTACACCTAGACCAGTCACAATTACAAATGTTAGTGGACGATAAATTGTCCCAGAATTTATTGCGATAAACGATAGCATTGTTGTTTTGAGATCATTTTCAAATAATATATTGATAAAGATATAATAAGACAAAGAAACTTTAATTTTGTGCAGAACTCTCTACATTTTAAATTTCTAAAATAACACAAAACAATGCAATACATAAAAATCACAAATAAATTATTTATGACAAAATTACCCTTCAAAAATATAAATAATCAACCTCATTTTAATTTATTGTGTGGTTAATTAATTAATTGATTAATTGAAACATGGTTAGCCTCAGAATAATTAAAAATACACCATAAAAACTTTGAAACTTCAACAGAAAACCTGAAAAAGAAAAGTATAAGAAAGAAGTGTAACTTCTTGGAAACAAAATTAGAAGCGATCTTAAAAACTGCAGACATGTCTAAATTGATTAAAATAAATTATTATGAAGCTGTTAGCTGCAACTTAGCTCTTTTTTATTTAGCTATTTGTTTTGAGTTTTTTGTTGTTGTTTTTTTAATGTAACCACCATCTGTTTTTCCAGATATCCCCGTCTGGCGGCTCGTAATCCAGAGTCCAACACAGCAGGAGTCGATATCTTCTCCAAGTTCTCTGCTTACATCAAGAACTCAAACCCTCAGACTAATGACAGTAAGCATCAGAAATAATGATGACATCGCCACAGGGAAGCAAAACGCTGAAGTCACCATGTTAATCTTAGGCTATAAAAGAAAAACCCAGCAGGGAGGGAGTGTCTGTTAATAACATTACAGTTTTAGCAGCGCTACGTCAGCGTGAACAGCGCACATCCTCTTAATCTCCCCGCTTCTTCTTTGTGTCTGTTCGTTCTCAGATCTAGAGAAAGGCCTCATTAAGGCTCTGCAGAAGCTGGACAACTACCTCGGCTCCCCACTTCCCGACGAGATCGATCAGGACGCCGCCGAAGAGGTCACTTCCTCGTCACGCCCCTTCCTGGACGGCCAGCAGCTCACCCTGGCGGACTGCAACTTGCTGCCAAAGCTGCACATCTTGAAGGTAATCTTCTCAGTGTGCAACGTTTATCCTCACCGCGGTTTTCCTGATCCCTGCCACTCAATCGGATCCTTTTTTACCCTCAGGTGGTGAGTTTGAAGTACAGAAACTTCACCATCCCAGAGTCTCTGACTAACGTCTGGAGGTACCTGAACGCAGCGTACGCCAGGGAAGAGTTTAGTGCTACCTGTCCTGTCGACACAGAGATCCTCATGGCGTATTCATCTGTAGCGAAATCTCTGAAGTAGGACGGCGATAGGCCTGTTGAAGTTAAAAAAACAAATCCACACAGACATCAGTAATCAAATATTTACTCTGCAAACAACCAGGATCTGTTTCCCTGCCGACGGGTGTTTTCTTTAAGCTTTGTTTACCTTTTGATATGCAGACTGCACACACCCACAGGTGGGTCTTTGTATTTATTCTCTACTTTAGTCAGGATCGGTTACATCAGCAGGGAGACGAGGGCAGAGTCTAGATCAGTGGTGTCCAAACTTCTTCCGCCGAGACTCAAAATGAGCTTTTCTGTCCATTAAACATCATAAAAATTATATTATTATGAATGTTTTTTCCTTTACCTGCACAACAATGAATTGAACAAGTCAAATTTTTTTAAATCAAAACCAACTTTAGAATGAAATTTGCCTTAATGTTTAAATTTATTTAACTTTTTGAACCAATTATTTTCTATTTTGTTGGTCTGTAAATTTGTGAAAACAAAATTCTTTGTATTTTCCATTTAAGATATTAACTTGCCATGGAAATAACACCTTAAAATGATTTTAAAAAGTGTCCCTCTCATCCTAAATTTGCACTGTTTTTTTTAAACGCAGTCGGGGCCACAGAAACTCATTCCAAGGGCCACAAATGGCCCCTTCGCCGCACTTTGGACACCCCTGATCTAGATAATACAGGACAAAATCAAACTGTTTCTTTCAGGAAGGCTTGCATTTTCACACACCTTTTTTTTTCACAAAAGCCTTTCTGTTTACGTTTATTCACCTGCTTCATTGAACTTTAACCTCAGAACAGAGCCGGTTCCATCTTTTCTTTGGTATTTGGGCAGAATAACAATTTGGGGCCCCACTCTCTCACCTAATGCCACTGTTTGCTGCAATTCTCAGCAGAACAATGTTTTACTTAAACTTTAGGCTGGTTAAAGAATCTAACTTTATGATAACCTTTAAGAAAAAAAATTATGCGTTTAAAAGAATATAAAATGGACATGTTATGCTAAATTAATATTTTTATATTTTTTTGTACTTCCCTACTGCCTCCGAAAGCAACCCAAGCTCTTAAAAACCATCCAGATGGTTTTTGGTTATGGGTTGACATCTTTTGGAAAGTTTTCTGTTTCAAAAAACCTCCAGAATATAATGTAACAAATCAGCCAGCTGCTTACCTAACAACCCAAGCGGCATGTTTGCTCAGCTGGTTGTATGGCTGCCTGAAAAGACAAGTGTTTCGCTGTTGATTTATCATCTAGAAACCACTTGCTGCATTCTTGTTGGTTGTGCCAGAGGCTCTACTAATGCTTTTCAAAGATGTAAGAATGTGTAATTGCTCATTTGGGTTTAAAGTGACAAGATGCCTCAAAACGGCTCATTCTGGAAGGAGCACAAAATATCAGAAGTGAAGAATAATTTTGTGCAAAAAAGTTGTCAAAAATGTTTCTTACAGCAATAGACTTATTCTAACTTGTTCAAGGAAGAATTGTAGACCACCTTTAAAAGAAAATTATTTTTATTTAAAGTAGAAAAGACTAATTTGATTTTGTTATAAAAAGCAAAGTTAAACCAAACACAAATCTGCAACATTTCTTCTCTACCTGCTGTGTATGATGGAGAAAAACTTTTCAGGGTAAAAAGAAAAATAAAAGAAATATTTTTTATATGGTCACAAGAAAGCAGACAGTTATAGTATATAGTTTGTAAAAAGCATGTTAGCACAAGAAGCTATAAGTATTATTTCATCTTTTAGTGGAAAGATAACAGGCTAGCTACTGGAGTTTCTAGCATGTCCAATATCAGTGTTTAGGCTTCCAACTAGTAAAAAAAAAATACATACAAGATATTTTGATTTGCATTTTTAAAGTATATAACAATCTGCTATTGGTAGAGTTGGTCCATTGATAAACTGCGGGCTAATTAGCGACCCAGCTAACACATCTAATTGGCTAGCTAGCATCAGTCACCAAAAAAAATCAAAAATTAAATATTTTTACTTTAATACTACAGGAGAAAAAAACCCATACATGTCTGATTACAACATCAAAATGGACAGTCGTTTAATTTTCCCTTCTCTTTACTTTTCTTCCAGTGTATTCTTAAGATTAATTATTCCAACACGTCCAGATTAACCCGTTTTAGTCTCTCGTCATTTTTTAGGGAAGTGATATTTGCATACCGTCGAGTCATTTTGTGTTTTAATCACAGGTGTTTCCCACAGACTTTATCACAGAGGAAACACAGCTTTTCATGATTTAGAAAAGATTTGCATTCATTACGGAACAGAGGAAAACATCGAGCCGGCGCTGAAAGCAGTTCGACAGGAAACCGTTTCAATAGACGCAGGCTTCCTCTTTCTGCCCTCCCACAGCAAGTGTGAAGGATTAGTCAAGATTAGTGAGCTTGTTTTGTGATCCTCTTTCAAGGCCTCTAATTAATAACTACATGAATGGAAGAGAGACTGTGAGCAGATTTTTAGGCTTTTTGATTGCTTCAAAATACCATAACCACTCCCTGTTTTCTTTTAAATTAAAATCGACTAAATCAAAAATTTTGCTGTGGTAGGATTTGTAGTAACATAAAGTAAAACCAGTACATTACAATAAAATCGTGGTATTTTTTTTTCCTAAGGCTATCATAATGTTTGAATTTTACAGTAACCCATACCTAATTAAAACATTTTTCTTTTGATTGTGGTTGAGTTTTGGAGCTCAGAAGTTGTATATTTAAAGTTTAAGCCTAATAACAAATATTATTATTAATGGGAAACAATTAGATGAAAATCTTTGCACTGTAGCTGGTGTATGGAGCCCCCTGTTGGTGTGGAGCCGCAGAAAGCTGCATAGTTTGCTTATTCCTTGTTCTGGCTCGGCCCTTGTTGATGTGACTGACTAGACAGCTGTGTAGTTTTCACGTTTCCACAGTTAAATAGGATTTATTGAAGTTCCTGGAGATACTTTCTTATTGGAAATGAGCCACTGAATCTGTTTTTAAAAAGTCTGTGGAAGGAACACAACTGTATGGGATTTTATTATTGTTCAATTATTTCATGAAAATGTTTCATTTTTATGTAATGTTTGCAGTTAAGTTGAAAAAACATCTGTTTAGAACACGTGTCAAACTTGAGGCCCGTGGGCCAAATCCGGCCCGTCATAGCCTCTGGATTCTGGACTAAACATTAAGTCTGCTTAAATATAATGTTTTCAATCAAATCAATGCAGTTTTTATCTGTTTACTACAAAATTACATCAGTCAGTCCCTCCAGTTTCTTGCCTATTATGGAAATTAACAAAAATCAACAAAACCACACATTTCTTGCACGAATTATTGGGAGTTTATTGAAGAGTTCTCTTAAAAATTATCAAAAAACTTTCTAACTTGTACTGAACAGCTGCTTCAGTCTTAACGGATGTCAGATTATTGCCCACGATCTAAACAGCGAGGAATAAAAACTTGTATCTACCGTCATAAATAAGTGCAAATATTTCCAAATTACAACCACAAACAATTTGATTCTTATTGCAGAAAAAAATCACAAAAACAATCATGAAGTTCTGGCGGAACTAAAAAGACATTCAATTATATTATTTAATGTTAAAAATTAATTATTTTTAACAGTTTATCAATACATTCTGGCACTACCGCCCCTTTAAGAGCACTCATGATCTTGATTTGATCCAAAAGGAAAATGAGTTTGACATCCTGCTTTAGAACATGGATTTGTTTCTCTGTTACATATCAAACATGTGATCAAAGTATAGATTACTTGTATATTTTGGTTACGTGAATTTCTTCTGACAAAATAGCAAATTATAAATATGCCGCCGTTAGCCTTATTTTTATCCAAAGAGATCTGAGACTCGGTCGTAACTCTGTCTGTTGGTCCAATTCACAACGCGAAGTTTTCTTGCCTATAAAACGACCTTTATTGAAATCAAACTGGAAGGAACAGGAGCTAATAACACACTTTGTTTGGTTAAGCACTAACACATCCAGTGAACCTCAGGGTAACACAGTTTAACATTTCCAGAGGCTATTTTGACATTAAGTTCTTTAGTGTTGCTGAAAATGACCGAAGTGCAATTAGAAAATCCTGTCCATGTAGCTGGACTGTTAGAAATCAGCTCTGAGTTAATTCACCTCAATAAACCCGAATCTGTTAAGGATTTGGGTTTGATTACAGAATGTTGTCGTGGATTTGATCTGTTTTTTTAATATAGACTAATGCTTAAAGGGATTAAATAGGAATACCTTCACTGTTAATCTTATTAATGTTTTTGTCCAAGCATAGCAGAAACTCTCATTTCTTAATATATATTTGAAACAATTTCAGGGACCAGGAAATGTGTTGGATTTTTATTTTCTGCTCTTCATTTCACATGTTTTGTTATTGATGTTGTCATTTTTCACTTTGTCTTAATGCATCATGAAGTTAAAAAAAAATCAAAGCGGCAGCGAGGACAATCAAACTCACAGCTGAAAAATTTTTATTTCACTTTTATTAAAGTTCCAATAAAAATATCTTCATAATAAAATGCGTCCTTCTTTATTTCTGGCTTGTTTTGAAAAGTCCACATAAAAAGAAAACAGAAGGAAGTTCCTGCTGAATATGTAACAATTTTATATGTAGTTTGATGAATATGATAATATGCTTTACATGACTGACTAACAAGGAAGTTGTTATATTTGGTTCAGTCAGAGATTATAATCCGAGATTTAATCAAATTCAATGGGTCAAACAATAACCAGTGTAAATATGACATAATCTAAAACTATGAAGATTCTGTATAATATGAGGGCTTTTATTATTTATCTCCATATTTGTAAAAGTCCCAAGAGAAATGAACTGATTCTACATTATTTAGCACAAAATGCTTTGTTAGGGAAACAGAATCAGTACCAAACAGAACAGTGTTAGCTGAGCTAACAGAACACAATGAAAAACTTGTTTTTCTATAGAAACTTAAAAAAACAAAGAGAAGTAGGACTTTTAAATCTCTTCACAGGAACTTAAAAAACACTTCACATGTAAAACTTGACAAAAATCAGATGATCTGAAGCACCAAGACTAGCATGAAACTGAAAACACAACTCCTCTCATCGTCACTTTATACATGTTTGAGTTCATTTAAGCTGAATTATTTTATTTGTCTGTTTTTAAACAGCTGGCCTTAATCCAGTCAGTACAACATATACCTGGACAATACGGCTGAAAAACGTGAGCGTTTCATGTCAGTTTATCAATAATTATTGATTAATTTTTTGTTTTATATACCTGAAATGCTGCTGAAGGTTTGTTAAGAGGAAACGAACCTTTCCTCTCATCTCCCCATGCTGTTGTTTATGTGTAAGCAGTAATGAGGCAAAACCTGAAACTGCTGCTCCGCAAGTTCCTCAGCACGGTGTTGCTAGGTGACCAAAGAACAGTGAGAGTTGCTAGGCAACCAAAGAGCTAACTTTGCTAAGCTAGCTGACACAATTTATATTACTCTATAATGATAGTAGTTATTATAATAATTACTACTATTAACCATAATGTGATGGAGAATTAGGACTACACTAAGAAAATAATAAAGACTTTGAGAATAAAGTAATTATTTATTCTAGTTAATGCATTTTTATTTCTTATGGCCTTGATATTTCGATTCGGAGAATATGAATAATAATTCTTGCTCCGCAGTTTATAATTTTGATTAAAAGAGTTCAGAAAGAACAAAAATTTTTCAAGTGAAGATCTAAAGAAGTTACATTGAATTACTTTTAACATTCTTTCTAGATAAATATCTTTCAATAGAAATGTTTTCCACTTTTATTAAATACCTTCTAGAAGAGCTGCTTCTGACAAATGATACTGATGGTTCAACTTGTGATGAGCTAAAACTTAATTTTCCTTTAACGTCTCAGCCGTTCTTTTTGAAAGAGACATTTGGAGGCACAGGTGGTTCTGGTGGTTCGGTTCAGACCAGCAGGAGGCCCAGTGCAGGCAGCAGGCAGAGCAGCGCTCCTCTCAGGCCGAGGGCACCAACAGACCCGGCGGCGTTGCACAGATCCGTGTCGCAGCAGTCGTTGGTGTAGTTAAAGTACACCCCAGAAGTGTACTTCTGTCCGGCCAAGCCACACTGCATCGGGACGGCACAACTCTTCTCGTATATCGTCAGCTGAAGGGCGCCTGGGGAACCAAAAACAGAGCGAATCGTGGATTTAGTGGCGAAAATGCTGCAGATGGTTTATAGAGAATCTCCAGCCACATTTACTCATTGTTAACCAGCTTTCAGTGAGAGTTTTAACAGCCATATTTTTGTATGTTTGCTCAAAGTTGAACCAGAAGCTAACTAGCAGCTAATATTTCTCGTTTTCCTCCTTAAATTAAAGGCTACTGGTTTCTTTATTATATTTGGGCTCAATTGAAGAAAACTATTCACAGCAATAAAACCAGGACATAGATCTCAATTTGAAAATGCTTAAAACAGCAATTAAAAGCAGATTTGGGTGCACCAAAGTGTGCTGTAAAGTATAAGTTAATGAGGAGATGTAGTTCTATTTACCTTTGTGTTACAGCTAACGTTTTTGTAAGTAGATTTTAATTTAAAAGTTGTAGTTTTTAAAATAATTAATTTATTCTTGTCTTGTTGTGGTGGGCGGCCGCATAAAATCAGTGCATGGACCGCAGAATGGCCCCCGGACCCTAAGTTGAACATGCTTGGTCAAGAGCATGCACATTAAATTTCTTAGTATATTTTTCTACTTAAATTAGGAACTGAACATAATTAATTAAATCACAAAACAATCAACTTTTATTGATATTTTATTTTGAAATGATCCCTATAAGAAAAGTTATCAGTGTGATTCTGTTATTGTAAACTATCAGCACGAGATGTGACCTTTGACCTCTGACAAAACACAGGGAGTCCTTTGCCACTTCCAGATATTTTTGGAGGTTACGGTTACTTTTAGATCATTTAATGACGTTATGCTGTCAGTTTGCCTGATGAAAAACGGATCTGAGTTCCAGAGCGCTGAGTCATTCTTTTGTTTTTGTTTCTACAGAGAAAACCAGTTGCAGCAATCTCTGGTAGTTCCCAGCGACGCAGAAAACAAGATTCAAAATCAAACATCAAATGTGACACACAAATGATTTCAAGCTCTAAAAGTATTTTTTTAAAAGACTGGGACAAACTATTCCCACAAAGGCTTTTATTTTGACAGGACTTCGTCTGGCTTTGACCTCGCCTTCCTTTCGCCACACTGGACAGGCAGCGCTGGCCTGCAGGACACTCCAGAGGAAACTTCAGGCAGTCCATGGGAGAAATGGCAGGAAACACACAGGTGTAACACTGCAAACAGCCTGCAGAGCGAAAACAGAACGATTTCAATTAAATTGAACCATCTGAGTGCATAATTCATCACCAGATTACCTTACTGAAGGTTAACACATCTGAATTTCTGCCATATTTGATCAGCAGAGAAACTAATTTAAAAATTAAATGTTTACTATAAAACAGCAGTTTACCACAAAAACTATTAAACAACAACAATAATAATAAAAAGAGTGTAATGTGTGGGTTACAAAAAAAGGTGCCATTCATATTTTCAGACAAATTTATTATTTTTCTCAACATTTAAATTGCAGTTGCAGCCATTTTGTTAATCAAAAATGATTTAATCATTTAATTTAAGGTTGATTTCAGTGGAGTTATGTTATTCTTTAACATAATAAAAGATGATCACTCTTAAAAGGAGAACTACAATGTGGAAGGTGAAATGAATACTTTAAATAAAAATATGAAAAAATGCAAACGTTTGTAAGTAAAGTTGGTCTTGATCTTTTTCTCTGGTGCCATTTCCTAAATTTTATACCAATAAAATAAAAATAAAAACTTATACTATTGTGTTCCACAAGTGGTGAATGAGAATACTGTAGTTATTTAATTTAATTATTTGTAAAACACATTCTGATGATTTAATTGTATGCTCTGAATGGACTGGGGGAAAAAATAGTTTTTTTAATAATGTTTTACAAAAGTCTAACTGGGTGTAACATTAAAATAATTAAGAAAGCCCAACATAAGACATCTCAGCCTTAATTTATACTTCCTTGCTTATTTCCAATCAAAACTAAATAAATTATAAAACAAAAAACCTACAATTTGAAACATTTTTTCTCAAAATTGTATTTGAATTACACAACAACAAACAAACCATCATTTCAGGTAAATTCACATTTCTTTCATCTTTGTGATCTAAAATGAATCCTCAAATTCAGAGAAAGAAATCCAATCTTTGTGTTTTTCTGTTGAACAAGATCATTTAAAAAAAGCCAATTTCTGCTAAGACGTCACAATGAAGGCCTTTAAAAACATTTAAAGAATATTATAAAGTTTCTTTCTGTCTCCTATTCTGACACACCAATAGTTTTCAATGATGCTGATGGGTTTTTGAGTCAAAAAGAGAATCAATCTACTAATATTTGCTAGATGTGACTCTTCTGGAGGTGAAGGTCATACCTGCCAAGTGAAGACAACTCAGGAGTCCAATTAGGAGACATAAACGAGTCATGATGCTTCCTTAAAGTCCCTCTGCTCGGTTCTCCAACAGGAGCTGAAGGAACCTCTTCCCTGGATGCTACAACTATAACAGCTTGATCTGAGACGAACTCCGGCTCATTCTCTAATTAACTTTCTCCTCTACGTTTGCTCACTTCTTTTTATATTCTCATTAATCTGATGAAAGTTCGCTCCTCCAGTGTTTCTGTCTTCGGATCACCTGAGCTTTTCCTCACTCCTGTCCTTTTTGTCCCGTCCGGGTCTCTGGCATCAGCGTCTCTTCACTGCCAGAGACTAATTTGGAGTCTCTGCAGTTTCTAATTTAATTTGGAGGTAATTGTAAATAGCTGACATGCTGAAAAACACGCTTGGATGCTTATGTTACCGTCTCAGGTTGACTTCACGACAGACACATTCAGGTTTATTCTATCAAAAGAGAAGATCGATTTAGTGGTTGACATCATCAATCCAGGAACTTCTGCCTCTGAACATCAAACAAGCCCAACTTGTCTCAACATTTTTAAAATGTAAACAAAGAAAGTGCTTCAGTGCCATTCAGAAATAAGAAAATAAAGATGAAAAGCTGCTGAAATGTCATGAAAGGGGATACAATTTTAAATAAAATGAATGTTTTGGGCAAAAATGTGCATGTAACTATGAGGAGTAGATAATTTATTGTCCTTTTAAATATTCTTCTTTCTTCTGTGTTACCTTCATTAGCAGCTTATTGTTATCTTACTATCATTGTTATCACTGTCTCTGTTTTTTTTAATTTTATTTATTGTTATTTAACAGAGATTAATAGGAATTTAAAGGTGTACATTGAAAAGGAATTGGTAATCATTCTGATGCTGTTATTATTTATAACTGTCATTATTGCCAAGTTTTTTTGTGATCATTTTGTCTGTGCAATATGATTTATTTGTTGGCTCTTTTGCAGAGTATACTGAACAAGCACATAAATATTATAACATGGCTTTATTGGCATTTTAAAAAAATAAATATTTAATTAATGATTTGATAATATGTTTTATTATATTAAGATAAGAGGTAGGATTCAATAATTGCATTTCTTCCTACATTTTCTCAAACAGAAAAGTGAGTAGTAAATAAATCATTAAGTTCAAGGAGGTCATGTATGCACATGTTTTCTCTGTCCCACTGATTGCTTGTTTCATTGTTTTTAAAAACCAGTTTGAGATAAATAAATCAAATAAAAAGATAATAATATAACAATCTTGCAGGTTCAGCTCTGTAGTTGGACTCTGAAAACAAACATAAACACAGAAGTGTCACTGAACTCACATGGAAAGAAGGAAGTCAGAGAAAATGGACGGCTAAAAGTCAGCAGGGAGCAGAGAGAGTCAGCAGATAATGAGAGTTTGTCAGCATGTTGGGCAGAGACAGAGAGCCGGTGAGCCGGGTTAACTGAGTTATCCTGCGGCGGTAATGGGAGACGTGAGGCCGACCAGCAGGACCGGCTGCTGACTGAAGTCTTGTGACGGAACGGGTCGAACAGAAACACCCAGTTTGCCGTTTTCCTCTCGATTGAGGACACACAAAGCCAAAATGGCTCCCGAAAAACACTCCTCTGGAGAGCATCTCCTTTAAACATGTTTCTACTTTATTTCGTCTTTTTAGAGTTGGTTGGTTCTTGACTTTTATTAAAAAAAAATGGTTTTTTTTTTTTAGATATTTGTTAAAACTGTCAAGATGAGACAGTTTTAACAGTCATCTACCTTTTCCCTCAGTAATCAGCTGTCTGAAGAAACCAAAAGCAACCAATCAGAGCCAGGGGGTGGGTCTTAGCGCTGTCAATCAACTTCATGTACTCGCTGCTAAATGCGCTAATGGTCAAGAAACAACTTTCCGTGACAAGAAAACCATAAACTATTCCACCTCCATAGTTGGTCAGCTAGCTAGCAGAGAATAAACTTAAGCACAACACTGTGATTGACAGCGCTAAGTCCCGCCTCCTGGCACTGATTGGATTTTCTAGTTACTGTGATGATTGAATGAATTGTTTATGTCCACTAGATGGCAGTCGCGAACATAGGTGATTGCATAAATGTCAAGAATAGGACAACAGAAGTAGTCAGTCATTAGTGAGACACCTGTGTGCAACTTGTATGAGCAAACGAGCCAGAGCGACTTTAATAAAAGCATCTAAGAAGAAGCACAACGTCTGGTTCTTATCAAGCACGAACAGAACATGGTGTCAGGAGTAAACTGAAGGGGTGAATTGAAAAGCCGACCATGGAGCTGAAACCACCGGAGAGCTTAAAGCTGACGGGAAACGTGGATGAAAACTGGCGTGCTTTCAAACAACGCTTTCAACTGTATGTCGCGGCAATGGGTTTGGAGACGAAGCCGGAGCCAAGAAAGGTAGCGATGTTGCTGACCATAGCGGGAGTGCAGGCTTTGGAAGTCTACAACACATTTGTGTTTGATGAACCTGAAGACAAAGAAAAGTTGGACGTTGTGCTGAGTAAATTTGATGCTCACTGTTCACCGAAGAAGAATGAATGCTACGAGAGATACGTGTTTCGTTCCCGGATGCAGACTCAGCATGAACCCTTCGATAACTTTCTGACCGATCTGAAAGTAAAAGCGCAGTCATGCAATTTTGGCCTGCTGAAGGACTCGATGATCAGAGATCAGATCGTCTTTGGTGTACGTGACGGGAAGCTCAGAGAGAGACTGCTGAGAGAACTGGAGCTGACCCTGGAAACAGCTGTAAAGATGTGTCGGGCAAGCGAACTGTCTCTGCAGCAAGTGAGGACATTTTCTGAACTTTCAACAGGAACTACTTCACAGTTCAGTGATGGAGCAGCGGCAGTGGGAGCGGTGTCCTGCCACAAGAAACGACATGCACAAACCAGGAAGCTGCAAGAGGAAGCCATTATCAACTGTAAGCGCTGTGGATCAAGGCATAAAGTGAGACAATGTCCTGCTTATGGTAAGCAGTGTTTAAATTGCCGTGGACAGAATCATTTTGCAAAGCAATGCTTTAAGAAGAGGAAAGAAGAAAAGAAGAGGAATTGTGTAAACTTAGTAGATGAAACTGATCTAAGTGACACATTCTTTGTCGGTGTTGTGAATTGTGAAAATGAGTCAGAAAAAGTGCAATGTGTTGACAGAGATGATAAATGGACAATTCCTTTGTTAGTAAATGGAACCACAATTAAGTTCAGATTGGACACAGGTGCGAAGGCGAATCTCATAAGCATATCTGATATAAAAGAAATGCAAGTAAAACCTCTCATAAAAGAAGTCAAGTCAGGTCTAAGAGACTATAATGGACAATCAATTGAATGCATTGGAACATGTCAGCTGAATGTAACAGTTAAAGGAACAAAACATCTTGTGTTCTTCTCTGTTGTAAAAGAGGATCGAGAATCACTTTTAGGTGATAAATCTTGTGAAGAACTTGGACTGGTGAAAAGAGTCTACCACATAAACACTGAATTTAATGAATCTATAACCCGATTGATGCAATGCTTCGGGATTATGAGGATGTCTTTCGAGGATTAGGTTCTGTACCCTGCACATATAAGATTCAGTTAAGAGAGGGCGCGCAGCCTGTTGTTCATGCTGCACGTCGCATTCCAGCGCCACTGCGAGAGGGGTTGAAAAATGAGTTGGATCGAATGATCAGGTTGGGAGTCATTCAGAAAGTGGAAGAGCCCACAGATTGGGTTAATTCAATCGTGATTACAAAGAAGAAAAATGGAGAATTAAGAATATGCATGGATCCAAAAGATCTAAATGAGAACATCAGAAGAGAACATTATCAAATACCCACTCGAGAGGAAATAATCAGTGAAATGTCCGGAGCAAGTTATTTCACCAAGTTGGATGCATCACAAGGATTCTGGCAAGTAAAGTTGGATGAAAGCAGTACCAAGTATTGTACTTTTAACACACCTTTTGGAAGATACTGTTTTCTAAGACTTCCTTTTGGAATAAAATCTGCACCAGAAATATTTCATCGAGCAATGGAGAGGATCATAGAAGGCTTGAATGGAGTAAGAGTCTACATTGATGACATCATCATTTGGGGATCAACTGTTCAAGAACACAATGACAGATTGAGACGTGTCATGGAGCGCATACGGAAAAATGGACTGAAGCTCAATAAAAATAAATGTGAGTTTTGTGTCAAAGAAATTATGTTTCTGGGAGACAAACTATCTGGCCGAGGTGTTCAACCAGATGAAGACAAAATACAAGCCATTTTAAAGATGCCACCGCCTGCTGACAAAACGGGTGTTCTGCGCATCATGGGCATGATTAATTTTATAGGAAAATTCATTCCCAATTTGAGTGCAAGGATGACTAACATTCGCAGACTCTTGTACAATGACAGTCAATTCCAGTGGACAGAAGTTCATGAACAAGAGTGGAAGGAACTGAAAAAATATCTGACTTCAGAACCAGTGCTTACCTTCTACGACCCTACTAAAAAATTAAAACTGTCGACAGATGCCTCAAAAGATGGACTTGGAGCAGTTCTTCTTCAAGCTGAGAATGACAAATGGAAACCAGTAGCTTATGCATCCAGAGCCATGACAAAAGCTGAATGCAGATATGCTCAGATAGAAAAAGAATGCTTGGGGCTGGCTTATGGGCTAGAACGGTTTCATAACTATGTATATGGTTTACCATCTTTTGTAGTTGAAACAGATCACCGACCATTGGTTGCCATCATTAAAAAACATCTGAATGAGATGTCACCCAGGATTCAGAGGCTTATGATGAAGATGCAGAGGTATGAATTTACACTGATCTACACTCCAGGAAAACATCTGATTCTTGCTGATGCTCTGTCTAGAGCCCCTGCACATGATAGTGTGAGTTCAACTGAAGAGGATATTCAATGTCATGTGAATTTGGTGTCCAATGTGTTGCCTGTATCAGATAGAAAGTTACAGCAAATAGTTGATGCAACAGCTAAGGATACAGAGTTACAGTTGGTCATACAGAATATGGATGAAGGATGGCCAATAGGCTCATGTTCACAGTTTTTCAATGTTAAAGCTGATCTAAGTGTTGTGAATGGACTGTTACTGAAAAACAACAGAATAGTGATTCCACAAGAGTTAAGACAGGACATTCTACAGCGAATTCATGAGGGTCACCTTGGCATTGAGAAATGTAAAAGAAGAGCTAGAGAATCTGTTTTCTGGCCTAAATAAGGACTAAATAAGGACATTGAGGTGCTGATAAGTAAATGTGAAACATGTCAGACATTTAGAAACAAACAGAGCAAAGAACCGATGATCATATCTGACACTCCAACATCACCATGGCTAAAAGTTGGAATGGATTTATTTCATCTTAAAGGAAAAGACTATTTAGTGATCATTGATTACTATTCAAACTATCCTGAGATGGCTCTGTTGGCTAATATGTCATCAAATTGTGTCATAACACATGCAAAATCAATCTTTGCAAGGCATGGCATTCCACATGTTGTAGTGAGTGATAATGGACCATGTTTAATAGCAGAGAATGGCAAAGGTTTGCAGAACAATGATTTTAAGCATGTAACATCAAGTCCACATTATGCACAATCAAATGGAAAAGCGGAGAAAGGAGTTCATATTCTTAAGCAACTTCTGAAGAAAGCTGCAGATAGTAACTCTGACCCGTATTTAGCTTTATTAAGCTATAGATCATCACCATTGCAATGTGGTTATTCACCTGCTGAACTTTTGATGAATCGAAAGATTCGTACAACTTTGCCAAGTTATGACAACAAAAAGGACAAAGAGCAAAGAAATCGTCAAAGTTGGAGTACAAGTTACGAAAGCAGAAAGTAAAACAAAAGTCATATTATGACAGATCAGCAAAGCTTCTACCCCCACTGTCATACCAGGACCCAGTAAGGATTCAGGATGATGAGGGATGGAAAACGAAAGCAACTATTCTGCAGGAAGTAGCTCCACGTTCATTTGAAGTGAAAACTGAAGATGGACAAATTCTGAGACGAAATCGTCGCAGTTTGTTGAAAACTCCATTTGAACATGTTGATGAGTCGAGTGAAGATTCTAAGGACTCTCAGATTACTCCTACAACTGAAACGCATTGTGACATGGACAGTATTAAGGACAATCCACCACTGTGTTAAGAAGATCTACCAGAGTGGTAAAGAAACCTGATAGACTGATGTTGTAAAAAAAAAAAAAAAAAAAAAAAAAAAGGGGGAAAAAGAGAAAAACAGAAAAAAAGTTGAAATGTATGTAGTTTGTAATTCATGTTTTTAATGAGTACTAAGTATGATAGGTTAAGTGAATTTTATTATAGCTATGTGATATTATGTGCTATCTGTCTCATACAATGGTTGTTTAATTTTAGAGAGTATTCATGTAACATTCTAACTTTAAAGAAAGGAGGATGTGATGATTGAATGAATTGTTTATGTCCACTAGATGGCAGTCGCGAACATAGGTGATTGCATAAATGTCAAGAATAGGACAACAGAAGTAGTCAGTCATTAGTGAGACACCTGTGTGCAACTTGTATGAGCAAACGAGCCAGAGCGACTTTAATAAAAGCATCTAAGAAGAAGCACAACGTCTGGTTCTTATCAAGCACGAACAGAACAGTTACCACAGAAGCTCATATTTTTAGCAGATTTTCTGTCTCATATGATTCTGTCAAAAAATGATGTCAGTTTTAACAAATATGTAAAAATCCTTATACTGCAGCTTTAACATTACTGTTCTAACTTTGTTTCACTTTACTAACCCAGGTTTGTTTATTGTTGTCTCAAACACTTGATTGCATGTGTTGTAATAGAGAAGCCTAATCAGTGAGATGATTTGTTTTTATCCTTTAATAATAAACACTTTCATCTAAAAAATGCATTTTGTCTTCACTTGTGTTGTCTTTGACTAATATTTAAATTGGCTTGACTTTTGACATGTCAAATTTGATATTTTGATATCAGAACTCTATGTAGAGTGATGTTTGGAGCCCCCTGGTGGCCAGCGAATGCTCTGCAGCTGCTTAGCTCACTTACGCCTTGGGCTGGCTCTGGCAGTAAGTCAGACACAAATGAAGATTTGCTACAAGTTTTCAGAGTATATTGTAAATATTAACTAAACCATCAATAAATTCTCATTCTAAGCTAAACAAATGCTCTGTCTTAGTTTTTATTTGCAATTATTTTTCATCATCATCAGTACAAACTAAAACCAGGTCTTTTATTATTAATGAATATAAATGTATTTATAATATATTTATTTACATGGGGTAAATAAATATAAAATGATTTATTTGTATGTAAATGAAAATGTATTTATTTATAAATTAATTTGTCAATAAATTATAAATATTAGTATTAATTACTTATAAATAATGACAAATGTTTGACAATAAAATAATGACTAAAATTATTTTATGAATATGTAAATAATTTATATGTATATAAATATTATAAATATTCACAAAAACATACATTTTTATTAACATATAAAGTCAGCAGGGAGGAAATATATAAAAAAATATATTTATTTATTTATGGTGTACAAACACATATTATAAATATGTAATATAACTGAGACGTTATTTTTTCCTTAACTGGGATGGAAAAATACCAGTTAAAATAAAATAAAGTGGTATATGCTATATTTTCATATCTATTGAGATATACTCATTTATTATTTTATTCAGTTATTTTACTTTCCTTCCAGAGTTGCTATATTTTTTAATTGTGTTGTATTTTCTTCATGCACATTGACAGTAAAATTAATTTTAATTCTGAAAAATGATACACTCAAATCCTTTAAAAATAATAAATCTACTGTTAATCCTATTGTTATTGGATATATTTGGAGTGAAAACCATCATTCACGTTGTTTAAATGTATTTAAATGTTTGTAAATAGTAATTTTTTTTCTTTTTTTGGACAGATTTAGTGTCGTCTGGTTTGTTTTATGTGTTTTCTGAGGGATTGTGTTGGACAGATGGAGTCTTTAATCCCGTCTGCGGCCTCTGTCTACCATCCTCCATCCCTGCCGTCCTAAATCCACCTCACAGTTTCTGTCTACTTCCTGTCTGTCTCTCAGTGTTGCAGTAACTCAGTCCAGTCACTAGACGGGAATATTGTGCAGCCCATAATTACATGGGCTGCACAAAGCCTCCCAGGCTAAAATCTACAACAAAAAAAAAATCACTGAAAACCAAATAGTTTAGTCAGATTTCACCAATAATTGTCCACAAAGTTAATTAACATCTGGATTCAGATGAGGCAGCCTCATTATCTCTCCATCGCCGCATCATTTGACCCACATTTCAGGAAGGGACAGATTATCTTTCACCATGTCACAAACACAAATATGGCTGGAAAAGTTGACAGACGTTGCTCCTCAATCTGCAGTCAAATAATCTGAAATGTGACTCAGTTAGCAGAGATGTTGGGTTAGGATTACAGATGCTTCCTTAATCCTCAAAAAACACAAATCTGCCTTTAATTTGGCTCCCTAAGACAAAAGCTGCAGCATTGAAGCACAAAACACTGAAAACATGGAGCATTTGTTCACTGAAACTGGTAAACTCAAGATAATAATGGATATAACTGCAGTTTTTAAATTGTTTCTATTTTGATCATTGACATTCCTTATATAATTATATTCATTATTACTTTAGTCGTGTTTAAAGTGTCGTATTGATTTCAGTGTGTGTGACACCTTTAAGTCTTCCTGTTTCATTTTATGGGGTTTGTTTTGAAATTGGATCATTTCTCGCGCTACTTCTGGCAATTTTACACATTATTGTTGCAATTATATGTGTTTTTAATCACATTTTATTTTTATATTGTTGAAGCTTAACATACGTTATTGTTGATGTCTTATCTTAGACTATTGATGTCTTTTGGTCATTTTAAATGTTTTTTGTTATATGTATTTCGTGCAATTATAGTCATACAATAAAACTTCACACTGTTATTGTTGTTGTTGTTTGTCTTTTTCTCATGTTGTAATAATCATAACTTTGACAGACTATTCGTTATATGGTCAGCACCTTACAAATTTGGTCATTTATTCATTTACTTGTGTAGTAATTTTTAACTGAATTCAATCTTCTTTATGCTTGTTAATTCAGGGACAACACCCACGAGTTGATCCGTGGTCATTTTGATTACTGTATTTTATTTATTTATTTATTTATTCTAACGGGCTAAAAGGAAAGGCGGGTTGGTTCTTCGTGATCGTGATTAATTACAGAGATTTAAAACATCAGAGTCTCTGACAGGAGAGTCAAAGCTGATTGAGTCTGGACTGGGCGGTGGGGGATGGGGGGCGCCGCGAGAGCAGCCGCATCAAGCCACCTTCAAATATACGACGAACCCGGAAGTCGTGCAACTGGGCTTCAAAAAATAAAAGCACCACTGTCACCAATAGAAGTAAATATTTACTATCAGAGGTACTGGGAAGTAGCTACTTACATTTACTCTGTTACATGTACTTGAGTAACGTTTGGAAAAAGAAAAAAGTATTTTTAAGAATGGTTTTACTACACCATATCTTTCAATTTACATTTTTTTTTCTAATGTTATTTTCCATTTGTTGAGATTTTTATGAAATTTGGGGATTGTGTGAAGGTAAGTAGCGAGTACTAGTAAATTATAAATGACAGAAATGATAAAAAAGTAACAAACGTAAAAAAAATATCTTTTTCATTATTCTGTCCTTTAGAAACTTTATTTTGTTTGCTAATTCTGGATTTTTCTGTGGAACATAATTTCTAATTATTTGTAGAGATGAGATACTGATGCATCTTGGGAAAAGGGAATTATCTGGTGAGCAAAGCATCCAATCCTAGAGCTCCATTTGTTTTCCTTAATGCTGATTGGCTGAAGTCCCCAAACCATAAATAGTAGCTTCTGCTATATTTAATTGGTCTTTTAACTATACATTTAAACTTATTTAAAACATAATATTCATAATTTATCCCCGTTATTGAACCAAATCTGCCCAACGCAGTGTGATCTGTCACTTTAAAACGCCTTTGATTAAGTATGACGTCTGATCAACGGTCATATTTCGGGTTAGCGAATGGCCTTATTTTGAAAAACCCAACCGGAAGTCCTCCCATCCACGGTCGCCTTCTTGACTCTCCGATTGGTCAGCAGAGAAAAAGGGATCCAGCGAGTAACGGGAGCAGAGCTGGCGTGGAAATTAAATGAAACTGGATAAAAACCCAGCAGAAGGGATAAGAAAGTCACTGAAAACAGGTGAGCAGGCGCGGAGTCAGAGTTTGACCTGGTTTCCCAGCCGGATGGTTTCCTCCCCGCTGTTGTTTTGGAAAGATGAGGAACATCATCAAAGTGTTTGGAAAGATCTGCTGGACTGTTGGGGCGGCGATTCCTGCAGCCGGGTGAACCCAAACAAAAACCGGATTAAAGTGATCAAAACTCTGCCATCACATTTTAATGCAACTCTGAGCGAGAGGGTCAGAGTTGGGGAACAAATGTTAATTTAAGCTTTTCAAAGTATTCCTGATGTGTTTGATGTGCTGCTCTGTCCTAAAAATACTTGAATTTTAAATTGGAGCACTTGTTGCTTTAGTTTTAAGGAGAACATCCTGTATGGAGGGACCCGCTCCCTCTCTGCAGGCTCTCCGCGGGGGGCTGCTGTGACTTACAGGAAAGATGATAAAAGGCCAATTGTCCCACATCTGGGGGAAAGCTGCAGCAAATCCCAGTCTTATCAGATATTCCAGCGCTAAACAATGCCGGCTTGTTTTCACGTTCAAATCTTTAGCTGCAAGTGTATTTTGGTGCCCTGAATGCTGATGTGCTCCTCTTCCTCTCTTAGGTCTGCTTGGATCAGATAATCGATGAAGAAGCCAACCAGGATGAGGATCTCTGCTTAAAACGTCCCCACTTCCTCTTCCCTCTGTCTGGACGGAGAAAACCCACTTTAGTTTTTTTTCCCCCGTTCCACAGCAGAAGCATTGAGCTGGAGTCATGGCGAACATGTGCCCTTATGGCCGTTTCACCCACGCCGTGGTGAGAGGCATCCCAGAGACCTTTGGGAAAACAGCTGGAGAGGGCCGTGAGAACGGGGAGGTCACGGTGGACCAGGCCAAAGCCCAGCGTCAGTTCGGCTGCCTGACCGGGGCGCTGAGGCAGAAGGTGGGCCTCCAGCTGATCGAAATCCCCCCCGACCCCGAGCTGCCGGAGAGCTGGAGGGTGGAGGACGTGGCGGTGATCCAGGGAGACACGGCGCTCATCACCAGGCCGTTCAAGCAGCAGAGGCGCAGCGAGGTAACGCAGAACACCAGGAAATCCACCAGTGGGGCTCAGAAACATTGGGGTTGTTTCAGGAAAGAGAAGCAGCTGGAACGGCCCAGCTGAACAACTGGCTGCTGCTGCTGCGGTTCTGACTAAAACCAGGAAGCTGGAGCACATCCCCCCAACTCTACACCTCAAAAATATTCAATCTTAACAAGTATTTTTGGTTTCATTTCTAGTGCAAGTATCTTAGCAAACTTGAAATAAGACACAAATAACTTACAAGTAACTTCAACAAGCTCTAGAAGCTTCTTTTAAGTAAATAATTCCTCAATATTAATAAAAACCAGGGTTACTGGTTGCTAGGCAGATTATTTCACTAAAACAGGAAAAATATCTTGTTATAAGTTTAATAATCTGTTCTATTTGGAAAATGTAGGCAGAGAATAAATTGTTTTTAGATTTTTTAGACTTTTACTTTGTTTTTACTTTTACTACCAGTTCTGTTTTTCCATCAATAATCAATAATCCTTTAAAGGCTGACCACTGGAGAAATGTTGTCTAAAAACACAGATATAAATGTACTGAAGTATAAAGTTGTTTGATAACTCTGCACCAGTACAGCACATTTCAAGAGCTTTATCAACTGGTCAACATCAAAAAGCAACATTAATTTTTTCAGTGAGTTCAATGTAAAATAAATAATAAAGAAACTGAAATGGACAAAAACAATACAAACTTTCTTTCAAGTTCAGAAATTATTAGGAATTCTAAATATAATGTAAAATAAGTAATAAAGCATAATGTCACATAGAATTAGATTGAATAGATCTGTTCTTATGCATCAGTCACTCAATGGAAAGTTTTAGCTAACAACTCTAAAAAAGTTGCAGTTAACCTGTTTTTAATGAATAGAGAATATCCTTAAAGGAGCACTGTGTTGTGTTCAGTGCCATCTAGTGTTGATTTTCAGAACTGCAACTCTTCGCCAGCTGAGCTCATTTAAAGTTCAACAGTGGGGCGCCTCCTGTGCCTGTTTCTCCTCTTCTTCAGGCGGACGCAGTGAGGCGGGTGATGTCAGAGCTCAACCTGACCGTGGTTGAGATGGGCGACGAACAAGGCGACTCTGGCGGCGCCACGCTGGAGGGCAGCGACGTCCTGTTCACAGGGAGGGAGTTCTTCGTGGGGATTTCCTCCCACACCAACCGTAGAGGAGCCGAGGTGCTGGCAGACACCTTCAGGGTAAGAAGCCGCAGACTTCATAGAGGAGCGGTGCGTTCAGGGACCTGACAGTCTGGGGGAATCTGGAGAAGAATTTAAGGCAAGAAAAACAGGAATATTTATATTCCCTGGATTTGTCAAAAGACTGAATCCATCCGTCCATCCATCCGTGTGATTTTTGATCTTTTTAAACCTTTTATCAGTTTTTTTCCTGCTGTCTCATTGCTGAACATTCAGATCATTTGCTGTGAGTAATTTAAAATCCAGGCATTTCTTCTGTTTTTCTCCAGCTTCCTAATTTGTTTCACCTCCTAAATAATCTAGTGTCATATTCAGAAACAGATGATTTAAGCTTTAAAGCCTTAAAGACATCGTGAAGCGTTTGTCACTAAAACACCAGCCTGATTTAAACTCCTGGAGTTTAAAGATCCTGGAGTTTAAAGTTCTTGGAGTTTAAAGATCCTGGAGTTTAAAGATCTTGGAGTTTAAAGATCCTGGAGTTTAAAGATCTTGGAGTTTAAAGATCCTGGAGTTTAAAGATCCTGGAGTTTAAAGATCTTGGAGTTTAAAGATCCTGGAGTTTAAAGATCCTGGAGTTTAAAGTTCTTCCAGAGAAGTTGGAGGAAGCGAAAAGTGTTAAATTACCACATTTGCGCGGTCGAGGCCGGGTCGCTGCCAGGACCGTAAACAGAGAGCTGCTGCTAAAGTGAGCAGGTGGTCATTTGCTTTATTGCATTTTGGGAATTCTTGTCTGCGAGCGGTGATGAATGAGGTCGCCTCATTCCTGGGATAATGAAGGACCGCACGCTGCCCTCCCTCTGGACTGATGAGAACCAACATCAGGATTGATTTTCCCCACTTCTGCTGAGTGCATCTCTCTCTTTCTCTCTCACACACACACACACACACACACACACACACACACACACACACACACACACACACACACACACACACACACACACACACACACACACACACACACACACACACACACACACACACACACACACCCAGCCGGTTTTATGCACGCTGTTTGGGTGGATGGTGTTCGTGCGCTCTGGGCGGGGATTTAACAGGAAGTGTTTGTCGTGCTCATATGTTTTTTCCTTTAGAGGAATTTGACCCAGTTTTCATTCTTCTTTTGTTTCTTTCTGAAAACATGGATGGAAATGTCGATTCAAATCTGATTTCAATAAAGAGTCGCATGACGTTTGTCTCGACTCTTGACAAAGATGGAAACATTAAACTTTTACGAGTTTCTCAATAAAAGCTTTCTATAATTCATGAACTGGTTAACGTCGACCGAACCCTGAAACTCGGGTCTCAAAACGTTCATCTTTAAATCTTCTGTTCAGGACTTTGCAGTGTCCACCGTCCCGGTCTGCGGCGGTGCCAGGCTCAAGAACTTCTGCTCCATGGGCGGACCGGACACCATCATCATCAGCAATGGCGACGGCGCCAAGAAGACCCTCAGGGTGAGAGAAACCGTTTCCTCCCGCTGCTCCGCTCCCACATGCTGGAATATAAGTGAAATATCTACACTGCAAAAACACCAAATCTTATTTTTGTCTAGTTTCTAGTGTAAATATCTAAGTACACTTTAAATAACACATTTCAGGAAGATATAGAGGCTTGTTTTAAGTCAATAATTCCTTAATATTGATTTTAAAAAACTACTTGTTCCACTGGCAGATTATTAAACTTACATCATGACATTTCCATCATATATGTGAAATAATCTGCCAAAGGAACTTGTGCTTTTTCATCAATATTTAAGAATTATTGACTTGGAAAAAGCTCCTATAACTTTGTAAAAATGTACTTGTTAATTTTGGCTCATTTCATGTTTAGTAAGATATTTACACTGTTTTTGTAGCGTGGCTTAAAAAGACCCTGAGATACGTTTTCTTTTCTTGTTTGTTTTTGCTTTAAAGGTGACAAATTGTGCTTCCTAAAATAGGACAGGATGTTCATTCATTTTTTTTCTTCTAATAATGATATTTTAGCTGTCTGAGGTTTAGTGTGTTGGTTTCAGATGATGGAGCAGCTGACCGATCACCACTACGACGTTCTCACCGTCCCGGAGGAAACTGCGGCCAACTGCATCTACGTTAAAGGCCCGTCCAAACGGGACTTCCTGCTGCACCGGCCCGCAGAGGAGTGTCCCGACAGCGTCTGCGTGAGTTCACAGCAGCTACCACGGTTTTATCTCACATCACATCCATCTGGGTGGAAAATGGCTCCTAACTGTCCTGGAATATTCAAAATACTTTCCTCTGATTGTAAATAAATAAAATGTTTTTGGTGTTTTTCAGCTTAAAAACAGAATTTAAAGAATAAAGTAAAAATATTCATGAGGAAAGTATTTAATTAATCTTCAACTGGAGTGTAGAAACTCAAAAAAAAGGCTATTTGCTGAAAGAACATATTCAGATATTAAGCCAAAACTGCATGAAAAATGTATAAATGTTGCAATACAAAAATTAAAACAAAAGACTTTTGGGTCACATTAAGTTCTTAAAGGGCCGGTTGCGCCAGAATGTATCAATCACCCTGATAGATAAACGTTAGAGGCGTCTCTGCATTTGATAAGTTCTTCTTAAAATGAAATATTGAACATCTTTTCACATCAATCAGTTTTCCAGAATTGCACTTTTTAATTTTAATTTTTTTTTTTTGCAATAAGAATCAAAATTTTTCTGATGCTAATCAAGAAAAATGAGCAAAAAAGCAAAAAACGTTGCAATATGTAATTCCTCTCAAATAAGGATAGAAGTAAACAATGCTGCCACCTGGAGGTGGGAGTTGGCATCACTTAAAGCCGATGTTTTGACCATTTTTCTGAAAAAAAATTCAACAAACTTTGTTATGCAGAAATGTAAAAAAAAATATGCATTTTCTTTTTTTGGGCATTAATTTCCGCATCCGCAATTCAACTGGAGGTGTTGACTGATGTATTTTGGCAGTAATCCGATAAAAACGTTTTGATTTGATTAATAAAACAATATTTAACTACACAGCTGTCAAATGTGGGAAAAACTGTACTGCACACTTTACACCACACTGCAAAAACACACTGTCTTAGCAAATATAACCAAGTACTTTTGTCTAGTTTTTAGTCTAAATATCTTACTACACTTAAAATAACACAAAACTATCTTACAAGTAACTAATCAGCAATATGTTGAAGCTTGTTTTAAGTCAATAAATTCTTAATATTGATGAAAACGTTATATTCCGTTGGCAGATAAATTTACTTATAACAGGACAATTCCTCCATGTTTTAAATTAAATAATCTAGTATTTTCCCATCAATTTCAATGAGTTTTTTTCCATGTCTTCTTGAAAAGTTAGTTTAGCTTATTTCAAGCATATTGAGATATTTGCTCTAGAAACTAAAGTGCTTGCTAAGTTAGTACATTTTTGCAGTGTGGTGGGCCAGATTTGGCCCCCGGGCCTTATGTTTGACCCCGGTGGGTTAAGTGTTCCTCAGCCTGAGAAAGTTTGAGAAACCCTGGACTAGAGTAAAATCCTGATTTAGCAATAAGCAGACGCCCAACCAAGTTTCCGATCGTGAACGAGTGTCATGCCAGTGATTCATTTCAGCCGTTCTGCTTTCCAGCAGCCGTTATCCGCCTCCTCCTGCATCAGCCTGAGCCAGCGATGACTCTGTAACTGGATGAGTGAATCGTTTCCTGTCGGTTCTCTGCAGGCCTTCCAGAAGCTGCAGGACTACACCCTGCTGCCGACGGCCTGCAGCGAAGCGTCCAAGCTGGGAGCGTCTCTGTCCTCGCTCTGCCTGCTCATCAACAGAAAGCACACGTATTTCTGAGGACGCCGTCACATAATCACGCAGCTTTTTATCCTGGTGGCTCATTAGTCACGGCCCACAAAGTAAAAACAGTGTTCAATAATAATAATGGTTTCAGGACAGAGATCTGTGGAGCAGCTGCTCCCCCTGCTGAAAGTCCAGCTGCAGTCAGATCCTGTCATTTCATTTTACAGTACAAAGAAAAATGCTACTTTTCTGCAGGTTTGGCACAAGAGAGAAGAAACCCAGATGGTTTAGTGATTTTTTTATACAAGTAGTGTTATATTTTTAATTGAGCACAAGATCTAAACCACTAAAGTGAATTATAACTGTTCAGAGATTAATCTACAAGTTAATTACATTCATTTTAAAAGGCTTGAAATAATAAAGTTTAATTTTCTAATCACTGTCCTTTAAGGTTCACCTGTAAGAACTGAAATAACTCATATTTCATTCATTACAAAGTGTAGTTTTAGTTTAGGGAAATACAGCGAGCTGCTCAACGAAGGATGTTTTAGCTTCCTAGAATATTCATTTGTAGTTGTGGAAATAAAATCTTAACTTTCACCCTGACTCCAGTCTTCATTTAATCATTATAAGTTTTAATCGTCAATTTAAGTCGTTTTATTCATTCTTTATGGCAAATACAACCAACTAAAATGATTCAAATTAGAAACCAAAGATCAGGCTTTTTCTAGCTGATCCTTTACTTTTTAATTCAATCACTTAAACATTACTGGTTAATCGACTGGAACTAATTTTAATCTAATAAACCATTGATAATCAGTAATTAAAACCTTTGTGACGTTAACAGTAGTTTTTGTTTCAGTTTAGCTTCTAGAAGTAACGTAGTTTTTCGTTAACTTTACGTAAAAAACAAACCTTTAGATTTTCTCCGATATTTTTTCAAAGATAAATGTCAGTAAATCTGATTAAATGCAGTTAGCATGCGAAGTTTAAAATCACACTAAGTGGCATCCTGAAGAAACCCATTTCAGATTGAAACGTTTTTATGCAGGCAGAGCCATAGTTACCTAAAAAAACGTAGTAAATAGTTTGTAATTTTCAATGTTTTCACAATTGCACCAAAAAATATTAGTGTCACCCCAATCAAAACACACACTAGTTGAAATTTTCCCAAATTTATTAGTTTTGTCTGACAGCGAACATGTTTAACGGTTGGACTTGGCGACTCTCTCCAACTCGTCCTTCTTCTTGATGGCGTAAGAGTTAGAAGAACCCTGGAACAGAAACCAAGAAGAAAAGTTCAGAACATCTGAGGCAGAAATATGGTCTGATTTCAGGCTGTGAGTTACCTTGGCTGCGTTGATCAGCTCATCAGCCAAACACTCAGCGATGGTCTTGATGTTCCTGAAAGCAGCTTCTCTTGCTCCTGTGCACAACAGCCAGATGGCCTGCAGACAGCAGAACGTTTCAGATTAAGGCCCTGAGAGTCGCGGGTCGGTTTCAGCAGAGTTAAAACATGCGGCGGTGTCGCCGTGTGTCTGAGTTGGTGATTGACCGGGTCACAAATGGACTGCAGCCAATGAATAAGCAAAGACATTTTCTCTGCGAGCGCTCTAGCACACCGGGACAACGGATCATATCCAGACGTGACTCTAGCCTCACTTTCCCCGGATTTAAGAAAAAAAGATTGGACTTTTCTACCTGGTTGACTCTGCGGAGGGGCGACACGTCCACGGCCTGCCTCCTGACGGTACCGGCGCGCCCGATACGGGTGGAGTCCTCACGAGGTCCACTGTTGATGATGGCGTTGACCAACACCTGCAGAGGATTCTGAAGCAAATGTGGAGGCAGAAGATTTTAAATACAACCTGGAGGAAACGTCGACCAAACCCTCACTTCTTCAGTAGCTTTTTGGAGTCGAGTTTGTTCTGCACAAGTTAAAGAAAATGTTTTATATGACAGCAACATGGGAGCCTTTATATCATAATTCAGTATTTTTCCTTCAAGCTGAGCTACAACCTGCATCACCTTTGCTTTTCTCTGCCTCCACTGACAAAGTTAAAATCATTTAAGATGCAGACGGATAGAAGTGCAACTAAAACATTTATTTTCAAGAACTGCTGTTTCTGGAATCAAACAGAAACCAGATCTTAAGCCAATTTTTAATTATAAAAGTGCAAAGCTTACCTAAATTTACATCAGGAACAAGTATCAAAAAATAATTCCCGTTTTCCCAATAGGTTTCCCAGAGAAACTACCAGAGACTACTTAAAGAGGGAGATTAAACAGTGGAGAAACTTATTTTTCACACATTTAATTTAGAACAATTATAGTCTGAGGTTTCCCAGGTTCCATATTTAATGTCAATGTTGGATAAAATGTATGATCTTTTCAATTTGGAGAAGTGACTCAAAAACTGACAACTTTAGAAAATGATAGAAAAAAAAACATTTAGAAAAACAAGACAAAGGATGACAGGATGGGCACATGAATGATGGAGGGACTGATGGAAGCTTTTTATTACATTTTAAATGCATCTTGCTTTTAGTGGTTAAACTAAAATCCCTCAATTTTCAAATGTCAAGAAGAAAACTGAGTAGTTTTTTTAAAAGAATATATTAAATTATGCATTTAAGATCCTTTCACCAATCAGGCTTTAAATAAACAACTTGTAAAATCCTTAATCAATAAAGGAATGACACCAAACTAAAAACTAAAGAATAGAAATACAAATCTTTCTCTACAACAGTTTCCTTTTGAATTCATCCAGATTAAATTTTCCAAATTTTTTGAGCAGATATTGAAGAAAATGTCAAAACATTCATGAGTTCTGGATACTTTCATTTTGAAAACTTTTGACAATAAATGACAGAAGGATGCAGGAAGAGATGAACAGAGCAAAGTTGTTGGATTTGATCATATTTGATATCAAAATTAACTCACCAACAATGGGACAGATAATGTCTGGAAATAGTTTTTTTTTAGTTTTCTATACTCATCCAGACAGATATATTTATATCCAGACTGGAGGATCCCTGTGAGTAGTTGGCATTAAAAATATGGAAGTGGAGCAAAACAACAGAAAAAGAAGAAAACATTGCTCCATGAACTATGAAACCCAGAGTCAGTTCTCACCAGACTAAGACTGTTAGATCATAGAAACACTTCATTCCTTCAACCCAGAATCATCTGGTCATTTCTGACTTCGTGAGACGTTACCTCTCCAGTCAGCAGGTGGATGATCTCGAAGGCGTGCTTGACGATGCGCACGGTCATCAGCTTCTTGCCGTTGTTGCGTCCGTGCATCATCATGGAGTTGGTCAGACGCTCCACGATGGGACACTGGGCCTTCCTGAAACGCTTGGCGGCGTAACGTCCTCCAGAGTGTGGCAGGTACTTGGCATACTTCTCTTTCACCGCAATGTAATCCTGCAGCAAACAGAGATGCCTTTAAAAGCCGCAGCTCATTCAAAGATGTGCAGCGTCGTTCGGGTGGGCGGTGTATCTCAGCTGGTGATTGGCTGGGCCACCAGAGACTACAGCCAATGAATAGGCAGAGATCTGTTCCTCTACGAGAACTCTAGCACGACAGGGCAACAGGTGAATACCCAGACGTGACTCTAGCCTCGCGTACGGCAACGTTAGCTGATGTGTGACTTTCTGACAGCTACCTGCAGGGAGATGTCGTTGATCTGGACGTCATCGGTGCTCCACTTGCCAAAGAGCTTGATCTCTGGAGTCTCAGCCACAGCTGGGGCAGTCTCCCAGTCAGTCACTGAGGACGCAAAGAAAATGTTACTTTACAGACACAAAACTCCACCGTGTTTTTAAATAAAAAGTCTTACTAGAGTTCCTACAACAGCCGTGACAAAATTCTACATTGATTAGTTTCAAATCCTCTTTAGACACATTAAAAGTATAAATAAATTGCCAAGAATTTGTTAGATTTAGTTTGTCATTGTGGTTTGAATAACGATGGACGACTACCAGGACAAATTGGTTGAAGAATAGATTTAAAAATATATATATGAAGGACAAACGAGAAGACTGATGGATGGACAGAAGAATATATACATTATTTCACAAGATGCAAGAGTTTTAATTTTCTTATTCACAACTCAAATAGTTTCCACACCTTAAAATGCATCAAAAGTCAAATGTCACACCAAAATATAACTACGGGGATATTAAACCAATGTAGGGTGGTAGATAATTAAATAAAAATGTTTATAATGCTACACTTTTTTAATTTATTAAAAAAAAAAAAAAAAAATCAGATGTAAAATTCACCTAGCAGGACTGAGAAAAACCTTTTAATAGATGCAAATGATTCTTGGTTGGAAAACAAACCAAACAAATCATCAAAATAATTGATTTAAGAAAATAATGAATCGAAAAGACATGACCAAAAACATCATCCGCTTCGTAATATCTCTCTCCATTATTACAAGACTTTTCAAGATGAACACAAAATACACTGTATGTAAAAATACTTTAATTTTTAATGAAATTAAATTAATTTACTAGACACTCACTGTGTCTGAATCCATAAAAGCTAATCAGAGCTCAGAAGGCCGCAGTAGAAGCCCGTTTAACTTTCACAACTAAAGCGTTAGGAAATGTTCAAAACGTGCTGCGGTTCATTATATTGAACCTGTGTTTTTGTCTCAATAGCATTGGAACACGTATAAGTGGAGTATTTGATGAAATGATGAACCAAATGTGACGTCCACAAGCCAGAACGGCTCAACGTGCCGCAGACACACGTGCTAACAGGTTAGCCATATGCTAAAGCGGAACGGTTAAGATAAATAAAACCGCCGTTAGGGAACCTTATCCCATCCTGAGTTAATGCATCGATAAATGCTGCTCAGAAATGCCATCAGATGTTGGTTTCAACTTGCTATTGTGGCAAATGCGGCAAAAATAAACTGAAATCTTAACTCACTCGTTTCTGCCGCTCCGAACCACACTTCTCTGAGACGGAAAAGGGCCTTACCGTGGCGCCGCGGACGGATATCCGGCGATGAGGTCGCAAAGCATGATGGGAAATGTTGTTTCTTAAGACATGGATATTTACTATCTTTAAGCTGAGAAAAACTATTTGCCATCAAAATCACTGGGATTTAAATACAGCAATGTACATTTATGAATTTGATCAATAACAATTTTGATATAAATTGTATTCACATATTTTAATAGGTAAAATATCGAGAAATGCATATACTATGCTTTACTTCATATGGAAAATATAAAAACCTATTAATTTTGCTGAATAAAATAACGTAACCTAATTTTTAATGGTAAGACTTATTTTAAGATGTTTTTAACATTTCTAACCCTTTTATAGGTGATGACTTCATGCAATACATGGTTATCCATTAAATCACAAAATTAAAAAAAAATTAAACAATGTGACATGTGAATTATCATTCTTCCTATTATCAGTTTTCTTCTGCATAGAGATCCAGAAGATAACTGGAAAAAGACAAAACAAACCAATGTGTATGTTCAAATGTATTTATTGAGAAAATGTCAGCTTTTAGTTTCTTTTCATTTGCAGGACAAACACTGTAGAAACTTCCAAAATAGTCATTCTAGTTTTAAAAAGGTTCCTTATTTACAATATCTGGTTGTAAAAGCAGAACAAATGAACAGAAGGTGTCCCTTCATACTCATTAGTTATGGGTTTCTTGTAATAAATGACACAAAAAGTAAACAAAAATAAAATTGTAAGCAGCTTGAACACATTTGAAAGCAAACTTTGTTCATGAGTTCCCTTCTCGCTCCATGTGCAATCCACGCTTCGATAATTCACTTCCCGTCTCCACACATTAACAAACAAATTTCCATTTCCCTTCTTTTGATAAATATACATGAATAAAACATGTTGCAGAATCAGCAAACATAAAAATGTAACCAGTTTTTGGAAAAAAATGAATCCCTTTTCCACTAAATATGAAAACCAGTGAAATGCCTGAGTCATCTAAATGTAATGGAGGGTAACAAACACCACATGTACAGTTCTGATCCGACAGTTGTGCACTAATCACTCGTCATGAAAATTGATGCGTCATTTTAGGCTTTAATGAACGACTTTGTCCGAGTTATGACTTTATTCTCGTAATTAAACATATAAATTCTTAGCTGGACTAACATTTTGTCGTAGAGTTGATCTGAATTTAAAACAGAAATAAAGAGAAGCTGGAAAATAAGCCTGACAAACAAGATGGCTGCCTTGGTCGCGCTGAAATCACTCTGAAGAAGTGGTGAACATAATCCACATTTTCCCAAAAAAAAAAGATCAATAAAATCGATTTTTCACCCGGTCCTACTGCAAATAAACCAGTAGGACAGGTTTATTTGACTTTACCAATTGTGGCAAAGAGAACAGACAAATAACCAACAGGAAGTTATTTTAGAAGCTTATTGAAGTCAGTTTATCTGTAACTTGCATCCATTTGTTTTTTTTTTATGTTTCCATTGCATCTTGTTCAGTTAAATGACACCTGAATTCCCACGAGGAGGAGATTGTAGATGTCTGACCAGAACTGTAAGCTTTTAGTGGATCAGTAACGCTTCACTACCTGACTGGCCACTTTGCACTACTTTACACTTATACCTATATAATGTAATAGATGTATTTATTTATTTTTAGCACCGTCACTGAAGGCAGTGTGTCAAAGCACTTTGGACATGAAACACTGAGGCATGTAAGGAAAATAAAAACATTTAAGGCTTAATCCACTAAAGCGGTAGGAGAACATGTCTAGAGTACTGCATGAATCTGAGGAAAAACCCTGATACTGGTGATCAGCTTTTTCATGCACACTGACAATAAAAGGTTAATAAAGGTCAGGATCTGGTTAAACATGATATAAATGTCTGCAGTAGATGAGCAAGGCAGTAATCATCTGTACAGGACGACAGCAGGTCGTTCAGGCACGGTCGGGTTTGCATGGTGTCGCTGACATACGTTAAACAAAACTCATGGGTTTTGTTTAACTGTGGCAATGTATTTCAAAGTTAGCACTTAAAATAAAAGTTTAATATTATGGGGCCAGTGTTATGAGTATCTCTTGCAAAGCCACAGGAGGTCTAAAAATGAAAATGAGTTATTTTAGTAGTCTGAAGGAAGTCAATAAAAACCTTAAGCAAATGGTAATTAGACACAAAATAGTGACGGTAAATTTTTAAGCTGCCAATAAAACCTGATTCCAATTTAAGAACCAAAATAGAACAAAATCAAAAGATTTTTTATGACAAAACCTTTAAAAATTCAAAAGAAACCAACTTTCCTGAACTGCATTCAGCCTTCCTGTTACGTGCTGAAAGCCTGGCTCTCTTTTCCTGAACTGAAGAGACGCCTTGACATATTTTAAAAAATGGTTTCCTTTAAAATGCCTGCAGGTTGAATTTTGAGTTTTCTTAACTCTGTAACAGCTTTTACACCAAAGAGTGATGAACTCTTTCAATTCTGGATCATTTTTCAGCTCATCCCTGCTCTGACCAATGATTTAAATCCACTTTAGATGCGTTTACAACTTTTTGAGGTCAACAGAAAACAATAAAATGCCGATAAAAAAAATAAATTTTGAATTTTACATGTAAAATTTGGGTGTTTTTGTTGCACTTTGTTTTAAAAAGTTACCTGCAGTATATTTAAAATAAAATTCTCTTCTTGTCACTGGAGTCTTACCAGGAGAGCAAACAAATACATTTACAACTTCTTTAAATATGAGCATAAATAAAGATTTCTCATTAGCAAAAGCAACAACTTACTGAGAAAGAAGAAATAAATCCAGCAATCGCTGTTTGATATCTGACTCAAATGGTCAGTCATCAGATATTTCTGGATTTTAAGATGGTATGAGCTTAATAAATAGCAGAATATCTGTCTGTGTGAGTGTGTGTGTGGCTACACCAGCCACTTCTCGATGCACGTGTGGAACACCGTCTCATTCGAATGCCACCAGACGTGCTCGACGCCCGGAACGGTGCAGAAGAACAGGTCGCCGCGGGCCGCCAGCGTCTTCAGGCCAAAAACGTCTCTCAGGTACAGCTGCAGGGGGAAAACAGCTTTCACTGCAAGGCTTCACCGTCAGAAACTTCACAAACCTTCAGGCGTTTTTGAGTGCAGGATAGAAGAAACAACTCCGCTCTTCAAACACAAATGTTTGTTTTGCTAAATTTTTGCAGTTTGAACACTTCTTCTGAGCTGAATGCACAATCTGCGTTTAAAATCAAGATAGTAAGAAAGTATACTCTCATTTTAACATAATAAAAATTATGTTAAAGTTAAAGAAAATATGTAAATCATGTCATTACTTATTAAAACACAGAACAGAAAACCACCAAAACTCCTAAAAGCTTAATTATTCATTATAAATGAATAATGTGTATCAGTATTGGTGATACTGGCGGCATCAAATTGATACCAAAATATTCAGCATCACAAACCTCCATTATTGAAACTTTACCCTTTATGCATTTTTTGTTTAGCTTAGAATCTTATGTTTTAGATTGAAAATTACATTTATCTCACTATGTTAGGCTCATTATAGGAAAAAACATAAAACTCTACAGCAAAAAATTATTTTGTACCATTTTGTACCATGACTTCAACACATTTAGAAATATGAAAATATGAAGTAAACCATAATAAAATTATGAAAACCACGTAAAGAGGAAGTGTCAGAATTTGGGAGGAGTTGTTTTTTTAATTGAATAGTTTTGACACAAAATAGTTTCCGTTATAAAACCTGAAAACACGAACAGACTTCCAATCCAAAATGGTATTTTTGATTACAAAAAACAAAAACAGACCCTCTGATTAAATTAATCATCAGTGTCTTCCATATAATGAAAAGTTAGTTAAATTAACTAACTTAATTTGGAAAACAAATTAAGTTAGTTAATTTGTTTTCCAAATTAACTTGAGTTTCAAGTTAATTTGGAAAACACAACCTCAACCAGCAACCTCTGTAAGTTCCTGATAAATGGAAAACTGGCTGAATTTTGCGTCTGATTTCTACTCACATCCTGGTGCTGGATCTCGATGACCGTCTCGTTGTCGTCATAAAATCCAAACTGACTGTAAAACACAAGAGAGGGAGAGCGTGAGCGTCACATGAGAATCAGCAGATCTAAGGAAAACCCCGTCATAAAAAAGAAACGCTGTTAAACATGTGAACTGGGCATGAACCATTGTGACCCTGGGAAAATATAAAACCTTCAGGGGAGATTTGATGTGTTTGCTTGGAAAACATGAGAAGAGAAGTAGCGGCGCACCAGGTTCTGCTTTTTCTAACCTTCCACTAGAAATGATCTCTGTGTTGTTTCTCAAACCAGCTGTGCTGTGAACTCACCTGGACTGCCAGGGGGTGATGACGCCGTCGTCCGGGCCTCCAATCAGAACCAGCTTCTGGATCTTCAGGAAGTTCTCCTTCCATTCTGATGGAGGAAGTTCGACCCATTAAACAAAACAACGTGACTAGATCTCCAGGTACATGGATTTTCATTTGCATCATTTTTCTATTTTCTCTTTTTTCTACCAAAAGCTGGACGATAAAAGTCTTCAATCTGGTGCTTCGGTCTCAGCCAGTTTCTGTTGTTTTGTTTATTTATTTTGGATATTTAAAATGTCTTCCAGTTCTTGTATTAAACGTTTGTTAGAATTTAAACTTTATTGATCCTGAGAACTTGCTTTATTATGCCATTACTTATTTAGACATAATTAAACTTATTCCAACCTGTAGAATTTGGGTTTGGTCTCTCGCTGTTAATCAGAGCCAGGTAGTCGCTGGAGTTCACATACAGGTCTCTGTGGTGGGGGTCTGGAGACAGAGACACAGAAACAAGTTGAGATTTTATAACTTCAAAATCTAAAAGGTTTAGGAGGAATGGGGATTTCACAAAGTGCCCTGAGAGCTGCACGACTTCAACACATTTTTATTCAAATAAAAGTAAAAAGTAGCTGTTCAAGAAATTACTCTACTGAGAGTAAGACAATGTTTTACTCAAGTACTGAGTAACTGATCAAATTATTCACCATTTAATAGCTAAAAATGACATCAACTGTCCTAAACGGGAAGTTAAGAAAAACCGTTAGTATGTACAAACATTACGAAATAAGGTAAAATAAAAAACAAAACAAAAATAAATTCATATCAGTTTCTTTCAATATAAAACATGTGAAACTTTACCAAAAACTGCAGGTCTGGTTCTGGTGAAATTCTGGCTAAAACATGTTTGTTTTTAATTCAGTGTGTAGAAAATCCAGAAATGTACAAATACTTCATAATTATTTTACTAAGGTAAAAGTAAAATGCAAAAAGCATTTGTTGTTCAAAACGTTACTCAAGTAACTGTAACTGAGTAAAAGTAACTAGTTACTACCCACCGTTCCAGTAGTTGCAGATGGAAACCCTCTGACCGATCGCCGTGTAACAGAGGTGGTAGAGGTTCGACTTCACAAACTGAGGGAAGAGATACTTCAGGTAGTCTGTATCTGAGAGGAAATAAGAAGCAGAAGATCCAGAGGATTAATGAGAGGTGAGCAGAAAACCCAGAAATTATACTCTGTGTCAAAGTAGCACTATTTCAAAAATAGTTTTCACTCAACTGAAAGTAAAAAGTGGTTGTCCAAGAAATTACTCAAGTAAGAGTGAAAAAGTAGTTCGTAAAAAGAGCAACAGATCAAAATATCAATCATTTAATATTTAAAAATTACATTCTAATGAATCAAAATATAAAGATAAATGGACATTTTGGTATTTTAAGGAACAAAATAAGATCAGCCAAAAGAAACATTTCCCCAAATCATTTTCTTTCGATATAAACCTTATAAAACTTTAAACAAAAACTACAGCTGTGTGTCTGTTTGTGATAAATTTCTGGTTAAAACATGTTTGTTCACAGTGAAGTTACAGATTCCAGAACCTTTCCCAAATAATTCATCATATCATTACTCAAGAACAGGTAGCAATGACCTGTTCTTGAGTAAAATACTCCTAAAAGGACATTTTCTTCAGAAAAGTTACTCATGCAAATGTAACTAGTTGGTACCCAACTCTGGATTTAATAAACTCATAAATTTTATAACGTGCTCCTCACCCCTTTTATGCTTTAGATTGTGTCTGATGATGAGGTCATGTGACTGCATGATCTTATCATGTGATTGGTCAAGCTGCTCTCCTACAGACTTGTACAGTGCCATAACAGCAGGAGATGTCATTGATCCATCTAGCGTTACTTCCCCAACCCAGGACTTATCTGGCCCCTTTAGCATCACAGATCAACCCCCTTTCCTTAACAATAGACAAATGGCAAGACCATTTGGTTGGGCTCCACAGAATCCCTACATAACAATCAGGGATTCACACCTATTGTCCAATCAACCCTCTCTTCTCTCTTTTGGAAAACACCCAGAGACAGAGACTCCTTTGACTCTGTATTTCTGTTCTCATTGTTTTAATACATTTCTTATTTCTTCTCTCGTTAAAGTAATTTATTCCATGACATTTGTTGCTATTATTTTTATAACAACGTCGCGCACACCTCCATATTGCCCAGCTTGAGGCGCAGACAGAGAGATGAACGAGTGAACGTTGTGGTCGGGTAGAGTGGAGAGGATCCCTCTGCAAACGAGTCCACCTAAAGTAACAAACATGTATTTAATTTATTCATTAGATATAATTCACAAATCAACAAATTTAACACCAAAAACATGTCAGTCTTTCTGTAATGAGTCTATGTCATTTACAAGCTTCCCTTTGTGAAATTGAACTACATAAATATAGAAACTACTCAGGAAATTCTAATTTCAGAAAAAACATCAACATAAATTAGAGAAACTTAAACTATAAAAAGAAAAAAATACATTTATGATCCAAAACCTCAACAAACACTTTTAGTAAAAGAAATCAAATTCCAATTTCTGCATGCTTGTTTCTAAATATGCATTTCTGAGAAAACACCTGATTAGAACCTTGGCAAAAAGTCTAAAGGTCTAATCTGCATGTCTGTGATTGTAGGGAGTTTCCATCAGAAATCCCGAACATCATAAAAAATGCATCCAGCAATAAGCGCTGAGAGAAACTCTTAGAGATTACAGTCAACTGCTTATGTAAGATCAATTCTGCTGCCCGGGTCGCATACCAGCACTTTCTTTGAGCTACTGTGTCACCAAGAATGTGCTCACCTTGAGAGTAGCAGATGAAATGAACTCCATCTGCAGCGTTTTGCATTATTGGGTAAATGGCTGCCTTGAATCCCTCCACCTGCTTCCACATGGGCTTCAGGCTGGCACCTCTGTCGAAAAGGTCGATGACCGTCACATTGGTCCCAGGATGAGACTGCAGGACAGAAACTAAACTTCACTTGGGGTTGGAAGGCACTTGAGGAAATGTTGTGGAAGTTAAAACTAAGTGAAGCAGAAAAAGTTTATATTTAGTTGGTTTTCTAGTTTTGGTTTGCAGCTTCAAAGTAGGAAAGAAAGAGGAAGTACAGGTCGAAACCTCTATGGTTTCAAAAAGCCCACAAAATTTCCTCTTCTTTTAACCATTGCTACATTTCCAGTTTGAGAGTTTATAAATGTTTACTAGGATGTTATATGAACTTATGAAAACACACAGGACAGAGCACATTTAATTGCTTTTACAACAATCTTCATTTAAGTTTACCTAATGCACAAACTGCTCCAAATAATTTGTTTCTTCGTTTACTGACTTGGATATATCTACATTCTTCTTTTAATTAACTTTTTATACACTAGTATTTTAAATGACTGTTTTACACTATGTGTTTTGTGTCCTACTGTAACATTAATTTCCCCTCTGTCTTTATGCAATTAGGAAAAAAATAACTTTTAAAAATAAAAAATAATTAGAGATCAGATAAAGAAAAAAATAACGAATGCAAAAGAACTTAGAGGGGAGAAGAAAAATGAAACAAAACAAAAAATAGTCAAAACAGAAAATAATGTGTGCAGCATTTAGTGGATTTATTTGTATAACTAGTTGGGCCACTTTCTACCAAAATAATCTGTTTTTAAATGCAAATAATAGTGTTGATGTTCCGATACTGAATAAATAGCAACATTTTAAACTTTTAAAAGCTATAAAGTATTAACTTCATAAACTACACATGCTGAATTTTCATGCATATTTTTGTCCCACATGGTGCACTGAATTGGTTTTTAGCCGCTCACCTCATTAATGAACCGCTGGAGGTTCTTGAAGTCGTCGGAACTGTCGAACAGCCCGTGGACGATGATGACCGGCTTGTAGCCGAGCGCCGCAGCCCAGAGACACGCGCCGAGCAGCGGCCACAGCAGCGCGGCCGCCTCGCTGACTCTCCGCCTGGTTCTGGCAAATGATGCCGCCGCCATTGAGACGCAGACGCGTTAAGAGACCCTAAAGTGATTCCCTCCACATGAATAAGGACGCGTCGGGAGAAAGCAAAACAAGAAACACTGCTGTTTAGCTAATGTTGAGGAATCATCTTGAAGTTCGTTTGGTGTCCAGCTGCGGTCCAGATGAGCTCACAGTTACTGTTCCCTTCAGAAACCTTATTATTAACACGCAGTTTTTCCTCACACTCACATTAAACACCTGAGAAAACATTCAGCGGCCGATCCACTCCTCATCTGTTTGTTCCGGTTTTAAATTAAAGGTGAAACGGCCGCTGCCGACGTCACTTCCGGCTTCGACTTGTCCAATCAGCGCTCAGCGGAGCGATCCCGCCCCCATTTTGTTGCATCAGGTGGAGTTTCGATGTAAACACAGCGCTTCATGCGGTCCGGTTTAACACGTTTCTGTCCGCATTCAGCTTTAAGTTTTCAAATCCTTTTTAATTCTCTCAGGGCCAGTACTCTCAGGTCTTCCGGTTCTGGTCTGCTCTGCATCCCCAGAACCAGAACCAAACGAGGAGAAGCAGCTTCCAGCATCTAAGCACCACAAATTTGGAACAAACTTCCAGAAAACTGCAAAACAGCTGAAACACCGACTTCCTTTAAACCTCGACACACCTGTTTAGAATTGTATATAAAACGTAATCGATTATAAATTTAGTTGGGAACTTGCCATGTCATGTTTTGATTGTTGATTCTGTGGTAACTCAAATCCTCCAAGTATCTTAAAATTTGTCGTGAATGGTCATGATCAACATCACTGAACCGATGATTTGTTCATCACATGCATGATTTGATGATTTACAAATCAAATCATAACATTTTACAGCTGAACAGAAGCAAAACTGAAGTTGTAATCTTTGGGTTATTACAGCTAGAAACTGGTGATCAGGCCACAAATCTGGGTGTGGTGATTGACTCAGACGTGAACCTGCAGAGTCACATAAAGGCAGTTACAAAGTCAGCCTTCTATCACCTCTACCATAAATCTTAAAACAAGCTTCCAGAAAATGGCTGAAACACTGAGTTAATTTAAATCAAGGCTAAAGTTTCCAATGATGCAAGTGGAACATTGATCAGCATATTTTATACACACATTTATGATTCTGATGGTGATATTTGACCAACAGCAATAGTACACAAAATTTACCTTATTTCATTAAAGCCAAGTAGTTTATTTTTTGTAGAAATCTGTAAATCATTGTTGATCCAAAAATATAAATAAGGTTTTGAACAGTTTGAAACGTATTAAATTAAAATCTTTTGGATTTATTTCCCCTTTTTTCTTTACACATTTGGCAGCAAAGTTGGGCAACGCTGGCTAATTTTAGCAAAGTGTAATATATGAAAACAGGAACAATGCTAATTAAAGCTGCAAGCAGCCTCGAACGGCCCTCGCAGCCAAGCGCCGCTCCGGCCTATTGCCACCGTGCCCGCGCCTCACGCCTCACGCCAGCCCACAGAAGCTCTCACGCAGTTTTCAGCTCTTCCGCCCGCACCACGGAAGCTGTTGCTCAGTTTCCATCAACGCTGGCCACGTGCCAACACAGAAGTTGTTGCGCAGTTTCCGCGCCCATCCACCAGGCGGTACGCACTCATGCGTTCGGAGGCGCTCCTTGACGATGCAAAAATGTGGTGCAGATTCATTGGTTTAGCGAGGAAATATAGCTGGCGGATTAATGTAGGACGCGCAGTGGAGTCAAAATATATTTCAATGCTGTTGTTCTCTTTAGAGGTCAACAAAGGTCATACGTATCCAATTTGTCGTCAGTCGGATGATCCACGTGTCATTTACAGCCGATCATATGCATATGGCGAAGTACTACTGTTCGTCATTTTTCATCATTTTCAGCTGTGTTTCTAAAGCGCTCTATTTCATTGTTGGAGTAATACTTACTCAGAGTGGCGAATAACTGAAATGGTTTGTAAGAAGTAAGAAAACGCTACATTTACTGCATGATTTAATTCAACAAAAATTATCTGAGACATTTCTATCCTTTTAGAAATGTCATGGCAACACACTCACAAAGTTTTAAACGCCCATCCGCCCGTGGATCTGTTTATCATCGGTGGAGGAACACTGACACCTACTGGCGAAATACTGATATTGTTCTTCATCCTGTTTATCTGCTGTTTCATTTGTGGAGCAATACTGACCCCAAGTGGCGAAGTACTGAAATGGTTTATAAACGCCAAAAATGGGATCAAAATCTGAACTTCAATCTAAAATGGCCGACTTCCTCTGGGGTTTAGACCATGGCTCCAAGAGACTTTTTTGTAAGTCCTGACATGGTACACATGTGTACAAAGTTTCGTAATTGTAGGTTAAAGCATGGCTTGGGGCTGATCATTTAAAATTTTCTAGGGGGCGCTATAGAGAAATTAGGCCACACCCTACAAATATTGTGATGGATTCCTGTCGGGAGTGGATGAAGATCCATCCTTGTGAGTTTGGAGCAGCTGCGCCCAAAAATGTGGAATTGAGAGCCAAACGTATGGCGATGGCGTTACAGGTCACTTCGCCACGCCGCCACGCCCACCTGCTCCATCGAATCTGGTCGGGGTTGGAATCCTCAATACACCAACATGTCTTCTGTGTCTGGGCAGTTTCATGTTGATGAGGTCAAAGGGGTCAGATAGCGAACTTCACAGTAAAACATTACACTTCCTGTTCTCAGGGGCGTGGCCTAAGTGATGTCATCATTCGACCATAGGGTATTCTAGGAGACCCGATGATGATCAATCACTCAAACTTTGGTTCCTCTGTGAGTTTCTGTGTAGGAGATATAGCAGTTTATTTTTTATGGGGAGTAGGAACTTTGACCCCTGCTAACCCCCCTTCAGCATACTCAAAAACTCACCGTTTTGATAACTTTAGATGGGACATGCCTTATGAACAGACTGACGGAGTTTGAAGCCGATCAATGAAAATCCCTAGGAGGAGTTCGATCAAATAGGAAGGCTGTAAATGGCAAAAATGGGTCAAAATCCAAACTTCAATCCAAAATGGCTGACTTCCTGTGGGGTTTACACAATGGCTCCAAGAGACTTTTTTGTAAGTCCTGACAAGGTACACACGTGTACAAAGTTTCGTAATTGTAGGTTAAAGCATGGCTTGGGGCTGATCATTTAAAGTGTTCTAGGGGGCGCTATAGAGAAATTAGGCCACACCCACCAAATATTGTGATGGATTCCTGTCGGGGAGTAGATGAGGGTCCATCTTTGTGAAATTGGAGCAGCTGGGCCCAAAATGTGGAATTGAGAGCCAAACGTATGGCGATGGCGTTACAGGTCACTTGGCCACGCCCCCACGCCCACCTGCTCCATCGAAGCTGGTCGGGGTTGGAATCCTCAATACACCAACATGTCTTCTGTGTCTGGTCACAGTTTCATGTTGATGAGGTCAAAGGGGTCAGATAGCGACAGTTCACAGTAAAACATTACACTTCCTGTTCTCAGGGGGCGTGGCCTAAGTGATGTCATCATTCGACCATAGGGTATTGTAGGGCAGCCGATGATGATCAATCACAGTAACTTTGGTGCCTCTGTGAGTTCTGTGTAGGAGATATAGCAGTTTATTTTTTTACGGCGAGTAGGTGAACTTTGACCCCTGCTAACCCCCTTCAGCATACTCAAAACTCACCGTTTTGATAACTTTAGATGGAACATCCCTTATGAACAGACTGACCGAGTTTGAAGCCGATCAATCGAAATCCCTATGAGTAGTTCTATCAAATACGAATGCTGTAAACGGCAAAAATGGGGTGAAAATTTGACCTTCAATCCAAAATGGCTGACTTCCTGTGATACTTGCACTATGACATTAATTGTAAATTTTGAGCATCTTGGGGAGCTCTACAAGTGTACCAAATTTCATGTCTCTACGATGAAGTAAGTGAATAGCAAAGGGTCCTTTGAAAATTTCTAGGTGGCGCTATTGAGCCATTTCTTGTGGAATTTTTGCGACGACTTTAAAATATGTAAATTTGAAACAGGCTTAAGGCCTCCGCCAAGTTTGGTGAGTTTTTGAATATGATAAAGCCCCCAAAAAGCCAATTCATTTGGAGGGAGAATCGTAATAATAATAATAATAATAATAATAATAATAATAATAAGAAACAGTACAGAAACAATAGGCCTTCGCAGCGCTTAGCTGCTCGGGCCTAATAAAAATCTCAAATTAATGGTGAATTTGCCACAGCTTTTAATTGGGGATCAAAGGGTCGCAAACAATCCACTATTAATTTACATCACTTGAATTTTTCAGTTTCCTAAATATTTATATGTTCAAATATTAAAAATAAGCTTCTGTACCTGGTTCTATTTTTGTCTCAAAACAAAGAAACTGAGGTCAAATGATCACACTCTTTATTTGTTAAGGAGTCCTGCAGGTTGAAGCAAACGCCTGCAGAGCCATCAGAGTGGGGAAACCTCAGCATGTAAATTACAGCCACATTCACAAATTGAAGTTAATTCATCCCAACAATGGAAATTACTTTTAATACCATTGTTATGCTAGTTATCACATCAGAGAATCAATCCAGGTTGTGAAATGGAACAATTCCTACAAAAACAAGCATTTCCGTATCTACTTCATCAGAACTTCTAGGAACATTTAGTTGGTAATCCAGGACTTGGGCACAGAAGCCCATCTATTACTTACTCTTCCAATTAGGAAAGACATGAGAACATAAACTTCCAAGCAAGGCAGAAAATGGCGGTAAGAAAATAGCTGCTCGCCTTCACTTGCTCATATCTACAGTCAGAGCCATAATTAAAGTCTAAAACGGAAACGGATGAAGACACAAATGTAAAGTCACATTTGTAAAGGTTTTACCATCAATTTTCTCCCAAGAAGATGCACATCCTGCTCCGTGTTACAGGTTCTGTGTATTTTTCTCCCCCTCAGATGCAAAGGAAACCTTCATTTCATTTATAATAACCTCCTTTGGTCCATTTTTAAAGGCCACTAAACCTACAAAAATCAAATTAACTGTGCTGACGGTGCAAACGGTAGTTTTAAGGTGGAACGTACCAGGAAGGCCGGTGGTTGTCTAACAACTCGTAAAAAGAGGAGTGCAGTGATTTGATGCTTTGGTTAATGCTGGAGTGTCAGGTAGCTTGTTTTGGCTTTCACATTGAAACCAGCGTTTAGTCAGAGTTTCGTACTGAAAGAGAGAAAGATCAGCAGTAAAAAAAATTATCAAAAGCACAGCAGAGCCGCAGAGTTCAGCCTTCAGCTCCAATGGAAGAGTAACGACAAGCGTAACTGAGATATAAGCCTCGTAGAAAACATTTAGAAAGTTTCCCTTATTGGAAGGAGGGTTTATCGTGTTTGTTGCTGCAGCAGCTCTACACGGTAGGCTGCAGCAGCTCCTGCAGGTCGCACAGCGTTTCCTTTAGCGTGCGAGCCATTGTCTCTGCGTTGGTCTCCTCGCAGCAGTTGAAGGCGGTGACGGCGAAGTGGACGTGGTCCGCCTGCGGGTTGTAGCACACGGCGTAACCGTCGGGCACGAGCGGCCCGAAACACATCACGCTGTCGGTGTTGGCGGGAACCTGCAGACGCAAAACCAAACGTGAGGAAATGAATTTAAAACATCTTCTATCACATCAAAATCTGTATTTGTTGTCAAATATTAACTTTAAAACTGAGCATGCTCACCTAAATTAACCACATTTACCTAATCCTGCTTAATACCAGCATAACTCATAATACATGGATTTATTTCAGAGTGAGATGATTACAGCAACAACTGCAGTTTTCTGCTGATCGCCGATTGCAGTAAGACACAGCTACAGTTCCTTGATTAAAGGTATAAATAATAATGTGACTCAGATACAGATGGAAAAAAGAATTTAATAATCCTGAAAATGTTCTGAAAAAATGGAACACGGCGTATTTAAGCTATTGTAGATATTAGGAAAAAAATGGATAAAAAAATATCAGAAAATTTCTAGAAACAAGAAAAATGTATATTAATCTCATAAATACATTTTCTAGAATAAAAAACAAGAAAATGTCTGAGTTCTATTTTTGAAACAGAGAAATTTTCACGTTTTTTCTAGAAAATCTATTTCTGAGATTAATCCAAAATTTCTGAGTTTTTTGGTGAAAATTTGCTCCTTTTTCCCTAATATCCCTAATAGTCTTTACAAAAAAAATTAAAAATCGGAAATCCAGAAAAATTTTTGGACTCTGATGATAATTTACTTTGAAGCTGGATTTTCCCCAAACAAATAAAAATTCATGCAGAATGAAATGAAAACATTTAAGTGTACAAACGTCGTCCAGCTGTGTGGGAACAGACCTGTCCTGTGCGCAGCTTCCAGTGCGTGGCCAGGCCGTAAGCCGTGTCCATGAAGATTTTGGGAATGCTGAGTCCTTCCTCGATGGCCTGCAGCTTGAGCCCCAGCAGGTGGCGGTCGATGCCGTGTCCTCTCAGAGCCTGAGAAAAAACATCACCGACTGAGACTCCAGATCACATAAGAAGCTGAGGAAAGCAGCTTCTTGAGGCATTTACCTGCGCGGTCAGCTCTGAGTATGCATCCACTGCTTCTCTGAGCAGCTCCAGCTTCGCTTCTCTCTGCGGAGAGACATGAAGGGTCAAAGCTACAGAATCAGAAAGACGGCGACAAGTTGCAGCAAAGCTTTCCTCACCGATACGGTCTGATCGTCGAAGGCCAGGATGAACTTGAGCGTCTGGTTTGTGGGCGAGCGGATGTACTCGGTCCGTCCTCCTCGGAACATCCTCTGTGAGGCGATGTCGCAGGCAGGACAAACCTCGCTGTGAACTCTGCAGGAAGAATCACAGACTGCAGCGTTCAGAGGAATTCAAAAACTTTTCAAGCATCAAACCTTGGAGAAAAACACAACTAAAAGAGACAGTTTTGGTATCATTGATTTGTGTTATTAATGTGATAGTTTTCTAAATAAAATGCAAAAAACACAAAATCCTTCCAAGAGTTTTTGTATTTAGTGTCTAGTGCAAATATCCCAGCAGAGCGCCCTCTAGTGGTTATGCAGCTCATCAGGTACTGGTTAGGTCTTACTTTGGTGCTGCTACAAACCTCCAGCAGGAGCTAATAAGACTTTTGTTTTAAATCAGAAGCGTTTTAAAATAAATGTGACTGTTTTTATCGTGGTCCTGGTACCGACCTGTAGTAGGACAGCTGCAGAGCCACCTGGATGAAGGAGTTCGGACTCAAGTTGTGCTTCTTGGGAAGCTCTTTGCCGAACCTCTTGAAGTTGAAGACGTGGACGTCGAGGTCGTTGATCAGACTGAAAGAATGTAAAAGATAATTTAATCACAACGTCTACAGGAATCCTTAGTAGGATTATAATCTGATCATTTCATCTGGTTATAAAGGGAGCAAAAAACAACTTCCAGGTTTACAAATAATCAAATATTCTTAATTTCAGTGTGAATTTGCAGTAACTATTTATGCAGCAGTCGTCTGAACTGGAAAATACTTGAATGAAATTCCAGAAGAGCCCTGAATTCAATTCAATTAAAAAATACTTTCTTAATCCCAAAGGGGAATTAAGCAGCAAATATATGAAAAATATTGCAAAAAATATTTGTGCAATGTCATTTAATACAATATTTATAATACAGTAAATATTATATTATGTTTAAATATTAAATTATATTAGTACAATATATTATTTTACATTATATTTAATAATATAAAATTTAAATCGCAATCAAAAAGCTTCAAGAAATAAAACCAAATTATCGTTTAACCAGATTTGATTTACCTTTCATCAATTTTAATCCACATTTTATAATCCCTGCTCTCATAATGTATATTTTGGGTTTATTGTAGCATTTTATGCATTATAGTTTTCAAGCTGTTCTTGTGTTTATTCTTTTATTCATATTTGCCATTTTTCTACCTGTTAACTGTTAGTTTTGATGCTTAAATAATCAACATATTTTTTCCCTTTATCTGTGAAAATCCAAAGAATAATAATAATTTTAAAAAATCCATCTGAACTGATCTGTGAGTTCAGCGCTAAAAAATAATTTCAAAAGTTTTGCAGAGCGTTTATGTTGGAATTTAAAGCTCAGATGAAGCAAACAGGAAATATCACTGCGGTGAGATGAATGATTTATGATCGTTCTGAAAATATGAAGGTTTAATCAGAAAAACATCGACTCGTTTCGTTTTACTCTCTCGATTTGCTGAATCCAGCAGGAGGAAGTTGGACCTGGTTCAAACAAACACTCACATGTCGAGGTTCTGCTTGGCCTGCTCGATGTCCCTCTTGATGTCCAGGTCGATGTGGAAGTAGAGCTTCTTGGGCATCGGCAGGGGAACGAGCGGCGCCCTCTTTGGGTCGGGCTTCTCACTGCCGACAAGCAGAAAAATATTCAAGAGCAGGAAATATTGGCGACACTTTATTAGAAGGGATATGGCATAAAATCTGTCACAAACATGAAGGATTCGTCATAAATGTTTCTGACTGTTATGAACATTTTTAAATCGCTCTTAATTCAATTCAAATTCAAACATACTTTATGTTAAATAAAATTAAATAAAGTAAGTTTTCAAACTTTGCTTTCCAAATTTTGGTTTTAATCAAATGCTCGATTGTACTTTATTACAAAGCTGAGCAGTTTACAAACTTTGAAACTTACACTATTTGAATTCAAGAATTTTTAAGGATATCAAGCACCGGTTTAAAAGTGAGATGTAGTCATTTTCAAACCTGGTTTAAACCAGATTATTGTTACTGAGGCCGTTTTACTCATGTACAAGCTTGTCCAGCAATCCCTGCAACTGGTGCTCATCCAGCATAGCAGTATTTGTTGCAGTAGGAGTTTTTCCAGACAGTTTTATCTCACCAGTACTCCTGTATATGGTGCAGCAGGTTGGCTATGGGCGGGCCCTCAGCTGTGGCCTGTTCGTACAGGAGGCCCCATGATCCGTCCTCGCCCACCACAAACTGTTCAAACAAATACAGGTCACAGTCAAATACAAATACAATCGGCTTCTCCAAAGCGTCTGCATTATTGGTGATCAGGCCCACCTGCAGTGTTTTGTCAAACCAACGGTTGCCGCTGTTGGAGTACGTCCCGCCTCCATGCAGAATCTGAGCCGCCTTACGGCTGGCGTACCTGCAAGATAAAAACCAAAAGCATGAGACTCAAATAAAGAAAAAAAATAAAACATTATTCTTAAGGATCTTTGACGCAAACGGCGCAGCGTTTCACAATCTGTAGTTTCAGTTCAAATACAGGGAAAGACAATTGCTCACTGCAGCAAACGTCAACACGCGACACAATCATATCTGCAGAGACGATTACGCAACAAGTTCAGCAAACACAGAAACACCCGAGAATGTGAGCGTGTGCACATACTTCTCATCTGATATTCTCATGACGGGAGAATCCAAGCACAGCAAGAAAAGACCCGTCTCAATCATCCGGACCGACTCCTGGTTCAGTTTGTCTAAAGAAAATTAAAAAAAATACAAAAAAAAGAAAATATTTAAGAACATTGTTTTACCTTTATACAACCTGCATGTCTAAAACATCAAAATGTGTATTAGCATTAAATTGGTTTCTACTTTTAAACAACAGCAGGTTCAATGAGATTAACAAAAATCCCCAGGATGAGGATTTTGATTGAAATAACTGCATAGTTGCAAATAAAATCTCTCTCAATCAGAATGAGAAACTGAAGCTACTGCATCTGCAGGCCCAATAATTAGCAATGGAAGCTAACATTAGCATGCTAACACCAGTTAGCATGCTAATGTTAACCTAACATGGAAACATTGGTCTTTGCATGCAGATTAATAAATGTTTCAGACAAAATTATCTATACATTCATCAATAATTGTTCTTCCTGAATAATACATCAACAATACATCAACAATATTATGTAGATGAAAGTTTTTGCTGTAGTTATTTAGCAGTTTTAGCTCATAGTAGGAGCTGCAGCAAAAAAGAAAAATTCAGACTGAAAAGTGTTTTGCAGTAGTTCTAAGGATTGCTTAATTTGAAAGTCTGTGCTCAGCAAAAAACAAAGAACAAAAACTAGAACTCTTGATATTCAGGAAAAGCCACTGGAAACTACAGTAACAGCTAGCATTGGCCTTAGCATGCTAATGTTAGCCTTAGCATCTCCACACACAATGACTTGACTGAATTATGATTTTTTAAGTTTCAGCTATATCAGCTAGAGCTGAAGTTAAGAGAAAAATAAACAAAAGCAAACACAATTGATATTTGAAAAAAAGTCTGAATAGCTCAAAAGCTAGCATAGACCGTGAAAACAAAACCTAGAAAAATAATTGCATTTTTTGGTAAGAATTCAGTATGAAAACCAGCGGAGCGTTCTAAGACAAATTCAAATTAAAATATCCATATGTGGCCTTTTGTTGCAGAGTCACAAAGTAAACAAACGATTCCCACAGGTTGGATATGTAAGAAACTCTCTCCCAAAACTATGAGATCGTCCAATTTTTGTGTTGTCACCAAACAAGATAATCCAAATGAATTAAAATTAAAATATCTCTTCATTTCCCTATTGTTCATTTTGGTCTATTTTGATTACGTATTTTCCGGATTATAAAGGGCACCTCACAATAAGCCGCACCTACGAAAACAGCACCGGGCTATAAGCTGCATGGTTCAGAGCATGGGAAGAAGTAGCGGCTTATAATCCAAAAAATAAGATCCAACTAATTAAATACCACTGGACTGTGAAGTGATGATGTGCGGTCGAACCTTTCAGCAGCCGGTTGTACGCCTCGCCCCAGGTGTGGCGGTGCTCGCTGGTCAGGATGCCCATGGGCTCCTTGTCCGTCTTCCAGGACTGAGACCTGATTCTGTGCAGCTGACTGTGAATCTGACTCTCGGTCATCCGCGAGCCGTCGCTGTTGTAAACCTCCAGCTGGAAGAACTAGAACCAGGAAATGAACGGTTAAATCAGAGACTCATCATGTTAGTGATTAACTCAACAATTATTGGATTTTTAAAAAACATTTAAATCAGTTTTAATTATTTAAATCATTCCTCGTCAATAAAGAACTGTTGAGATCATTAAAAAGTTTTCCAAAACCTTTTAATTCATTAAGGATTTGGCTGCATTAGAGGACGCTCGTCATGTTTTTGTGCTTTCATTCGAGTCTCAACTGCTTCTAAAAACAGGCCAAGCATTCACAGTAACAAAACCAACACCCAGCTTATTGTTTCAGGCAATAACTTCCTGGTTTTCGGTGTTTAACTTCCTGGTTTTCGGTGTTTGTGAAATGAGTTTCAAAAACACTCCGTGGACACTCGGCCGTTTCCTAGCAACTCAACTGAGCTCTAGTACATTTGGTCAGCTTGTTTTACCGCTGTATGCAGTGCACAATGGCTGTTTTAGGGTTAGGATTTTTAACATGTCTTCCAGTTGCATTGTTAAATATTTGTTAGAAATTAAAGTTCACTGATGTTTGAGAAGGCGCGCTCACTTTTAGGCCTGAAAGGATTAATCAAATTAATTGATTTAGTAATAAATTAATTGTAGGCTAAAGTATACTAATGCAAAAAAGGTCACTTGCTGATAAAAACCCAACATGTTCACATTTTGTTCTGAACACCTTTGTCTGTAAATATGTTTTACCAAAAACTCCTCAAGTGGTATTTATTTTATTCTTTATATTCACATGGTTCAAATGTCATGTTATTTTATTTTAGACAACAAAATGTTTTTTTTTACTTAAAGAACAAGAATGGAGTCATTTGCCTTTTGATATTGTATAAAAAGATTTATGCAATTACAAGAAAGTGTGCCAATTTTTGTATCCAATCAATCAATTAATCATCAGAATAATCATTAGTTGCATTATTGTATCATTACCGTAATATATTAATGGTATAAAGTGTCTTTTATAGCAATAACTCCTCCAGCAGCAAAAATGTGCTACTTTAACAGGCCTATTGAAGCATTACAATGATCTCAAAACTAACTTCATTAACATGACGTTTGTGCTGATTAGGAAGCAACTCTAAATCTGAGAGGCACCTTCAACTCTGACCTTTGTGGTGGGTTTGAAAGTTGACCTTTGGCGCTCCATGAACATAGAAAGAAACCGCGATAAATTTGGTTTTCTGCAGTCGACAGAGTTCATTAAACTAAAGCCAGATTGGCAAAGAGTCATTGGACAGTGAAGCACTTTGTGTAAAGGTCAGCCAAACTAATAAAATGTTCTGGCCGGGTCCAAGTCTCTGCACCTTCTGGATAAAAATATTTCAGCCTTCGCCTCTGGTCCAGTCTGGACTTATTTTAAACACCAGAAGAATCTCATGCTGTGTTGAGTATCTCCTTTGTCACAAAAGGTCATCAAGGCCTTTAAACTCCTGAACAGGAATAAACGCATTCCTTCCTCTCCGGGTCATCAGTTATTTTTCATCCATCTGAGTCAAAAACACAAAATCTACCTTTTCAGGAGTGAAACCAAACAGGTAGCAATAAAATCAGGACATGACCTCAGAGCTGTGGATGAAAACCGACACGATTCAAAAATACAGACGCTTCCCATCTCCTTCTACATACTTTAACCCAAGTAACAGTATTTATCCAAGAAATTACTTGAGTATAAAAGCATTTGGTAAAAAGTATTGAGTCACTGATTAAATTATCAATCATTTAATACTTAAAAATTACATCAGATGGACCAAAATATAAAGTTATGTAGACATTTTGGCATTTAAAAGACCAAAATGACAATTATTGAAAGAAAAGGTAACAAAATAAGGCAAAATAAATTTTTTCCAGATCAGGCAAAATAAATTTTTTCCAGATCAGTTTTTTTCATTGACACTGTAAAAACACAATCTTAAGTATTTTAAGTTTCTACTGCAAATATCTTCATACACTTGAAGACAAAACTAATTTAGCAAGAACTTATCGTCAAGGTATAGAAGCTTATTTTCAAATTCAAAAGCACTTTTTACTTTTATCATTTATTTTAATATTTTTTTATTTTTACTTTTATTTTAAGTAAATAATTTCTTTATATTGATGAAGAAATACTAGTTTATTTGGTAGATTATAACATGGGGGAAATGTATTGTTTTCTGGCAGTGAAACTCATCGGTATTAAGGAATTGTTCACTTAAAGCAAGCTTTTAAGTTATTTATAAGTTAGTTTTTTTCATTTCAAATGTAGTAAGATATTCAAACTACAAAATAAACTAAATATACTTGGCAAGATTTGGAGTTTTTGCAGTGAAAAAATGAAACAAAAGCTGCAGGTTTGTGTCTGTTTATGGTGAATTTTTGGTTAAAACTTGTTTGTTTTTCATTCAGTTGATAAAGAATCCAGAAATTTATTCAAGTAAGAGCAGTGATACTTCATAGTAAAATTACTCATGTAAAAGTGAAAATTACAGTAACAAAAACACTCTTAAAAGTGATTTTTTTTTTCAAAAAATGTTACTGAAGTAACTGTAATTGAGTAAGTAATGCAGGTTCCTCCCCAGCTCTGCCCACCTGGTAGTTCCTGACCACAGTGATGTGGGTCGGCGAGCGTCGGGAGTTGCTGTAGTGAGCGACGTAGTCGTGTTTGGGTCCGGGAATCCTGCTGGAGGAGAAGAGGAGCGGGTACAGCTCCATGCACAGAGGCTTCCCTCGCATGAACTCCACCGGCAGCTGCCCACTGAGAGAAACACAAGCAGCTGTCAGGATTCCCACCGCTTCCATAAAACAAGCATCAGGAAACCAGTTTAGGAAAACCAGCGAGACACAAGTACCTGCTGCGTTTATTTTCATTTATCACAAAGAAAATACAGGCTTAGATTTCACTCAGCTACTGCCAGATTAGTCTAGTTTCTAGCGAAAAGTAAATTCAATTAAAACAAAGGTAACTTTGGTAACAAAAATGCAAGTTATTAAAAATTAAATATATTTTATCAAAAATTAAATGTTAATTGAAAATTTCTTCAAAGAGTTATTGAAGATGCTGATGGCTGTGGATCTCCTGTAGCAGTCTGTGTTACAGGGAATTTGAAGAAGCCTGTGAAACAAATTCATTAAACCACAATAAAAATATATTCTACTGATATATCCTTTCTATGACTAATGTATATCAGGAGGTAAACATGTTGCTCCTGTAATCCAATGAGGTTTGAGATCAGCTGCAGATACTCTTACAGTCAGTCCAAGTAAATTTAGCTACAGATTATCGTCAAACGGCAGCCAAACACACGGCGACGCCAGCTGGGTGAAACATAAGACAGGCAACAACAAGAGGGCAAAATGACGCCTGCAGCACCTGAACAGAGCAAGAATCACTCCAGTGAGGAGTCACTTCAGTGAGGAATCACTTCAGTGAGGAATCACTCCAGTGAGGAATCACTCCAGTGAGGAATCACTCCAGTGAGGAATCACTCCAGTGAGGAATCACTCCAGTGAGGAATCACTTCAGTGAGGAATCACTCCAGTGAGGAATCACTCCAGTGAGGAATCACTCCAGTGAGTCAGAGTTTTCACTGCGTTGTTATAAAAGGTAAAACTCACTTGTTCATTTTGGCTCTGAAGTCCAAAACAGCTGCTATCAATTTAGATGCAAACCTGTGAAGAAAGGAATATATTATTACCGTTACGTTATAGATTTAAATCAGGAGCATCAAGCTCATTTTCATTTAGGGCCACATCAAAATTTGGAGTAATCTGGAGGGCCACATAAAAAGCTACAGCGGTCCAGATTTGGCCCCCGGACCTTGAGTTTGACACGTGATTTATGGGGTTTAACCCAGTGGCGTCTAAACTTCTTGCCATTAGTGCCAAAACTGTTGAGAAAACTTTAGCACTAAATTGATTTAAAATGAAAAAGGAAAAGTTTTATTTCTGAAGACATTTATTGTTTTTATCTCTTCAACATTATACTAAATAAACTATTTTAATAAAACCATAAAAAGCATTATAAATAAAATCTACTAATTAAGCAAAGCAGCCTAATTTTTGTAAAAAAAAAAGCAATCTGTAAATCATTGTTGATCCAAAATACAAACAAAGCCTTGCGCAGTTGATGTATTAAATTTTCCAAAGTGTTTTTTAGAGGTTTATGATCCTATTTTTTAGAGAAAAAAAACCAAGTCTGGTTTCAGAAAACTTGTTTGAAAACAACAGAAATATTAATAAAATAAATATTGTTGTCTTGTATCTAAATAAATACACATTTTATTTCTCTATAAATATCTCAATTTAATCACAAATTGGTTCCATCCAGGCAACCAAATGGCCTCCAGGACGTCCCTGGTTTAACCATAACATAAAAACAATGCAATCTGAGATTAAATAAATAGTTTCTCGGTTCTTTCTTCTGTCGGACTTTTATCAGACAGAATGCATCCTCTCCTGATAAATGTCTTCTCCACTATCTGACTTTTCCCCAGCAGAAAACAAAGCAACCGGCTCAACTACCAAACACAGATAAGGAAGTCTGAACGCCGCAAGTAAACAGCTTCTTCAGACGCGTTTCTAAGACTCATTATGAGTCAAACTGTAGGGAAAAACAGATCCGTGTCTGAACTCACAGCAGCTGGCTCCTCCAGTCGTTGTAGTCCCTGCGGGGCAGAGAGATGGCCGGGTTGGAGTGGACCGCCAGGGGCTGCCTGCTCTCCAGGTACGCCCACCGGACCCACAGGTCCGAGACCTGGAAGGACAAAGAAAGTTCAAACTTTTTATCCCTTTCTATATGATCACCGGCTGAACCTCATCATGCATGTTCAGCTCCTCGTAGTTACGCTTCACGCTGGTTTCATATCATTATTTGTATTGTTATTTTTCCAGTTGCACGATGCATCAAACCGTATCAAATGCCTTGTCTACTTAGTCAGCTAGAGTTAATGCATTTCAGATCAGAAAAACTCAAGCAGCCAGAACAGTTTCTGTCCCCTTAGTAAAAATTCAATAGACAGAAATTTAAGCAGCATTAAATGAGTTAAATCAGAACACAGTGCAGCGGATTTAACTCATCATGCAGGGCCGGTCCTACGCTGTCTGAGGCCTTTAACATAGGGGCCCCTGTGTTGGGAGAGGGGGAGTAGTTTAATTGGCCAACCTAAAAAGCTGTAAATGCAGTTTACTGATTTATATTTGTGAACAAACGGAGCTCAAACCCAAAGATTAAACTCTTCAGATTGTTGCCCCAGTAACAAAACACTTCAACTATGAATATTGTTCTTTGAACTTTTACAAAGTAAACTTGCCAGCTACTTAACATCTTAAATTTAAAAGTTAAACAATTTAAAATCTTTTAACTTATGTATCCTAACACCATTAAATCAAATTGAGCAGCATTGCTCATCTCAGTATTAGTCATTATCTGTACATTTACGAATCTGTGGTCTGTGTTAAAATATCAGCGTTTATTGGCCTCTGAAGGCTTGAATTGATATTCATCAAATATCAAATTGTATTTTCTGATTAGTTGTTTTTGTAGATTTAAAAAGTGTTTCACTGGCAATGTTTTCCCGTAACATATAATTATCCAGCAATATTTTTACTTTTCCTGTCAATTTAACATCTTTTAATACGAAAACATGGTGGACCGCCTTGATCCCCAACCTGAGCAAGTTTTCTGGGGGAAAGCCTGACATTTTTGTGATTAATCTCAAACGTTTGGAGAGTTTTGGTGTAAATTTACTACTTTTTTTCTACCTACAAAGTCCTTAATTCACTCTTGTAAAAATTACATACGGATTCTAGAAAATTGGGCAAAAATATTTAGAGAATGAAACTGAATGTTGCTCTGTAAGTGTCACCGGATGTCTTCAATTGCTCTGTTTTGTTCATGGAAGCACTTCATGGGTTTATTTCTGTGTCTTTAACTCCATTAATTAGAGCCAAATATGCTCCTTATGCGTTTTAAATGTATTTTGGAAAGTGTCGTGTTTTTTTTGTTTGTTTTGTTTTTAACCAATAGCAGCGATGCATGCGCCCATTCCCAGCTTCAGCAGGAGTCTGCTTCACACACACCCAGTTCTTGGTGAGCCTGGCTCTCCTCTCCAGCCCCTCCTGCAGCTGCTGTCCCAGGCCCCCGGGCCTCCCGAACTCCTGCACCATCCTGCGGGTGTGGTTGAGCTCCTCCGGGGGCAGAAGGGGCTCCAGCGCCCTCAGATAGCCCTGCAGGGTCTGGGTCAGCGGGGGCACCGGCTGCGGGGGCACCGTGGAGTAGAAACACGGCTCCTGCCTCGGGGAAACCTGCACAAAAGAAGAGGGAAACGAGTTTTTCTGTTTACTGCACGCCTGGTTTGTCATCCACTGGAGTTTGACCAGAGCCAATTAAATCGCTCAACTGCAGGAAATGCACAAGATATGATAGTAGAAACTCCATCCGCTACTCGTTATTTAGTTACCAGCAAGGTTGTTGACACAAACATTCAATTCCTGCCCCTTTTTGTCACTCTACGAGGCGAAGTAAATGAAAACAAGTGGACAAAACAAAAGGCTCACCAAAGACAGCCATGCTCTGCAAGTTCTCGCCTGAATATTCCTGAAAATCATATTTCCTCGGATCAGCTCCCCACCCTGTGGAGCATGCGTGGCCACAAAAAGGCACCGTTTTCTTTACGTCCACAGACGTACACAGCTCAGACTGCGCAGCGTCAGATCGCCCAAACGAAGCCCTGACCTCCTCCTACTTCTCCGTCATGGAGACACTCGGCGGCCCTCATCGCTCGACGCGCAGCTTCCGGAGAAAAGTTGCTTTTTCAGGGCGGAAAACGACGCGCTGCCCCTCCGCCTCGTCTCCCCGGCGGCTGTTCCCTCTGGCAGCGAGCATGCAGAGCCTCACGTAGCGGGCAGGAGAGAGGAGATAACTGCCGCCGCCGCTGCTGCACGCGCGCTGACGTAAAAACGTTTCCGTAAACAGCGACGTGAAAAGGAAGGTGCAGTACCGCGTCTGGCAAAGGGTGCCGCTGTTGTGCCCCCAACTCTAGTTAACAGCAGGTGATCCGAAACAAAGACTTTGTAAAAACAATAAAGAGCGGAAATGGGTTCTAACTTCAGGAACTATATAAATAAATGTGCTTTTAGGATTATTTTTACTACGCTGTATTTTACTTGAGTAACTTTAAATAGAGTATCATTACTCTTACTTGGGTAAATTTTCAGGATTTTCTTCCCACTGAAAGAAAAACAAACACACACCTGCAGTTTTTGTTAAAGTTAATAGGTTTTTCTGTTAAACTGATTTTGAAAAATTTCATTGCCTGATTTTGTTATTTTTTTCTGTTACTCATATAAATAATTGTCATTTTTGTCCTTAAAACATTAGATTCTTAAAATCCCATTTATCTTTAGATAATCTGTCATTTTTTTGTATTGATGTAATTATCTCATACTTCCTGTGACACTGTCTATAATAGAAAGTGACACCTGGTTTATTTTAAATGGTGAAACCAACATATTAAAGTAAAAGTAGGTAATTACTTTCTGTAACTGCAGACCAGTAAACGATTAAACTGACATAATTTCTTCTGACATAAAAGTGAATTAAATGTTAACAAATTTTCGCATTTAATTTGATAGAATTAATTAAACCATTCATTCATTTCATGCAGTTTATAAGGATTAGTTTAAATAATCACATATTTCGTTTTTAGTTTGAGTAAAAGGGTAATTACAAAATAGTCCAAAGAAAACTTATTCTTAAAAATATTAGAATTATTTGGTTTGAGGTTAAACAAAAGACCTTGTTTTTACAAAAATCTTTTTATTTGGGTTTCAATTTTTTTGTTTTTATTCACTGCGGTATATTTTACAGTTGTGGAATTAATAATCTAACTAAAACATCTGGGAAAAAGTAGAAAATAACACTGTGGGACATCTGTTGACAAACACCAAAACCAAAGACATTAAAATAGTTTTCTATTTAATAATTCTAACATTTTGCAATATTTTCAAAGAAAACCAGAATTAAAATACATCTGGGAGAAGTTATTTAACTTTGACTCAAAACAGAAACTGCTGAGAAACATTTATTGAACCACAAGCACAAAAAAAAAAACAGGACATAAAACTGTTTTATAACATTTTATTAACTTTTTCTGTTTTGAAGCCAGCTTCCTCAACCATCAGAGGAAAACCATCACATGCACATAATCTGCACCAAATGAAATATTTATGTTAAATAAGCAAAATAAAAGTCCAAAATCAGCTGAAGTGCATCTGGTGTCTGGGTCGAAGCAAAAATCTTCCTCTCATTGACATCTATTAAGGTCCCATTCACAATAAAAACACCAAAATAAAACCTTTAGCACAGTCTATGTTCATAGACCAATCATGTCACAAATTGCACCAAAACCCAGTGAAAGGAGGTTTATCAAACAGGCTTCAAACTATCAGATTACATTACATTAATCTTTAAGTCATCTGTATGAGCTAATCCAGCAGGCACATAAATCCAGATGACATAAAAATAACTTCAAGTCTATTTTCTTCAGAGCAAACTAACATTTAAAAAACAAATATAGATTAAACTATAAAATATATCACCTGGAAAAGAAAATCTTTTTTTTATTTGTTCTTATTGCATAGATAAGTGATCGTCATCACTCAGAAATACACACCTGAGTTTTCATTTTTATCTTTTTACATACGTACCGTGCCGTAACATTCACAGCTGTCCCTGAAAATAAATGTTCCCACAGTAAAAAACCATGGGCCTCATCCTAAACGAACTGATTCTACATTAAGCAAAGATGCCAAAAGGAATACAACACACCAATAAATCAACAGAGGATAAAAAATTATAGGATTTTTTTTTTTTATAAAATGTCGATGATCTCATCACATGGGCAATTTTGGTGAAGATGATTGGCTTCTACCGAGGGCAAGACTCATCTGGAAGACAGAGATGAAAGGAAATTAAAGTGAATCTTTAATAGATATTTACGTTTTGAATACAATTAGATTTTAAGATGGATTACTTTTCATTAATAAATTACCAATTGTGTCTACAGGAACATACAGATATAGTTTAACTCTTCTTCTTTATAATGAGCTTGCCCACATTGCTCACCTGTTATTTACAATGTTTACCTCATTTATTTAGAAAATAACATCTAAATGATCTACATTTTCTCCTTCACAGCAAACCATTCAAATGTCAGAGGAGTTTATATAACATTCAGCAAGATAATAAAACAGACGTTTCTAAAACTCTGATGCTAACTAGCTTGCTAACAGAAGTCATGCTAGCTTGATAGCATGAGAAGATATTTATACTACTTAAAAACTAAAAGTTATAAAATCAGGTACAGACAGACACATAAAATAAAACTTAAAACGATGCTGAGAGCTTTGGTAATGTAGCATTCCTCTGAAAATTTCAGGAAAATGATTGCTACAATGCTAACTAGCATGATAAAGTAAAACTCACTTGAGATATATTTTTACCCAGTTAGAACGCTGATTATAAAATGAAAGGGAAGTTATCTGAGGGTTGATAAGCTGTAATAAAGGGGGAATAAAACATTGTTTTGACCTTTCGGGGCAACAGTATTTCTCTCAGACCTTTGGTAAACAGATAGCTACAATGCTACATAACATGCCAAAGGTAGGCTAATGTAGGAAGATGTTTTGAGTCACTTATAAAGAATTTTTCTGAATAAGTAAACACTCTAAATATGAAGAAATATAATGTAGGGAGGAGCAACAAAACTAAATTAAAGACAGGCTCAGACCTCTAATAGCAAAAGCTATTTCCTTAAGAGTTTCAGCAAGCAGATTCCAACTACGCTGATGAAAATTAACTTATTTTTTTACTTTGAATGTTCTTACGAAACAATTTTATAATAATGAATAATAAACTTTTAAAGGCATTGAAGAAATTAACAGCATATGAAGAATTAACAAACTGAAAACTACAATGCTAGCTGGAATGCTAGCTGGAATGCTAGCATTCTAGCTAAAGTCCAAATACTTGCAAAAGCAACTGGTGCTTTCAACAGAAACAAATTCTACAAAGTCATCCAAAAGCAGTGGCTTTATGCAATTTGGTGAATATTGATAACAACGTGGTTGCAAAAAAACAACAATTTAGCAGCATGTTTTATTGGATGTAGACTGTATTTATGTTGTGCATTTCTGCTAATCACTCAAAGCATTTTATATCAGAGTCACATTCACCAAACTGCATTCACAAACATGTATTCAAACACATACAGGTCTTTAAGAGCCCACTGCACTGAACCCCATTGGAAACCTCCTGGTTATTCCACCAAATATTGATTTCTGAACTCTTCCTCAGTTAATACATTAGCATGTTGTTTCTAAATAAATATTAACTTGTTTTCTTTGCATTATTTCAGGTATGAAATCACTTTTTAGTTATTTTGACTATTTCTCATTTTCTGCAAATAAATACAAAATTTTTACTTGGAATTTCGGAGACATGTTGTCAGTAGTTCGTCGAATAAAAGAATAATTCTCGATTCTTTGAATTTTACTCAAACATATACATATAAAATGTAAAATCAAAGAAACTGATCATTTTACTTGGTCTTTTAGATCTTTTCAGAGCTGTATATGCAGATCAGCCGGCAAAATATGGCAAAGTGCCCAGAAACAGGGATAAACATGAAGCTGGAGTCGAACCCACAACTTTCAGATTGCAAGAGAAGTCAGTTCAGGTTAAAGGTCAATAGTAAAAATAAATGAGGCAGTGGTGAGTATTTATGTCTGTGAAACATTTGTTTGCTGTTTTTTCCAATGTGAGTTATAATCTCAGTCTTAGGGGTGTCCAAACTTTTTGTCACTGGAGCCAAAATTGACTTCTTCATGAAAAAGAAAAAAATCCTAACCTAAAATCATGCAAATAAAGTAGCCCCTATTTTTCATTTTTTCAAAATTAATTTCTTTTGTAGATCCAAAAGTTGAAAGGGATTTTTATGACAGTGTAGTCCAGCTACTGGAAATAATAAAAATTAAATTAAATTAAAAGCAGAGTACATTTCTAGAAAAAAAACTATAAATTGAGTTTAAAATGTCAAAAATGTTGGATTTTTTGAGGAAAATGTCTGAGATTAATGTCAAATGTATGAGCTTTTTGGCAGTACTCTTTTTCTCTACAATTACCCTTTTGTACTTTCTGCATATTTGCTGGATTAAAAGAAAAAAACGTTTTTGCTGTCTTTTAGAGAATTTGGGTCACTTTCTTTCAAAACACTTGATATATTTAGCCAAGTTTAATCAAAAATAAAAACTGCAGCAAATTTGGCTTTTACCCTGATTACAAATTAAAACCCTCTAAATTTGAATACATTTTTAAATAGTTATTAGGGCCACAAAACTCAGCTCAAGGGCCATAAATGGCCCCCAGGCCGCACTTTGGACACCTGTGCTCTAGCTGTAGCTTCACCAAGAAAAAAACCCTTCATTTTGACTAAAACATCAACTTTTTAAATGAATGAAATCAATAATTTCTCATGACATCTGTAAGACCTGCAGAAAACATTCATTAAACTTTATGTCTTTGGAGACGGGGGTGACACTGACCCACTCTCAGGCGAGGCGCTGTCGCAGTCCCTGTGCTCTTCGTGCTTTTGAGCACGACTCCTCCTCCTCCCTCACCTTCACCATCGCCCTTGTGCGCCTCCTTCTCCTTCTTCTCAAGGTCATAAGGGAGCGGGCTCAACGTCAGCATGAAGGTCTCTGAAGGATACTCACACACCTGCTCCAGCTGGTCTTCATCAAAACACACCTTCCCCTGCAAAAGACAACACACAGTTTGGTTTTATTGTATTAAACTAAAAATAAATGAGTGACGTCGCACTGTAAAAGACTTGAGCTGCATTTAGTTGTGTCTACTACCTTCTGCTCTTTGAGTCAAATAAATTTAGCGATTTTTAGATTTTGAACCTAAATGTGTGACTTTTTATTAATGTTTTAGGTGAGCACTTAAAAAAAACTGAAAGAGAAAAAAGACAGGAGTGGGAAATATTTCCCAGAATGCTTAGCGGCATGATTTATATCCTGAGATGGAAATGTGTTACATTGACATGAGTAATTTGTAATTTTACTTAGCTGTTCAAAAATAGTGTTAATGTTAATGAGACTCCTGATTTATTGAGAAGGTGAAAAACATTTTCACTAAGAGACATGATGAGTTTTACAGCATTTTTTCCTTTATAAAATAAATTGACATTTGACAACTCATTTTAAGTTTGGCAAAAAATAAAAACTCAAAAACCAATTTTTTGCATACACTGTAAAAGGGGGATTTAACTTGGAAATGAAAGTCCAATTGCTGCCTCAAAAATGCAATTTAAATCAACAACTAAATTGTTTTGGTTTTAACTAAGTTCCTGAAGTTGATTTAACGACAAGACAAGTTGTCTAAACATTGTTCTTAAGTTCATTCATTTTTAATTGAGTTTTAACTTAAAGCTGCTATTTAAACCAAATAAATATTTCGCAATGTGCAACAAAAGGCTTCCCTCAGCTAGACAGTATAGCTACTTATTTTACTTTAGAATAACTTAAGTTCTTGTTTCCAATTGCATGAACAAAAATTCTGATCCGATAATACATTTTATTAATCATCACAATTAAATCAGCTCATAAGCATTTAGTGTGACCAGGACATTATCATCAAGCATTAAAATAAATATTTGCCTTAATAAAACATTAAAGTTCTTATAGGTTTTAGGAAATTAATAAAAAGTTAACACAACTTAATACTTAAAGTTTATCTTTTATAAACTCACACAAAATCTGAAACTTGCTAAATTTATTTGACTAAAAGAGTAGAAATAAATGTTTTACTCGGTGTGAAAGCTTAAAGTTCTTGGAAACATGACCTATTGTGGAAAAATGTTTCTAACTGAAACCAAACGGCTTCAAACTCGGCCTCTTTCCTCTTCGATATGCTAACTTCAACCTGCAAAGACAGACAGGGTGTAGGTGCTGGGAAAGGCTTCAGTGTGACTCTGAGAGGCGTTTGCACACACTATGACTGTTAAGCCAACTGACAGCGTGAGGCTTAAACCAGCAGAAATACTCCAAACACCCCATGCAGTCGTTGACTGGAGAGCGGCGCAAATTAAGGGGCAGAAGCAGAAACTGAACGCTAAGTTCTGGTTTTCTTTAAAAAAAAAAAAAAAAGAAAGAAAAAGTAGCACAAAGCCCAGTAGAGGTTGATTACAAAGCAGTTAGTCTAAAAGGAAGCAGTGGCACATCGACAGACTTAATCACAGAAGCTCAGCTCTGGTGCCTGGATGGGGCAGTAAGTACATTTAGAAGTGCAGACAAGGTGTGCGTGAAGCTGATTCACCTTCAACTTTGGCCGTCTGAAATGCAGAGAACAGCTCCGCTCAAGTGGAGGCTGCCCGAATCAAACTAAGGCACAGAAGGCTAATCCTGCATCCCTGACCCTGATTAACCCAGGCTAACACTGCAGGAGACCAGAGCCAAAGAAGAAGCCAAGAAGAGGGAAGTTCATGCATTTAAATTCAGGCACAACAATGCAAGGCTGAAACTAGCGACGGAGTGTAGGTCGCCTCCTACACTGACTTCCTTTTGCAAAACATTCGTGGGACTATGCAGAGGTACAAAACTCAAACAATACATGGGTCAGAAGAATAAATATTGCACTGACAAAAAAATCCAACAAAGTTTGGCTGCAGGAGTCTATGTTTAGTAATATTACACAAGATCTGAGGTATAAAAGTGCAAGAAAAGAATGAGTCAGTTGAAGCCCAGGCGGTTCACCCTCCTACTGTGATGTGATGGTGTTGAAGGGGGGAGGGAAGGACGCCTGACGTCAAACGGTCTGAAAGGCACCAACGTGAGAGCAACAGGTGGTCAGAAAATCACTTTGTGGTCATCTCTTACTGCAGCTAAAAGAGTAAGTCCTTATCGCCTGAATTACATGGCAAAAGCTAAAAGGTGTTTATAGATTCCATTTCTGCTACTTTTAAACGTTTCAGGTGACCAAGTAAAAGATCGTTTTTAAATTAATTTGTTTATTAAAGGAAAAAAAGCAAACCAAGCAGACTTCAACCTATGTGAAAAACGCGTTGCCCTTAAATATAGATTGGTTGAGCAGCGACAACCACCAAACGTGACGTTTGCAAATACGTCACTACGTCCATGATGGACGTCGGAAGTGAGGGACGGGATTACTGAACTGAGCGACAGAATTTGTTTCCCAAAGTTGTTTTCGCCAGTTTATTCGTGGTTTTTACTGGTTCGAGTCGAGCTAATTTGTCCGTGAACGTCACACACCTGCCTGGGGCTCATACTATTCACAGAAGCTAGCTTAGAAACCGAGCCGTTACTTCCTTCCTCCTGAAGTATTGATCCTGTTGATCAAATTACCGACCTTGACTGAATTCACGCCACATGATTTATGCGGATGTGTCATGAACAGCGTTTCCTCTTACTCCGGAGCAGCATTAAAAACACAAAAGACAAGAAGCTAACCGGTTTGCTTTTTCCGTACATGCTAGGCTACATGACGGCGCAGCACTGTTACCATGGTTACGGCTAGACCCTTAGCTTATCCATAACACAATATTTCATGTTTCTAGTCATACTTACTGATAAAATAAATTAACGTTAATCTTCTAACCTTGTAAAAAGTGTCGATACAGATCCGACTACCCTGAGGGCTGACAGTCATTATTATTAACGGCTGCTGGTCGTTAAGATTAACGGCTGCTATCCATGGCCGCCATCTTTCCTCGTTAAAATAATACAATGATAAGTTTGGTTTGTATCCTTGTCTTTTCCTGCAGTCGCCCGCACAGCTTGTTGATTTTGATTATGCCAGTTGACATAATGTTTATTGCTGGTTTAATAATGGGTCACTGTTTTATGCCAGGATTTATTGGCCTGACGATTTATCTGTGCCGATTTCCTTAATCTTAGGAGATCTTCTCTTCCTCTGCCAAGGTCTAAAAATCATCCACTGTCCTCTCTTGCTTTGCAGAGTGATAGGTCACATCGGCATGTTTCCAGTTAACAATAGCCACCCCACCTTTTCCAACTCAGCCATTTTCTTGCTATCTTAAGCAACATTTCACATAAAAAAACTGGCATTGGCCAAAATAAGAATCGGCAGATCACGTTTTTTAAACATTGAAATGCCTTGTTACTGAAATGTGCAATGAAAATAAACTTAACTTAAGCATCTGAGTATGAGGATAACCTTAAGCTTTCGTCACAGAGTCCTTAAAACAAAAGTTTGGGAATTAAAAAGTGGACCCCACATCTCTTCCGTTTTGTCAACCTTAAACTTTTTTAGAGAAGCTCAGACATCTGAAAGAGGAAGCGAGTAAAGACACAGCCTGACAGGGACTTTCTGTCAGACCAAAGAAAAAGACTTTAATCTTCTCACAACAGCTATCAACAAATTGCCATTTTTGTCCTTACTTCTCCTCAATGCCACCCGAATACCAGCCTGATCTTCAAACACTGTCTATTTTCCTCACCAAATCATGCACATCCAACGGAAACTTGGCCGCCTGACATCTGAAACACTCAGAGGGACAACATGGTCAAAGACTGACCTGCAATCTAACGACCCAAAGCCCCCGCTAGGGTCATAGCCAAGCTCAGACAAAGAGTGATTTGTGCGAGAGATAGAAAAGGCTGACTCAACAGTTACAGGAGGCGAAGGATGAAGTCTGCAGGGGAAATTTCAAGCAGCTTAGAAGTGTTAAAACACCAAAACAGCGACATGAGTCATCTAAAATAGGCTGGAAATGTCCAAAAAGAGCAAGAGTGACCTTCACAGGATGGTGAAAATCTCTACTTTTGACTCTTTCTTGCATTTCCCTACATATGAAAGTAAAAAGAAGAAAGAAGGTTGTTAAATTAACGTTGTACAGTGAATTATTGGTGAGGAAAAGTGTTCTTGTGAAGTGATCCTGCATGAATTCACTCAGAAAATCTCATGATTCAAGCAGGTACACAAAATTAAAACTGAAGAAAGGGAAGAAATTTTGCCTTTCATTGTGGTTTCCTATGCAGCTTTTCTGCCTCCACTGAAGCCTGCACTGCAAACACAAAATTTTACCCAGTATTTTTAGCCTAGTTTATTAAGCAAGTACCTTTGTACACTTGAAATAAGACAAAAGTAACTTTTTAGCAAGTTAGAAGCTTGTTTTAAGTAAACAATTCCTTCCACCGGTGCAACAGGAGATCTCTCCAGGGTTTATGGCTCAGAATCAAGATGTCGTGCTTCATAAGGCTTTAACTGGCTTAGCTCCTTCTCCGTGATAACACTTCTCCATCAAAGGGGATGTTCTCCCACTGCAGAGGTGTCCAAAGTGTGGCCCGTGGGTCATTTGTGGCCCTTGATCTGATTTTATGTGGCCCCAAGCTGCAGTTAAAATATGATACAAATGTGGCCTGTAGATGCAGATGGAGATTTTACCTACATGATTTTCTTACCCAGGGAACGTAAAATACAACACCAAGTATTTGTCTTTTTCTAAGACAGTTTTAAAAAAACGTTTAAGCCAAGTTCATCCAGAGACTTTTACTGAAAAGCTGCACCCAAATAAGCTTTTACTTTTTCTTAAACTTGGCTAAATACATTTTGAAAGAAAGGGACCCAAATCCTTTTAAAAACTGAAGAAATTATGTCAATACACCAAACATGCAAAATGAAAGTAGTACTAAGTAGTACATTTCTGCAAAAAATCTAAGAAATTTGTTAGAAAAAAAACAATTTTTTAGATTAGATTTGACAAAAAACATTAAAAGTATATCACAAAATTGGCAGAAATTTAATCCTGTTTTTCTAAGTACTACACCATCGTAAAAATCGCGTTCAAGTGTTGATTGCTTGATTTTCAGTTCTTTTTGGGCAAATTGGCAACATGTTTGAACTTCCCTGTCCTAGTGAAAGGCCATTCTAATTGACAACAAGAGAAGTCAGAAAGTGATAAACTTTGACTCTGGCGAGACTTTGGCTACAACTTACCCTCTTTGGTGTCACTTTACTCTTGACCAGACAGGACCTCTCCAGATTCTGATATCCACCAATCACCTCAATTTCCTCCACTGTTGGATACTTCTTCTTCGTAGGCTCATCCACAGTGGGGCTCATCGTTTGCTGGGGTGGGGCTTTAGCCGACCCTGATGATGATGCTGGTGCTGGTACTGCTGTTCCGGGCTTCGCCGCCGACCCCGTGGCTCCTCCTACGACGGGCTTTCTGGGGGTGATTGTGATGGTGGGGCCTCTCTTCACTTGGCCCCCAGAAGCACTCTTGATGGTGAAGAGCTTGGGCGAGGCGCTGGGAGACGGGGAGACGCCGGGGGAGTTGGCAGGAGACGGCGAGCATGGCGAGGAGGCTGGAGTGGGAGCACAGTTTGTAGGTTTCAGGGAGTTGTCAGGTGATTGGGTTCTTGAAAATGAGGAGTTGATGGTGATAGTTTGCTTCTGCTGAGATGTTGGGGAACAAAGATGTCGTGGAGACTCCTTGGGGTTGAGTTCTGGTGTTTCTTCAGCATCTTTCACCTGCAGCTTTATCTCTCTTTTGGGACTCTGCTGTATTTTTGCTTCTCTTTCCTTTGCAGAAGAATTTGCAGATGACTTCAGGACTTCCTGCTCTTTCAGCTGAAACTGCTCGATCTGTGTCTGGACCCCGCGGATGTCGTCGCCTGCTTTGCTTTTGCTATCCCCCTGCTGGGAGCTTGAAATAAACGGCTTCACTTTAACGAGGTGTACAGAAGATGGGATGTCTACTGTCCTGTCCCTCAGGTATAATCCAGTTCTGGAGCCAACAGTGTCCAGGTTGTAGATCCGACTCATGGCTGCCAAAGAGTTGGGATGAGGCGGCGAAGGAGAGAGAGATCCTATAGAATCTGTAGAAGTTGTGTATTTGTCCAACTCCTCCTCGGAGAGCTCCCTGTCTTCCTGCTCCTCCTCTTCGTCTTCCTCTTCTGCGCTCTCGTATCGGGCCCTGTGCTGCTCCAGGTGCGGGTCTACATGTTTCAGGGATTCAGCTTCATCCTCGGAAATCTGTGAGCCTTCAGAGGCAGAAGCTGAGCGCTCGCCTGCCACTTCCTCTCTGCTGCTGTCTTGTGAACTGAGGACAGAAACAGGAAGCTGAGGGCTGGTTTTCAACACGCCGACTTCCCGTCTGACGTCATGCAGACCCGTGAATGTCTGCTCTGCTGCTTCTCCCTTTACGCTCTCTGGTTCAGCCGGCTTTGTCTGAACCGCCATAGCTTCCCACTCTCTGTTTACCTGACTTCCTCTCACCTCGTACATGTCCTCAGCTGCTGGAGCATCACAGATGTCTGCAGCTTCACATCCATCTCCGACTCGGGCCTCTCTTTCTCTCTGCTTATCCAGCTCTCTCTGCCTGATCTTCTCTCGGAGGGACTCGATCCGGCTCAAAGGTTTTCCGATCCTCCAGCTGTCCCTCCTTTCCACCTTCTGACCTCCTTCCCAGCCTTGTCCGTCCGCGCTCCGACACTCGCTGCTTTTTCTCTCCACCATCTCTTCGGCAACATAAAACACAGTCCTTGGGATTTGAACCTCAAGAGGTGGGATCCTTTTTGGAGATCTAGGAATCTCTTTCTCTGGTCCAGAATGACTTCCTGTTTGAAGATCCTTATCGTTTATGTATATAGTTGTATCCCCTACTTTTTCTACTTTGCTGATAAGCTCCTCGGTTTGTTGGGGTAAGTTGGAGTGCATGAGGTAAGGTCCTAGTGGTCCTGTGCCGCTCCACTCCGGCCCTCGGTGGGGGATCCGATCAGGGACCATGGAGAGCAAACTGGAGCACTCTGTGAAAGCCGAATCACGTTTGCATTGACTGTCAGGAGCTTCACTGGGATTTGGTGACACTTCCAATGAAGCACCAACATAATCACTTTCAGTTTGCACTTTTTTTTTCAGTCCATCATTTGCTTCTGAATCTTTTTCCAAACTTTTCTCTTTCCTCGGGTCTCTTTCTGCTCTTGCTCTGCCGTCTTGTCTGATTGGCACTCTTCTCGCAAACGATATTCCCTCGGTGTTTTTGACTGATGCCACCGTGAACCCCTTGTCTCCCTCTGCGTCCAGTACTTTCTCTGCGGCTCTCTTATTGACAGGCTCAACTTTCTTCAGCTCACTTCTGTGTTTCTTCCACATTTCTGCATCGTTTTTCTTCTGATCGCCTCCTTTTTCATCCTCAGCCTTTACATTTCTTTGCTTTCCAAAGCGCTCCTTGCAGCTCAGTCTGAGCTTTGCTACCCCTACTACATCCTCCCAAGGACCAATGTTTTTGTCTGGGTGAATTGTCTCTTGACCACCTACGTCTCCTAACCCGTTTTCCACAGCACCAATGACTCGATCAGAGAAGCTGAAGGAGCGTTTAGGGATGTTCCTCATCAGCATGTTCTTTCCATTTGCTTTTCTCTCCTCAGACTGTCGATCATCTTGGTCTCCAGAGTATTTTCTCCTCCCCGATTGGAGGAAGTTATCTGAACTTTTGGACCGAGATGGAGGCTTTGGATGCTCCCCGAACTTACTCAGCAGCTTGCTGACCCTTCCTCCCTTCTCAATAAACACGTTGTCATCACAGCTGTCTCCTCCCTCGTCTTTATTGATCACAGTTGCCTGACCCCAGGGTTTGTCCTTCTCTTTTTCTCTCAGACAGGACATTTCTGATTTTGTATCTCTGGTTAAATCCAAGCCACTCTTCCCTTCTCCATCCTCCCTAGACTTTCCTCTCCCTGCTGTCCGCTCTTCGGTGCTGACCGACGGCTTGATGATCAGAACTTCAGAAGCTCGGATCTCCGTCACGCTCCCTCCTCCTGCCAGGATCTCCCTCAGGTCCATCTTCATCCCTCGTTTCCCCTGCTGGTCCTCCTCGGACGTCTCTCTTTCCGCCTCCCTCCATCTCGCCCTTCTTTCATTGCTGCCTTTTCGGTCCTGCTCGATGATGATGATGTTGTCGGCTCGGATGGTTCGAAGGCAGGGAAGAACGGGTGAAAACTGACCAGATGGTTGAAGGACATCTTTATCCTCCATCTCTTTTTTTCCTTTAAGGAGCTCCTGCTCTTTCACTGAGTCTTTCCACTGTTTTTTGTCTTTTTCGCATCCTTCTTGGTTGTTCTCCTTTTCTTTCCCTAGACTCTTCTCCCTGCTCTTCTCTCTCTCCCACCCTTCATTCAAATCCCTAAACCTTTCTATTTTCAGCTCGATATCTCGTCCTCTGCTCACCTCCACCTCTTGCGACCTGACGCAGAGTTTTCCCTCCGCCTCATTCGCCGCCTCAGGATCTTTGCCTTTCCTCCACACACTTTGGGTGCGAATGAACGGATTCTCGTGGACTGGAACGATGGTTTCCATCGACACCTGACTTCCAGGTTTGGGCTCTGCATCCAGCCACATCCCGGGATCCGGACTGAGTGACGTCTCGCTTCCCAGATTGACCGTAATCGAGCTGTCGGTGTCACTCAGGCAGTCGGAGGGAGTCCTGGGATCCACCTGGAGCAGGCAGATGTCTCTGTCCCTGTCACCTAAACTGTCCTGCTTGGCCTTCCTCCGCTGGATGATCCCTCGTTTCCAGGCCGGCATGCTGGCCAGCTTCTCCTCCTCCTCCTTTTCTCTCCTCTCTCGCTGCTCCTCCTCTCTCCTCTTTCTCTCCAGAAGAAGCTGTTTCCATTCTGGCAGAGAAGAAACAGACATAACAAAAAGAAATGTGCACCTCTGTGGCCAAAGTGGGTGAAACCTCTTTCCCAGGAGATTTAAGGAATTATCTGTAATTTAAAAAAAAAGAAATAAATATTAGCAGAAAATTCAGTTTTGTCTCACTAACAAGTCTAATAACAATAAAGCATCTCATAATAGTAGTAGTTTGGGATTTAGATAACTTTGATACTGCGTTTGAGAGGAAATACTTACAACGATGTTTGCGCAAAGATTTATGGGATCCAACGCGCTCCGTTCCGTCTTAATCTCCCCAAGAGCAAATAAATAAAAACAAAGGAAGAATCAAGCCTTTAAAACGTTTTGTCTAAAAGGCATGCAGTCCCACGAAGTCGCCCGGAAAGTTGTCTTTGCCTGAAGGCGAGATGGACGGCCGCTCGGTCCGCCTGCAGCTCCAGAACTGCAGCGCTAATCCGATAACTGCGGGCGGTTCCGTCAGGAGCGTTTAGCGGCACACGCCATATTGTGGGAACTAAGAACAGGAGTTTAAAGAGCAGAGCCGTCTGCCCGACTCCTGACCCCCTCCCTTCAGAGGAGGAGGCAGAGGAGCAGGACCAGGTTCACCAAACCTGAGAGCAGCTTCACTGGCAGGGGCGGCCCAAAGCTGGAGGGGGCCCAGAGCTGGAGGGGGCCCAAAGCTGGAGGGGGCCCAAAGAAGAGTTTAATCTGGGGCCCAGGACCTGGGGGACCATCCATATAAAATAAATAAAGAAAGAAAGAACAGCTAGATTTGTACAAAAACAAAAATACTGCCTGGGTGTGCTAAAATTGGGGATTAAAAAGTTCTCTTTTAATTGAGATGTGATGAGTAAATAAAACGTAAAAGCAAACAGAGATAAATTCTACATCATGTTAACAAGAACAACATTGTTTAAAAGTTTGATTGTTTTATGGCTTTGAGTCAAAACAGCAAAATTTTATTTTTTAGAAAAAGTGACCCAAAACATTGACTGGGTGTTTTTTTTTTATCCGCTTGGGCTGTTTTTGGACACATTAGAGACACAGATCAAAGTAGAAAAATGTACAGAATGTGAATTTTGTATGATACGTCCCACTTATTTTCATCAGGTGGCAGCAGAGAAAGAGTTAAAACCTGCAGGTTGGTCAGCTCTGAGAGCCAGGATTAAAAATATGCACTGATCGGGGAAACGGCTTTGAATCTGTTACCTTAATGACTTATTTAGAAACAGAGTAAAACGTCTGTGAAAGAGAGCAACAAATCCTTATAAAAGAAACAAAAAACATCCAAGGTTAATGTATTTAATGTAGTGTACAAAAATACTGAAAGTTATGATTGTGGTTCTCTAATTTAGGATTATGAGTTTCTTTCTGGCAGACTGTTCTTATAAAAAAACCCACAGCGTATTCAATGAGTGGCTCTTAAAACTAATTAACACTTAACATCTTTTCACATTGATTTATACAAAAATAATCCTAATTTGATTTCTTGAAGTTTTGTTTTTGTGGCCCTCTAGAGACTGGAGGGCCACATAAATGGCTACTGTGGCCCAGATTTGGCCCATGTGCCATGAGTTTGACAATTGTGGTCTAAATAAAATTATTACAGCACTGTGAACTGCAAGTAGACAAAAGCACTGGTCACCCTGTGTTATCAAGACATGAAGTTTTAACTCAGTCTGTTCAAGTCAGAGAAATATATTCATAGTATCAGAAATGCACCCAGACTTTCTCCTCTTCTTTTATCCAGCAGTAATATACAGCATGAAATGTCATTAAGACAGTTTTTCAAGAATCATTCACCTTTTAAAAACCTAGCATGTGGTAAACACAAACATGTCAGTAGTAGTTGTACTTTGGATCCCTTCAACCCTCCTTTTCCTTGTGGCTGCTGCTGTTCTGCTCCACGCCGCCTCGCTGCGGCTCCGCTAAGAGCCACACTTTGCCTTTAAGCTGAGCGCAGAGGTAGGCTAAATCCTGTTTGTCCAGAGAGTGCGCCAGGCCCACGTAGGCCGACAGCGTGCCGGCCAGCAGCAGCCTGTCCAGGGAAAAGGCCGGCAGCAGCCACAGGATGACGGCCAGCTCCAGGCAGACGGGGTGGCGGAGGTGGGACAGCAGGCGCTGATCCGGGGCTGGCTTCTGGGACCAAGGGTCCCCCAAACCCAGGCACTCATAATACACCTAGGAGGAGAGGATTTGATCATTTATAGACCTGCTGCAGTAAACTATAAATCAATCAACTGAAATGTGTTGATATAGCGTTTTATAAACAGGTTAAAAACGGCACCAAAGTGCTGCACAAAAACGATGGTAGAATTCAAAATTAAATTAAATGTCACACTACCAGTAACATAATGTAACTCATTCAGATCACATTTAAAAACAAAAATATGTCTCAACTTTTCTACCTGTTTAATACCCAGCAGTTCTGGATAATCAAAAATAACGAGGATGCTGCAGATGATGGCCCAGCAGAGGAAGTGCAACGCAAAGCAGAGCACAGGAAACCAGACGCTCCAGGGTGCATGGCGCACTGACCACAGACAGGGGGCGCCAGTCACTGGCTGCCAGTGAAGCATCAACATCTAACAGAAATAAAAAAAATAAATAAAATATTTGATTACTGGATTCAAAATGAGTTTGTATAAACAACACAGAAAAAATAAAATTGAATTGATTAAAGTTAAATTGTTATGACAGAACAAGTGTGGTAAAAATTATGATCAAAACTTCCAAACAAGAGTTTTAAAATATTAAACAACTGTACATAGACTGGAAATGCTCAAAAGGAGATTAAAAAAATTAACACCAAAAGAGGCAAACGTTTACAAAAACGATATGTACAAAGAAATCAGCACAGCTTAGTTAAAGAAAAACAAAACTACAAAAACTGAAAACTAACAATAGGCTACAATAAAAAATTTAATGTAATAAAAATATGACAAAAAAACTATAAAAATCAAAACTAAGAATGCAAAATTTAATAAAAAAACTAAAAATATAATAAAAATAATAAAAAACTAAGAAAGAAATTATGCATGAAGATTTTAATTAATCTAAAAATAATAACAAAACTGCAAATCTTGTACATGTACCTAAAATATTCTGAATGGTAACTTATAAATAATTTCAAAGATATTTCTTAAATCTTGGCATCACTTCAGGGATTTATATGAGTTTTCACAAAATGAAAAGAGCAACAAAAGATGGGATTCAATGCATTTTTGGATATTAGTAAAACAACAGGAAACTGATTTGGGGAGTGCAGTTGTACCTGGAGGGCGAGCGCAGTAGTGAAGCAGTAAGCTGTCCTGTTCAAGGCCCCCAACACCGACTGCAGGGCCCGTTTGACCGGAGCCCAGGCCATCAGGCTGTGCTGGGCAACGAAGAGAGCCAGCAAGCACAGATCCACAAAAAGAGCCCAGAGCACAGAACTGTCCTTCAACGCCACGGACCAGGGCACCGAGTCTTAGTGGACACAAATCAACAAACATTCCAGTTTTTTTAATTCATTATTTTAATCTAATTATTGATAGACAGGGCCAGACTTTAGGAGGGGCTTCGATGGGCAGTGGCCCAAATACCCAACTTTTGGGGAAGGCCTAAAAATTATTAATTTTTTTTTTCTTTTTTATAAAACCCAAAGTAGATGACTTGTATTAATCTTTTGAGATTTTTATTATTAATAACAATATTCAAGTGTTTAAAAATGATGAAATTATAGTTGATTTCTTTGGGAACAACATAAAATAAGAGTACCTATTATTGTACTGTAATTTACATTATAAAATAATTTTTACTTAGTGTATAGGGCACCAAAACTGGCACCAGCCCAAAGCCCCACATCCTTGCAAATCAGGCCCTGGTGGCAGGAAATACAGCAGTTTCAATATATAATGAAGGAACAGAAAATAACAAGCGTTATTAAGGTAGACTTTAACATTCAACAACATAAAATAACAAAAGGTCAGTCAGTGTGTGGGGAAACTTTAGTTGCTGAGGCTAAATTTCCGAAAACAAAAAATAACGACCGCCCAACGTGGGGCTCGAACCCACGACCCTGAGATTAAGAGTCTCATGCTCTACCGACTGAGCTAGCCGGGCGCTGGTATCGCCGAACATCATCCCGCCATACGTCATAGGTACTGCAGAAGTTCTGCATAAAACACTGCAAACAGTTGAATGACTGAAAAGACTACGCACCCATCATGACTGTAAACAACTTCCTCAAGTGATAACTTTGTGCGGCTGCAAGCCGCCTCCAGTTTTCCGAGAGCTTACCTTGACAGAGCGTCGTCTCCCCTGTAATGTTATGATAAATGGGCCGAAACGACACGAAGCGAATGAAGTCTGCGCCAGAAATGAACACAAAGAGCAGGTTAAAGAGAGAGAGCGCGCAGAGAGCCCAGCCACGGGCTGTGACTGACGCCATTTCAATCAGCGCTGCTCTGTCATGTTCACAGTTCCGGGAGAAAACTTGGACGGCAGTACGGATTATTAACACACGATGGCGCTGTTGTTCGCATAAGCCTGGTATTTTAGCGCCAAACTTGTTTTAATTTGAGAATTAAACGGTGTGAACTTCAGCAATTGAAAAGTAAATATTATATCATTAAAGGACTGCATGTTAAATTTTTAATATCACTTATTAAGTTTATCGCTAAAGCAAGTCAGAAATGTTATTAAAAGTTATCAAAAACTTGTGATTTGCTGAGTTGTGTATGGAGTTCCAAATAGAACAAAAATGTTTTTCTATGTTCAAACGTTTTGTTGGGTTAGTTTATCTGTGAAATGAATATGGGACATCTAAGTTGTTTACTTGAACCTGCATAAGTGGAAAATATTTAAAAAATATGTTTTCTTCATTTGACATAAAAATTAATTCAAGCGCTAAAGGAGTTTAGCAAACTTCACTAGTTGTGTGAAAAAAATCTAACTCAAACAAATGATGAACCAGAAACAAATCATGACATCATTAATATAGATCAAACTATTTACATCTTACGAACAAATCTAGAAATCAGCAAATCTGATCATAAACAGATTTTACAAAACAAGTAAGGTGACATAATATTTTCATCTTGTTCATGCTATCAACCAAACAGTTACTGATTTAAAATGTTTTTAAATGTGCTATTTACTAACATTTGAAACAAATAAGGAACCTAGTCTGCTTTGCTTTGGCCTGGCTCTGGCCAATTTAAATTTGCCAAGTGGATTCATGAAAAAATTTAAAGAATTTGTTCTTATATTTCCTGCTATATGACATAAATAAATGATTCTGAAAGTGGTAAATCAGGAAAGCAAAATATTTATTTAATTGAGACATTGTATAAAACATCACAATAATACACTCATCTCCATTAAATGAGGCTGACCTCACCGCTGTAGCACTCTACATGATAGTATTTGTTACATGATGCCACTCGAATTGACTCTGCAGATCCCTGAAACAGTTGGAAAAGGAAAACATGAGTAAAATGAGTAAATAATAACAAACTCAAGTTGTTCACTGAAGCTGGACTTCACCTCTGTAGGCAGTATCGGCTTCCTGCAGGCACCGCAGAGGGGAGACTGGACCCTGAAACCATGAAGAAGTCTCGGTGAAACTGAAAATCTCTTTGCCTGAGACTCCCCCGTCCTCATTGTAATCAGAACTGGGCCGGGTCTATTGTTGTTGTAATGTCACCTGTGATAGTCGGTGACACAGTAAACCCTGCAGTCTGAGTCCACAGCGAAGGCCTGACCCTGCAGCTCCTGTCTGCAGACCACGCAGTGAAAACAGGTCGGGTGGTACGATTTCCCCCGAGCCTGCAGAACCTGAATGTGTAGCTTCAGTTGTTTTAAACATGAAGGTTTACAAAGAGGTGAACTCATGCGGGTAAACAAGAAAATCCTTGCCAAATCTGTGATTGAACTCCCGCAACTGTAACACGTTTCTTCAGATGGGTGAACTCCAGAGAACTGCAAAAAACAAACAAACAAAACAATGAGAACTGGAGTATTTCATATGTGAAGAGTAACCAACAAATCAATACTTACCAAGAAATCATCCTCGCAGTAGATGTGTCCTGACACGGTGAAAAACGGCTGTCCTTTGAGCTGTTTGTCTGAAATAAAATAAATAAAATAGGTCAATATGAGAAAAGTGACTATATCACTGAAAATGTAAGTTTTTAAGCCTGAAATGTTTTTATCTTTTCATTTGATCAACTTTTGAGTCATTAGATCAAGTCAAATCAGCATAAACACAATAAATATGTCTTTTAAAGTATTTTTCTCTATTTGTTAGTGTAAGTATCTTAGTTCACTTGAAATTGGCTTAAGTCAATAATTCCTTAACACTGATAAAAAAAGCTGATTATTTCTCTTATAAATAGCACTTTTTCATCAATATGAAGGAATTATTAGCAAAAACAAGATCCTATATTTTACTGAAATGTTACTTGTAAGAAATTGTTTTGTCTTATTTCAAGTTAACTACTTTGCATTACAACAAAAAAAAAAAAAAAAAAAAAAAAATATATATATATATATATATATATATATATAAAAAATAAAATTCCCTTCTCACCCACCTCGGGTGGTTCTTATCCTCTGAGCTCGGGTCCTCTACCAGAGGCCTGGGAGCTTGAGGGTTCTGCGCAGTATCTTGGCTGTGCCAAGGACTGCACATTTCTGGACTGAGATGTCTGATGTTGTTCCTGGGATCTGTTGTAGCCACTGCTCCAGTTTGGGGGTTACTGCCCCGAGGGCCCCGATGACCACAGGCACCACTGTGGTCTTCACCTTCCAGGCCCTCTCCAGTTCCTCCCTGAGGCCCTGGTATTTCTCTAGTTTCTCGTGCTCCTTTTTCCTGATGTTGCAATCACTTGGTATTGCTACATCTACCACAACGGCTTTCCTCTGATGTTTATCCACTATGACAATGTCTGGTTGGTTCGCCATTACCATTTTGTCTGTCTGGATCTGGAAGTCCCACAGGATCTTAGCTCTGGCGTTCTCCACCACCTTTGGGGGTGTTTCCCACTTTGATCTTGGGGTTTCCAGTCCATATTCTGCACAGATGTTTCTGTACACTATGCCTGCCACTTGGTTATGTCGCTCCATGTACGCTTTCCCTGCCAGTATCTTGCACCCTGCTGTGATGTGCTGGACTGTCTCAGGGGCCTCCTTGCACAACCTACACCTTGGGTCTTGTCTGGTGTGGTAGATCTGGGCCTCTATTGCTCTGGTGTTTAGGGCCTGTTCCTGGGCTGCCAGGATGAGGGCCTCTGTGCTGTCCTTGAGTCCAGCTTTTTCCAGCCATTGGTAGGACTTACTGATATCAGCCACTTGGGTTATTTGCTGGTGGTACATCCCATGTAGGGGTTTGTCCTCCCATGATGGTATCTCTGGCACCTCAACCTCCGTTCCCTGTTGTCTGAGACATTCACTGAGCACATTGTCTGTTGAGGCTTTGTCCCTGATGTATTTATGGATCTTAGTTGTTTCGTCCTGGACAGTGGTTCTCACACTCACTAGTCCTCTGCCTCCTTCCTTGCGGCTCGTGTACAGTCTCAGGGTGCTGGATTTGGGGTGGAACCCTCCATGCATTGTTAGTAGCTTTCTGGTCTTAATATCTGTGGCTTTTATCTCCTCCTTTGGCCAGCTAATTATTCCAGCAGGGTATCTGATTACTGGCAAGGCATAGCTGTTTATCGCACGGATTTTGTTCTTGCCATTGAGCTGGCTTCTCAGGACTTGCCTTATTCGTTGGAGGTATTTAGCTGTGGCTCCTTTCCTTGTGACCTCATCGAGGTTGCCATTTGCTTGTGGTATACCTAGGTACTTGTAACTGTCCTCTATGTCTGCTATTGTTCCTTCTGGGAGTGTGACCCCTTCTGTGTGGATGACCTTCCCCTCTTTGTGACCAGCCGACCACATTTCTCTAGTCCGAATGACATCCCAATGTCCGTGCTGTAGATCCTGGTGGTGTGGATCAGTGAGTCGATGTCTCGCTCACACTTGGCGTACAGCTTGATGTCATCCATGTAGAGTAGGTGACTGATATTGGCCCCATTTTTGAGTCTGTATCCGTAGCCAGTCTTGTTGATAACTTGGCTGAGGGGGTTCAGGCCTATGCAGAACAGTAGCGGGGACAGAGCATCTCCTTGGTATATGCCACATTTGATGGACACTTGTGCAAGTGGTTTGCAGTTGGCTTCAAGGGTGGTTTTCCACAGCCTCATCGAGTTTGCAATGAAGGCTCTCAGAGTCCTGTTGATGTTATACATCTCTAAGCATTCAATGATCCAAGTATGCGGCATTGAGTCATAGGCTTTCTTGTAATCAATCCAAGCCATGCACAGGTTGGTGTGTCGGGTTTTGCAGTCTCGGGCAACTGTGCGGTCTACGAGGAGTTGGTGTTTGGCTCCTCTGCTATTTACACCGATACCCTTCTGTGCCGTGCTCATGTGTTTATCCATGTGTTTGCTTATCTTGGCCGCTATGATGCCTGACATGAGCTTCCAGGTTGTGGAGAGGCAGGTTATTGGTCGGTAGTTGGGTGGGACTGGACCCTTTGATGGATCCTTCTGGATTAGGATTGTCCGCCCTTCAGTTAACCATTCAGGGTGAGTCCCACTTTGTAGCAGCTGGTTCATTTGGGCTGCCATTCGCTCATGGAGAGCAGTGAGTTTCTTTAGCCAGTAGGCATGGTGCTGTCCAGTTTTTCATACCTGAGACTCTTTCTTGGACATCTGTCACAGTGATGGTTACCGGGGCTTGCTCAGGGAGGTTGTTGTGGTCCTCTCGTAGAGAGATCAGCCACTGTGCATTGCTGTTGTGGGACGCCTCCCTTTCCCATATGCCTTTCCAGTATTGTTCCGTCTCCAGCCTTGGTGGGTCTGCTCTGTTGTTATTACCCTGCCATTGAGAGTACACCTTAGCTGGTTGAGTGGAGAAGAGCCGGTTAATCCTTCTGGATTCATTCTCCCTTGTGTATCTCTTTAGGCGGCTGGACAAGGCTTGGAGCCTCTGTTTGGCAGTCTCGAGTGCTTCAGGTATGGGCATCTGCCTGTACTTTCTGGGTACTGGTCTTTTCATTGCACCCTTGTGGAGCTCTGACAGTTGGCTCACTTCCCTCCTTGTTACCTTGATTTTAGCCTCTAACCGTCTTTTCCATGGTGGGTATTGGGTCTCATGGTTGCTCTTATAGCCAAGTATCTCAAGGATCACTGATGCTGAGTTGTAGATCAGCTCATTGGTTTCTGTTATGGTGTTGGTAGGGATCGTTCTCAATGCTGCATTCACATTCTCAATGAGACTTTCAGATGGTACTTCACTCAGCCGTTGTAATTGGCGCCGGGGAGGCCTGGTTGTCATTCGGGTCATGATTCTCTCTCTCAGGTCAGCAGCTGTCTCGTTCAGCTCTGTTTCGCTCATTGGGGCCGTGTATCCCCTCACTGGGTGGGGACTTGTAGTTAAGTCCCCACAGTCCTGACATCCGGGTTCCTCCCTTTTGCCGTAGCATTTGTGTTGTATCTCGTCAATCTCAAGTTGTGATAGCAGTTGCCGTTTGCGGATGTTGGAACACTGAGCTACTAGTTGTTTAGCGCTTAGTGTTGACTGGGGATGTCGAAGTAACCATTCCTTCCCCAGTCTTTGCATGTAACCCCTCTGACTAGGGTTACTTGAGTAGTAGCATTCCAACAGATCCACATTTTCATCTCTCGCCCATTTCCTTCTTGTTCCAGTAGCCCATTTGTCATCAAGGTGCTCTGGTTCCCCAACACCTGACGCAGACCTTGTTTGGCCGGGCGACGTCTGAGCCGGCATGTTATGCAACTTAGTATCTCTCATGGTATGAGGTAGGCAGTAGCTTGAAGGGTCTTGCCTAAGGACCCAGACTGGATTCGAACCCTGCCCTCTCGGGTGATATACTGATGCCTTATGTATTGAGCTATCCAGTCAGCTATATGGAGGTTGCCATATATATATATATATATATATATATATATATAAAACTCAAGTTGTTCACTGAACAACTTGAGTTGTTCAGTGAACAACTAATATATATATATATATATATATATATTATATATTTTTTTTTTTTTTTTTTTTTTTTTTTGCAGTGTAGCAACCAGAAAACACCAATCTAATGGAGTTGATGGGAAATCCAGTTGATTTAAAGTAAAAACTTGTTTCCACATGTCATCAGAACCTGTTGTATAGTTAATTTATCCAAATTCATCATGAGCATTACATGCAACCGGACTGGTTTTTGTTTTTCATTTTAAGAGAAACGGGTTTATCCAGGTTGGGCTGCAGAGATGTTGTGTTTACACTTAGCATCACTTTGTTTACTGACAATTTGGAAATGGAGTTTAAAATACAAACAAGGTTGTGTAAATATCTTGAGTCATTCCTCTTGTATTTATATGTAGAGTTAAGGACAGAATTCCCTCTTTTAATGTCTTTAAAGCTTTGCTTGTTTGTGCTACAAATGTAGAACTTAGATTATATTATATTTTAATGAATAATCTATTATTTTATATATTTTTTATCTTATTTCTGGTCTTGATCTGTATTTATTTGGGGTTTATGAACAGCTTTAAAAGTTTTCCCAAATTAAAAATATAATAGAATATAAGAATATGATAAAACCTGATTAAATATACAGCTCTTGAAAAAATTATCAGTTTCTCTGATTTTACTTTTTGTATGTTTATGTTTGAGTAAAATGAACATTGTTCTTTTATTCTGTGAACTACTGACAACATGTCTCTGAAATTTCAAGCAAAAATTTAGTATTTATTTGCAGAAAATGAGAAATGGAAAAAGATGCAGTGCTTTCAGAGCTCAAATTACACAAAGAAAACCAATTCATATTTATGTAGAAACAACAATACTAATGTTTTAATTCAGAAATGAATATTTGGTGGAATAGCCAGGAGGTTTTCACTGCAGTGGACTCTATTTTTTTTAGACCTATATATGTAAAGACACTAGAAATGGTTTAAAACAATATTGTAATTTTCTAAAAACGCTCTATTAACTTCAGCAACTTTAACAACAAATATCATGGAATCTCACTAAACAAGTGTTAAATTCACACCATATTTTAAATACACAACACCGACACTGTAAATCTGACTTTTGCTCTTGCTGAGGTTCCTTGACGTTCATGAACCAGGCGACTCACTGCAGACGCTGCAGGTGAAGCAGGTGTTGTGGAATAAATGTCCCATCGCCTTGCAGGCTCCTCCAGCAGAAAACACGGCTTCCCCACATCTAGTGCAGCTTCCTGAAGTCACATCGCACACGACCCAAATGTCAGATAAGGAACCAAACAGAACAAAGCGGATAAAAATACAAACCATCATCCTCACCAAAGCAAAGTCTGGGCTCCATGGCTCCTCTAGTTGTCTCGTTCTGACAGTCTAAATTTACAGACAGCTGTAAGGGAAGCTGATCTCTGGTTTACTGCTATTGCTTCTTGGAGGGCAATAAGCTGCAGACGCCCCGACTCCCCGACGGTGGCAGCTCTCTGGGTGGCAACGGACAGCGACAACTGGCAGGAGGAGACAGGCGCTTCGCAGGACAGACGCAACTTAAATCCAGAAATATACAAGAAAATCAAGTAGGTCACATCATCTGGAGTTATTAGTAGAACTAAATTATACACATTTAGCTTGTGGCCAAATAATTAAGTTTATAATGTCAAAAGTTCATCTGTGTAAAGAAGCAGGAAGTGGTTGAGCTTATTGTGAGCAAGAATGAGGCGACAGTGGAGAGAAACATGAAACCTCCAGGAGAACCCACAGAAAACACTGAGTTTAAAGGTCCATCCATCCAGCCATCCATCCATCCATCCATCCATCCATCCATCCATCCATCCATCCATCCATCCATCCATCCATCCATCCATCCATCCATCCACTCAGTCATCCATCTGAGTGGATTAGAAAATATTAACAGTTCAGGGTATTGATAAACAGTCAAAACTCCTTAGACTGTCAGATTTGAAGCTTCATTTAGCAAATATTTACATTTTGCATTAGTGTTAGAAGTTAATAATTTCATCAAGCGTATGGTTAGAATTTTTATAATTGTTTCTCACCTACAGGCCATAAGACACACTACCTACTTCTCTTTGTTACTTCTCCTACTGCTCTCCATTCATTCATAATTCATATTTTTGCTGCTATTAAATCCAAATGCTTTGCTTTTCCTCTCCAGGTAAAATACACCTGACTAAGAGCTTCTGTTTCTGTTTAAACTCTCCATGAAAATAAGTCTCTAAACAGTGCGGCCATGTTTTCCATGTCTGCTTCCTGCTTGGTCTGCTGCTCGTCCTGAGCCTGGTTCTGGTTCTGGTTCTGATGGAACACCTCTTCCTGTTCAAAGGGAGTTGTTCTTCTCCACTGTCCACATGTGCTTATTCAGTCAGAGCAAAGTCCATTCAGAGTAATGTTTATATAAACAATGACAATAATCACACTTTTCACACATAACCATATTCTGTTTGATTTTATTTGTATTTCATCTGTAGGTACTTTATTAATATGCAGATATTTATGTTGTTTTTAGATATTTATTCTTAAGTTTTGTTAAAGTTATATAACTTTTGTCATAAATTATTCAGGATAACTGAATTGTCATGTAATGTAATTGAACTAAATGCTATAATATATTGAATTAATTATATTTTGATCTTTTCTTAAACTAGTTATAATGATAAAGGGAAATTTGTTGACAATTTCTCCAAAGTGTTAAATAGTAAATATAAATATAACTATTTGTGATATAAAATTTGTAACGCAAGTGTTCAATTATAAGTATATCTAAAATAAAATGAAATAAAAAACAAGTATGTATGTGAATATAAATCTATAAATGAGTGCAGAGTAAATTTAAACTTAAAAACATGTGATTGGATCCTGGGAATCAATTGAGTTTAATTAAATGAACTGAACTAATTTGAACTGAATTTCAGCCAAGCTGAATTTTCTTATCTGAACTGGACCTGGTCTCTTGTGAAGTGGATTTACAAACTAATTTAAATAACCTGTAATAAATGCTGGTGTAATGAATTGACCTGTTGTTACAAACAGAAAATAATCCATTGTGATTCTCTGTAGCTGGTCTGCACATGTAAAACACTGAGCATGAAAACATTTTCTCTGAACTAATGTGTTACTGCCTCCATGTGGACTGTCCAACTCTTCAACGTAACCGAGTATTTTCTCTTCAATAAATACAAGCTGCTACAGTAGATTTAGTGATTCTGACTCTTATTTAAGAGTCAGAATCACTTGTAACTTGTGTTACAAGTGGGCCTGCAACACTTCCCAGTGCTTCCCAGTATCTGTCAGCCGTTGTAATTCTCCCTCCAGGAAACAAAACGCGGCCCTGAAACCCCCGGCAGCGGCAGCAGCAGCATGTGTGGCGGTTCGGGATCAGTTTCACAGGACAGGAGGGGAAGTTTGACAGCTGCTGACTTTTCTCTGAGAGCCTCTTGTTAAGAGGAGAAACAGCAGCACAACGCCCACTCTGCATGCCGTCAGACTGGTTCGGACACACACACACACAAAAAAAAGCCCATTTGTATGTTTTAATGTAAACACAAATGTAAACATTTGAGGTTAAAACATTTGCGAAAACGTAAAAACGTAGCAAAACTTTGACTCTTTTTGGACTGTTGTGTTAATTTGACCTTTAATTTTTTTTAAGTGTGTTGAATCTGAATGGAAATTCAAAGTGAGCGATAAAATGAGGGTTTGGTGGATTAAAAACCAACGCAGTGTGTTCGAAATGGTCCAGCCCTCAGGTATGTTTCTGAGCAGGAATGTTGTGAGGCATGTGGCGGCAGGAGCAGGCCTCTGCAGCTCTGGGAGTGTTGGGCCTCCAAAGGAAATCATATACTTACTGTCACTGCACTGAGAGAAAAAAAAAAATCCACCTGACCAAGCATGCGTTTCATTTTTGCATAAGAACCTTTCCTTCCTTACTCATTTGCCTGTTTGAACAGATACCGCCTCCTTCATAAGCTCTCTGCTTTCCTGCAATATTCTGACACAGTTAAATACATAAACACCCTGAACTTATGCCGCAGCGTCCACGCCCGTCCCACGCCTCATGTTGGGGATCCACGGCCCCATGCCAGCCATCTGTTGGCATGTTTGGCTGCTTATAAATAGGGCGCCCATTGTGCCACACTCACTGCACACGACTTTAACTCTCATCCCACGGGTGGAGTGAGTCTCCCGTGGATTTTTTTTCTTTCTTTCTTTCTTTCTTTTTTTTTGCTCAACGGTTGGGCAGGATTCTCACGGCGTCAAGTTGGAACAGGTAACCCACCTGTGGGGCCACGCCCTCCGCTCCTGCGCAGGAAATCTGGAGCAGGAAGTTGCTGTCAGCGCCTATCGCTGCTGTTGGAAATCGTAAAATAATGCATTCGCTTGTCTGAAAAGCGAGCCTGCATCTGTTTCTTTTTAAATATTTTACTGTTCTTTTTCGTCGGAAGGATTTCCATACGGTCGATATGCGTTTTTGTGGAGCATGCGCTCTCCTGGCGCTGTTACTTGTGTCATCTTTGGACTCGTCAGGTGAGGGAAAACGCATCTGGCAGCTGGAAATAGTCATTTGTTGCAGACTTGTGTTCGTGTTTAACGTCACATGTTGATGTTTAAGAGGGTTGAAATGTGTAAAACAACATATGCGCTGCAAAACGCCCTTATTGTTTAAGATAAGCCTTCTTTCATGACGCTGAAGTTCGTGTATGATTGAAAGCATGACTAAAGGGCTATTCCAACTAATTTGATAATGTTTGACAGGCTTTAATAACATACTGCAAACAGATCATTTAATTTTTATTCCATATGTTTTTGGAATGCAGTCTGATATTTAGCATCATTGTCTTTATTTCTGAATCTGACCTTCATTCAGATTCTGGAAAGCTAATTTAGGAGTTGGAGACCCCAGTTAGATGACTTAATATTAAAAACTTTAATTTTGGCCTTAAATCATTTTACATTAAGTCTGGCTTTGAAAACTAAACCAGACACAACCTTTACATAATTCATTTTACACAACTGAAAAAGTAAAGATTGTAACTTTTGAAGTTTATGATTATTTTTCTGCCCTGACTTTAGATGGAGTCAATCTTGAAAAAAACTAAACCACCATTCATGTGAAATTCAGACAAAATCATTCCACATCAATGATAGATTATATCAAATCCAGTTTGTGTTTTTAATACCTTTGATAAGGTTTGAAAATACCAACAAATGTAGACATTTGAAGCCAGATGTTACCATAATGTTTCTAAATTAGTAGAAGACCATAGAGAATATAAATAGGCATTTATAAAAGAGTTATTCTATTGATTTTTATGAAATAAAACACTGTTTTATATTCTGTGTGAATACTGTAGAGCTATTTTTGTGAAGGTTGTTGTGTAAAGTGATTTAAGGATAAAGAAAATCAGCTTTTTGAGTTTTTTCTAAACTACAAATCAGATAACTGTGAATTATATAATATGTATTCATTAGTGGATCAAGTCTTTGCTAAATTTGTTAAATGCAATCATTTATTTATTCAAGTTCAAATCAGATCCTAACTTCACCATTGTACCAAGTTCCACCTTTTTGGGTCACTTCCACTGGAGATGAGCTCAGCTTGAATCACCCATTACATTATGACTGGAATAGCAAAGAACATTAATGTATCCTCATTTATGATGGAAATAACTTAAGAACTGAGCTGCCCAGCTCTTATATTAGCTTTCAAAAGCTTTGAGGCGTTAATGGAGCCTCTTTCCTGGAGCCATGACTTCATTCATTAATGATTGACCAACAATCTGCTGAAGTATGATTCTGGTGGGTGTTTTATTACAGCCAGTGTTTGGATTTAAACTCTGCTGTCTTTCTAGAAGCTGCACTTGGCTCTGAGGAGGAGTGTTATGATTATTTTAATGACTTATACATAAAAATGTTCAAATATTTACCACTGCTTACTGCTAAAAGGTCCTGACTCCTGCAGTGCTAACAAAAAGCTGTTTATCCTGTGTAGTATTGTCCTGTTCAGATCAGAACTGCAACAAGACAAAATGTTGCAAAGTGTTTTTGGTTTAGTAATAGGGCGAATATCTTGAAATAAAACAAAACTAAATCACAAGTAACTTTTCAACAAGATATTCTAAGTCGATAACGCTTTAATATTGATACAAGTTTTACTGTCAGATTGTTTCACTTATAACATGGCAAAAATGTCTTGTTATAAGTGGAATAATTCACCAGAGGAACTAGTTATTTTTCATCAATATTAAGGAATTATTGACTTAGAAGAAGCTCATATATTTTGCCAAAAAGTCTTTTTGTAAGATAAAAATGATTAAAAAAATACTTGTTTTTCCAGTGAGGCGATACATTCTCCATTTTCTTTTTCTCTTTTTGTAATGGACAAAATTTCCAGCGAAACTGTAAAATGTCTGGAATGAAAGTTTTGATGTTTGCATGGAAACTCTCTCTTCCATTGGAGGTAAAGTCTTGTTTTTATCCTCCTCTAAAACCACTGCAGCATTTCTGTGAATCACGACTCCAACCGGCCTTCAGTGAACTCTTCAAGTTTTATCTACAAAACTAATGTTTTATAGATAATCTTCTATCTCTGTTCTGTTGCCACATTTCTGGTTCAAGTCAAAAAGATGATGCTGACCGCCAAGCCGGTAGAGGAAACTTCACCAGTCTTGAAATCTAGATAAATGCCTCTAGGTTGTGGAAGAACAAGCGATTGCTGTGCAGCCAATAAGTTTTTGTGCGTGACGCAATGCAATCATGTCAACACAAAGCCGACTGAAGAGGAATGTTACTTACTTTGCGTGGAATATGGGCCACAAAAAACAGGCCAGATGGATGCTTAACAGTCTTCTTGGTGCAAAACTATAGATGTAGGTTTCCAAATAGAAATGAATTATTTTGTTTACTATGACTCATTAATTCGCTCTGGTTTATCGTTTCTGTCGGTTGGATAGGTGTGCCTGGCAACAGTGTTTGCTCATGTGTCACCAGCAACCTCTCTTTGCCAACTCTACCAGCAATAAGGTGAAGCAGTCATTTCCTGGATGACTATCAGTTTCTCATGTCGCTGAGTCTGAATCTTCGTCAGCTCCTTTGAGCCTCAGGAAATGGTTTTTAACCAACAAATGATGGTTTCCCCCTCTGAGTTAGTGGCTGGTGTTTGCATTAAGGGGAGGTGATTAAGAATGTTGTTTTTGAGTGATTGCAAGATGGTGCAGGAGATTAAAAAAATGGTCCGGAGTGATGCGGTAGGCCTATATCACAAGAACATATTTTGCTGCGAACTGTCCCAGAAGTTATTGTGATAAACGATAATATTGCTGTGGAATGATTTAAATACAAAGATCAAACATAAAAACTGTGTAAAATTTAAGAATCTGGTCGTCACTTGATATAAATATGAGAAATAATTACTGCTATTATCAGTGTTGTTGTTTCTAATTAAAGCTGCAGTATGTAGCCTTTTTTACATATTTGTTACCATGTTGTGACAATATGTTATGAGACAGATAATCTGTGAAAAGATCAATCTTCTCCCTGTTTAAAAAAAATGCACCAACCAATCAGAGCCAGGAAGAGGACGGACTTAGCGCTGTCAATCAACATCCTGTACCTCTATTTTCTGTACTATTATCTTTTTAAATACTGCATCCTTGAGTCACTAAATCCACTCTTACCGTTATAATAGTTGTCTAATTGTCTATAATTTTGAAACATTGAGTTTCACAAGATCAAGCCTAAGTCAAGGTTGATGTGAGTTTATCTTTCTGACTCAGAGATCCAAACAGGAAAGTCAGTCGAGCGTAATCACTGTCTCTAAAAACAAATGTCTAAATGCATGATTGTGAATAGAAAAGAAATGAGACACGGAATAAAATTATCTGAAGTTAATGGGTTATGGTTTAAAATGTTTACTATTTGGGTTGTAACTTGATATATTGCAAAATACAAACAATTAATTGATTGATGTACGGCTCACTGGCCTATCGGGTAACTCTACCAAACAGGAAATACATCTTCAGTCTGTTTCTAATCGCTCTGTTGTGAACTGCAGCATCTAACATGCTTGCTGATGCTTGTGGAGCGATTTGGTCTTTATTATTGCTTTTAGCATCGTGTTTTCAGATTTTGTGGTTGTTTATTTATATATGTTTCCAATCAGTTTCTGCAATGTTTTCCTCAGAGTCCCTTCAAACTACGGTGAAGCCAAATAAAGGTTCAGATGTCATTGTTTCCAGCCTGCAGCCTGATTGCACCGTCTGCACCATCAGTGGCGTTAACGGCAATCAGACTTCCTGCCAACTTTCTCTTAAATTAGAGCCTGAAGAGGAGGTGAAGCTGCTGTTTCAATGCCCCCAACCTGTCGAACAGTCGTACAATGTGACAATAATCAGTTTAATTGGTAAGTTTAAGCACAATTTAATCCCAGAGTACATTCATTCATGTCTTCTTTTGGTTTTGATTTCAGTCTTAAATTATGTCCTTTTTAATACTTTAAGAAGAGGTTTGTGCAGAAATAGATTTGTGCAAGTTTTTTGATTATTGCTGGATTAAAGCTTACGCAAATAATAAAAAAGAAAACTCAAGACGAAATGTTGTAAAATTTAGTGAACAGGGAGAGGAGATTATAATGTTATCACTGCTTGTGTAAAAGTGAGAAACAATTGTGAACTTTATTAAAAAGCATACCAGGAATGTTTTTATGTTGAGATAAATTCCCCTTTTATTGCAGGATTTTTCTATTCAAATAATCATCAACTAATTTAGTGACTGATTAATCAGTAACTGGATTTTAAAGATTCTTAAAACTTGAACATTTAGAGAAAAACATCATTCAGGACCGTAATTCAATTTAAGATAAAAACACATTTTGTTGTGAATACATTTTAGTCAAAACTCCTCAAGTGGCAAAGGCTAGCTTCACATGGTTCAGATTTATGAAAGGAATGCTACGGTATCAAGAAAATAAGTTTATATTATTACTTTAAAAATGAATTCAATTATTTGCATCTTTTAACGCATTTTTAATATTGTATTAAAATTCTGAAGCAGTTAAATGAAAAATCTACAGAATATGCTACTTCTTCATTTGATTGATCATCAGAACAATCCACTATTAAAATAAGTGTTGCTATTCTAGCACCACAATTTCACAAGTTTACGAGTTTAACCAGTTTCGCCTTTTTCTAAAACGCTTTACAGAATGCACAAAAGATGCTTGCAAACCACCGACGGTAGAAGTTCAGTCGTCCCTCCTGCCGACGTTCTCCAGAACCTTCAGCTGGAAGCTGAAAGCGCCAGAAAAGACCCTCGTGAGTCTGAAGGTCATCGGCAACGGACTGAGTAGGACTCCACACCCCTGCAATGATGGACGGCAGTATTCAGTGCTCACATCTGAAACCAGCAAAGAAGTCCCGACTCAATACTGTGAGGGTGGCAGCGAGACACAACTGGACCTGTCCGATCAGGGCGTTGTGTCCCTGGAAGCCAAACCAAACACACAGGTGGAGTCTGTCCTGTTTCAAGCCTTCGCGGCACCAATGAGTAAGAATTGTTCCAGCTCTTTACCGCAGATATTTCAGTGAAATGTTGATTCAATAGTTGATCTTAGGGGAAAATAGTTTCGGTATACCGTTATGTCCCATTGCCTTATGGACCTATGGATCCCTTGCAGCGTGACGTCACACTTGTAAGATCCTGCCCTCAACTCCCGTCTCCAAAAGCTGCTGGCCGACGATGACTACCATTAGTTCTAGCTATCAAATTATCAATGTAGCATTCTAAATCTTAAATGTACACCTGATATTTAAATGAAAGAGGGAGTCAGTGCCTAGCTATTAATTGTCAACACTAGGACAACTATATAAAAAGTCAAAGAAAAAAAATAACGGTGGAGAGGGAAGCAGATCAGCCATGCTAGCTTGACTATGACAACCACAACATGTAGATGTGATGTGGAATTCTGTGTCTTGGTTCAGTTACAAAAAGAAAAAATAAGTGACCAAGGATGGCATGTTACCAGTGCCAGTATTACCAGTTTGTTTTGAGGATACACATTGAGAACAATAGTAGACCTATCTTATACAAATTGAGATTTTTCAGTGTCAAACTTTAAATAGTGCTATGCTGAACATAATTTGGTTATAGGAAAATGTTATCACTGTACTCTATGATTAGCATGTGGCTAACTTGTTTTGCTGGTGATTACTGTGGCTCTATACTGAGCCGTCAGCATTCACAGGATTTATTTTTCTCACATTAAATAATATCATCGGTGACAGTTTGAAAGAAAAACTGAATATTTCACATAATCAAGATTACAACCACTTACATTTAAAGGCTCTACTGCAGTGCAAAAGCACAAAATCTGTTTTTTGGTCTAGTTTCTAGTGCAAATATCTTTGCAAACTTGAAAGACATTTTTAAAATAAATATTAAAGAATGATTTACTTTAAACAAGCTGCTATATTTTGCTGAAAAGCTGCTTTTAAGTTAGTGTGTCTTATTTCAACTGCACTAAGATATTTTCAATAAAAACTGGACCAATAATACTAGTTAAGATTTTGTGTTTTTACAGTGTAGGGTGAATGAAACAGTAGAAAATGGTCTAAAGCATCCAGAGTCTATTTTATGCAGAGCTTACAAAGTCATTAGCATTAATTAACTACTTTTTATTTGTCTTGAATCTCTTTACAAGAGCGAGTGATGACCGTCACTATTGGTCCTGCTTCCACTGTGGTTCTGACCCGGGATCCTGGGAAGGACGAGTGTGAAGTGTGTGTCAGCGGCGGCGCCAGTCCTGACTGCCACGCAACAGAAAAGACTCTAAAAAGTGCAGAAAAACTTCCTTTGGAGTTCAGATGCCTGAAGCCTGAAGATGTGTTCACCATGAAGATGACAACAAAAATTGGTAAGAATTTACTTCCTCTAAATCACAGGTGTCAAACTTCAGGCCTGCGGGCCAAATCTGGCCCACCGGATCTTCTGATGTGGCCCTCTAGATTCTAGACTAACCACTGTGTTTAAATATAATGTAATCAACCAAATCAATGCAGTTTTTATCTGTTTATTACCAACTTATATCAGTTTCATTATGGGAATTCATGCAAAATCAATAAATCCCCACATTTTTTCACTAACAGTTTATAGGAGAGTTTTTTTAAAAATTGTCAAAAACTTTCTAAACAGCTGAAAGTTTTTTTAAACTTTCTAAACAGCTTTCAAATTTTATATGTAATTATATAACATTTATATGGTTATAAATGTTTTAATTAAAACATTATAATGTTGATTAGAATGTTATAATCAACATCAGAACAAATATTTCCACAAACATTTTGATTTTCATTGAAAAAAAATCACAAAAACAATCGTGAAATTCCGGAGGGACTGAAAAGATGTTCAGCATTATTTAATTTTAATGATTTGTTAATGTTTTAACAGGTTTTGTCAATACATTCTGGCACCACCGGCCCTTTAGGAACTTAATTCGGCCCAAAACAAAAATGAGTTTGACACCTATGCTCTAGTGTAGACCTTTATGAAACTCAGTTTGGCTCAGTTGTGTTGATCTTTTTTCTGTTTTGTCTCAGAATGCACCCAGACTTCCTGCACTCCGGCTTCGGCTGAAGTGGATCTGGATCTCTTCAAGGGCTTCAAAAAAACCCTGACGTGGGACGTTACTGTCCCAGACAGAACTGTTTTAACGTTAGAGTTTCCTGGACTGAAGGAAAAATCTGCATCAGAGGATTGTGAGGATGGTATTCAATACACGGTCACAACCATGAGGACGGACGGACAGATGAGAACCAACAGTTATTGCAAACACGGCCCAGTTTCTCAACTGGACCTGTTTGGAAACATGGCTGTGACGGTGGAAGTGTCCAAAGAAGGAGAACCGGACCAGACCGTGTTCAATACAACAGCAGCACCGAGACGTGAGACAATAATTCAACAACGTTTAATAAAGGAACCTATAACGGAGAACCAGGAGTATTAGGAAATAATAAAATTACTAGAATTTAGTCATGATATTACGAGAATACAGTTAAAATAATGGGAATAAAAAAGAAATAATATGAGATTAAATTCATAATACTCTGAGAATAGTCATAATATTGACTTTATTCTCATAATATTATGACTTTGTTCTGGTATTACTTTGATATTATTCTCATATTGTAATTTTATTTGCATTCTTTGATTTTATTCTCAAATTTTTTCACTTTGTTCTCATAATATTACAACTCATGTTACAACTTTATTCTCAAATAATTCTCCATATTTAACTCTCATAATATTTCAACATTATTCTCGTAATATTGTAATTTCATTCTCGATTATTTTGACTTTATACTTGCTTTAGATAGACGATCTAATACGGTAGTGTATTAATTAACTTTATTAATACCGTTGGTATTTATATTTTCCAGTAATTTTGTCTTTATTCTTGTAATATTATGGATTTATTCTCACATTATGATTTTATTATCCAATTATTTTAACTTTATTCTTGTAAAATTTTTCTTGTATGTCCCTGATCTCTTTCGTAGTAACCAGAAATGTGATTTTGAAAGAAATCAACATTTGCCATTCTACATGTTTTAACTGATTCTTCGTGTCTCTGTTTTTCAGGTGGAAGATCCACGGTTGTGAATTCTGACCCTAACATGAGCCTCATCATCACCAAGGTGGACAAAGAGGCCGACTGTCAGGTCTGCGTAACAGAGGCGTCCAAACAGACCTGCACATCTGAAACGCTGAAAAGGCTGAAAAATCCTCGCAATGCTTCGGTGGAATTTATGTGTCTTCAACCGCAAAAAGTTTACACAGTGGAAATAAACAGAGAAATTGGTATGAAAATGAAAGTCTTCATCAGTAGAGTAGCCACATATGACATATTTTAACTATCTGAGAGCCTGAATTTTGGGTTTTTCTCAAGTTAAAGCAGCAGACGTCATAATGAACCATTGTAATTACGGTTTTGTTTATATTTTAAGTTGTGGAGCCACTCCTGTGTTTGCTGCTGATTATTAAATACGATTTCCAGGACTTTAAGATAATTGCTGCCTGTTTTACCTGTTAAATCTCCTAACATCTCCATTCTCATATGAACATATCCAGTTTATTTACTTCAGGTGTTATATCTTATTTACGCTGCACACTAGGAGACATGGGGAAGAATTGTTCTTTTGCATTTCTTCGCAATAACCTATTTCGTCTACAGTTACAGATGTCCACTGAAAATTTCGAATATCATCAGTAAAAACGTGTGAATATGTTAACTCTTTGGTGCAAAAACTTGATTTATTTACTGCATGTTTGAGTTTGTTTGAGGAACGTTGAGATAGAACTGCACATCTTTATTCCCTTTATTAACCATTCAGACAAGAAGACACAGTAAAAGCAGTCGGATGACGTGATAATAACTCAGAGTTTGAATAGTTTGGATGTTTTTTATTTTGTTTCTTTCCTTCTTACGGAAAGTTTCTGTTTATATTTTGAAAGGGATGAAAGAGATGGGAGGAGATGGCAACATGTTGCGAGGGAAAGCTAAAGTTTTGCGAGGTGACGCATAAGAAACATTTTTCCCTGTGTCCTCTAGGAGGCGCCGTACTTATTCACTCCTGTTCTGAAAAAATAAAACGACAAAATAAATCCATATTCTGTTTCTCTGCTTTGTCGTCAGACTGCACAAAGACTTCCTGCTCAGGCAACGCCGTCCACGTCAACAACGAGTTTTTTTCTAACTACAACCGGACCTTCACCTGGGACATAAAGGTTCAACCCACTCAGACTTTCCACCTGGACTTTCCAGGAAGTGGACTGCGACAGATTCCCAACGAGGGGACGTGTCCAGATGGCCACACGTACTCCGTCATCCTCTACCTCCACCGCGCTTCCCCAGCAACCATCGGCACTTTCTGCAAAGGCGGCACGGTGACATCAATACTGGGTCAGTACAAGGGCCGTGTGATGCTGACGGTGCCGTCGGATGTGACCCTGGACCCTATGGACTTCCAACTTAAAATTGGACCTCAGTCGGAAGGTAAGACTCTTACAAAGTGGCTTGTTTAATAATATTGCATAAAAGCACAGCTGTATTCCAAACAAATATTGTTTTATCAAATAAAATCCAATTTATTTGTATAAAAGTGGATTTTTGCTGTTGCTGTAGCCTTTGGTGCTGGATGTGATGAACTGGGTCAGGTTGTTCTGGAAAATGTAATGATGCTTTCTTGGCTGAGAATTGTAAGTTAAGGCTTTCCGATTTTGGTGAGAAGGTAAATATATGATGTAAATTTAATCATTACACTGAAAATGATTTTTTTGGTGTAGTTTCTAGTCCCTAATAGTTTTTAAACTAAATTGCAAGTAACTTTTGAGCAACATATAGGAGCTTGTTTTAAGTCACTTGACAAACTCCAGGCCCGGGGGCCAAATCTGGCCCGCTGTAGCTTTTTTATGTGGCCCTCTAGACGCCAAATTATGTCAGTAAGTTTTTTTTTTCATAAATTTTTCTGATTTTACTGAGATTTTCTCTCAAAATTGGCCAAAAACATTGAATTTAGGTGATGGCTGCCTCAGCCTTACTTTTAAGTCAAGTTATAGTCTGTGATCGACACGGCAATTAATAAAAAGTCACATTTAATATTATACATTAGTTGTATGTGATGCTGGTCTCATCTACTTCAGTAAACCTCTCTGAACGTTCACAGTTAACAATAGTCACTCCATTGTGACCAACTCGGCAACTTTCTTGCTATATGTAGCAACATTTTAGACAGAAAATTGGTATTGGGTAAAATCTGTTTCGGCTTTTTGAAGATTGGCAATTGGTCAGTGACCTGCAGTCGGTGCACCTCTACTTTAAATGGTTCCCAACTCAACTCTTCATGTTTGTGTCTCCCCAGCGACGGCCATAGTGAAGGTCAATCTGCCCCGCGGCACATCAGACACTGAGTTCATCACACCCAACTATCCCAAAGATTTCCCAGATGAGAAGCAGATCCTGTGGGAGTTCAGCATTCCCGGCATGCACAACTACTCGGTTAAGTTCAGTGAACACTCGGCCCCAGAGTGTCTGAACGAAGGCGACGTGGTGGTGGTGGAGTATCAGCAGGAGGGCAAGAAGCCGACCAGAACGGCTCTGACGGATCCGCAGCCTCAGCACCAGCAGGGCGCGTTTAATTTGACACTGAAGAACTGCAAAACGAACCAAACGCTGCCGGGACTCAGCCTGCGCTACTCGGTCTCTGTGATGAGGAGCGGCCATCCAGGTGAGATCTGGGAGCAGTCTGACGTGGAGCATCATGTTTGGGCGAGTTTAAAATCTAACTTTGTGTTTTTGTGTTTTTGTGTTTTCTTCTAGTTCTCTGTACGGTGGATTTAACCAAAGGGGAAGCAGTGTCAGTGCAGATTGAGAAGGTGGGCGCCGATCCTCTCTGTGAGATGAAAAAGGACTCTGTGGAGAAAAAGACGATAAATGTGGCAAAAGGAGAAACAGCCAAACTCTCCTTCCTCGACTGTCCAAGTGAGGACCTTCGCCTGACTGCAAGCAAACTTATTGGTAAGAAAAATAATCAATTTCTAAAGTTTAGAAAGAGTTTTTTGCTTTTGGTCACCAGTGAATATTAGCAATATAAATAAAATAAATATTTTTTAAAAAGTACTAGTTTCCTCTCAAAAAGGAAATAATGAAGTTTTCTTCCATTCTTTACCTTTCCTCTCTCACCGGTGTTGAAGAAAAAAGGAAATAATGACCTTGTCGTTATTAAAAGTGTATAAATAATTGGAGATTTAAGGATGCGAACAATTTAAGTTATCTGGACGATGAATGTGAGGAAATCAGAGGATTTTGTATTTTCTGGCTGTTTTTATTCAGACAAATTATGTAAAATTGCATGACATTGAGCATGACTATTTGTTTTGGTATTATTTTTTCTCTATTTTTACTTTTTGCAATACTTTTTTCCTATGTTAGAAGTGGAGCTAGCACTTTTTCATCAATATTAAAGAATTATTGATTTAAAACAAGCTGAATTTGTCTTTGCACTAGAAATTAGACCAGAAATACTCGATAAGATTTTGTGTTTTTGCAGTGCGATACTTAAAATTAACAGAAATAAATGCTTTAAGTAGGTAATTTGGTGTGCAGTGATGTGTTTTAAATAAGACTTTACTGTTTAAGAAAGGGGTAGATTAAAACAATGTCCATCTCTCTGGATATTTGCTGGAAGTTTTTCTCTTGAACAGATTTTCTTGCTTCTCTTCGCAGCCTGTGCAAATGCATCGTTGTGCACGCCGACGCCCCTCTCTATTCCCACGTTGGATTCCTGCCTGCCGATGCCCCTCCACAGCTTTTCATGGCTCTTCACTATCCCACATGAAGCCACCCTGGACCTGGTGTCTCCCACAGGGAGCCTCCGGCAGTCTCTGCCTGGGCAGGAGTGCGATCCGTCGTCTGTGCTGCGCGTCGACGAAAACGACGGCTCTTTTATCGGAGACTTCTGCTCCGACGGTGTGATCCAGAAACTCCAAGTTCACTCCAACATCTCCATCACAGTTACGCCGCGAGACCTTAGGAGGTCTGAGGAGCCTTTGCTCAATGTCAGCGTCAGTCCGGAGATCAAAGGTGAAATAATTTATGCTCTAAAGCTGCTGGGAATGAAATGTCTGTAATTATGTTGATCCTACCTTGGAAACATCTTTACAGGAGATGTACATGAATTGTTCTCCTGTTAAAAACCTTAATTTTTGTTTTGTTTTTATGACAGTTCACGTTGAGAAAAATCCAGCTTTCCATTATTTCAATAGAGGAAATAAACTACCGTGGCATATTAAGACTGGAAAAGAAGGAGGAATAAATTTCTGCCAAAAAAAGCTCAAATTTTGAGATTAATCTCTGAAATTTTCTGGAATAACATTTGGGAATTTGTGAGCTTGAAAGACAAAAATATGCTAGAAATTTAATCTCTTGAAAGAATTTGGAAATGTTTGAGTTTGGAAAGTGGAAAATGGTCAACTTTAAAAGTCAGAAAATTGATAAAAGTCAAATTTTTAGCTTTCCAAATTTGTAAAAGTCCTATTTTTTTTCTAGGAAATGTCATTTGGAAAAAGGAAAATTGCCATTTTATGACCATCAGAATTTTATAAAAAATTAATTTTTGTCTTTCCAACTTCCAATTTTTTATTTAATTTTCAAAAACATAAAAGTTAAATGTTCAGCTTTCCAAACTTAGAAAATATTTTTTTTCTATGAAGTTGTTGCAAATTTTTGACTTTGCTTTGGAGTTGAGAATTCTTTTTTCTGAAATCAAAGTTTCTGAGCTTTCTGTTTTTTTATGTCATTTTTTTCTATCCACAACGGTCCTAATGCATTGTCATAATAAACCTACTTAAGGAGGAATTTAAAAAAAACTAAATTAGTGTTAGGTCAATTGTTGGTACCATTTCAACCATACGGAACAACATAAAAGTACTTAGACAATATTAAAAAGATAACGAGTACTCATTTTTTACACTAACACATGATGTTGAGCTGTCTTTACAACTTGCATGAATTAGTTGAAGCTGCAGGAATGTAGATTGTTTGGAGTCACTATCATTTGCTGTTTTTCAACACCTGAACGAAACAAATTACAACTTGTTTGCTGGCTGCTTCTCGTGTTCTGGCCAAACCAAAACGGGATGGAAGATGTGGTTTTAATTCATAAGCAAAACAGCCATAATTATTTCCAGTTCTTCTTACGTTCATATCTAAGAAATAAATTATAAAATGGTGATTTTATCTTTAAATTCTCTTTTTGATTTATTTTTTATTTCTTGGCAGTTTGAATCTTATTAGTAATGAAATAAAGGGATTTGTAATTTAGGAAAATATATGTTAGAATCTGTAAAAACATAGTTTTTATTTTTCCGTTCCCTCCAACATCCACACGGGGGCAGTATTGTCTGTTGTTTTTTTTTTTTAAGAGAAGCTCATTCTGCATGATTTCCATTTCTTCTTCAGAAGACATCATCTACAGGATCAGCCCTAATTTGATGTCTCCCACCATACTGGCCACCCCAAACTGGCCTAATGGAATGAAGGCCCATTCCTCTGTCTCCTGGATCGTGGACCTTCCCTGGATGACCCACGCGCTCGTCAAGGTTGACATCAGTGGACTCGAATGCAAACACGGCCACGCCAGGATCAATATGAAGCACCAGGAAGAAGGGAACGATCTCCTGGACATCGGCGAGAGCGAAAAGACGAGTACAACAAACATGACGGCCCGTCAGAGCTTCTACCTGAACTTGACCAACTGCCAGCCAGAGGGGAGCGACCAGTTTAATGTCAAAGCCACGATTAATCTTGAGAGAAAGACCAGTAAGGAATAATTCTGGTGATTGGTGTCAGACAGTTCAAAAACACATTCAATATGTTTTTGTTTTTTCTCCACAGATTTGTTACCCATCCTTCTTGGTTTAGTCGGGGCTGTCCTGCTTCTGCTCCTGATACTGACTGTTGTATGTATAGTTGTAAGGTAAGCAGCATGTCTTTGTCTGGTGAGACATTTTTATTAGTGTTTGAAGGGGGAGTAAAATTCAGGAACTTTGCTTTTGGCTTTTGATCAATAACTTCAACTCTTCTGCTTGCTTATGCCAATCCTGGTGTCAATATACACATGAATACGGTGAATGCAAATTAGAACATCATCAGCATTCTTGTTGGTTGTGCAGGAGGCTCTACTTCGGCTTTTCAAAGATGAATGGTTGCATAATTGTGCAGTCATTTTAAACTGTAACTGTAAGCGTTGAGTTGGGGTTTTTAAAGTGACAGGATGCTCTAAAGCAGCTCGATCTGAAAGGAGGTTGAACAAGGCAGAACTAAAATCTCATTTTCTAAGAATGATTTCATGCAAAAGAGGTAATAAATGTGTTTTGGATGGCCCATAGACGTATCCGAACCTTGTTCAGGGAAGCATAATAAATCATCTGTAAAGATGATAGTGTTATATTTCATTTTTCTCTTCATCTTTTTCTGCAGGAAAAAGAAATCAAAAATGGCCAGCCAAGCCTCCATCTACATGGGGAAGGGAAACATCTTCCGTCCAAACGACAGGCACTTTGTCAAAACCCGGGCTGACAACGACTCCCACGTCTACGACTACATAGACGACTCCATGGTCTACGGCCACCTGCTCACCGACAGCGAGATTACCTCAAACGGGGTGCAGGTGGACTCCTATCAGACCTTCACAGGCCCCTCTGACAGGACGCTGCCGGTTATCAAGGAACCCGACCCAGAGCCGGAGAAGGGGCAGTACCAGTCCTTCCTGAGCCCTTCTGACACTTTCATGCCGCCCCGTCCGCGCACTCCCATCGAGCGGCAGGACAGCCTGGGCTTCCAGGACCGCCGGATGCTGGATAACGAACTCTACACGTTCAAAAGCACCGGAGACATGAACACGATCCGTCTGTCCGGGGTCGATATGGAGCCGCAGCCGCCAATAATGGAGGAGAGCTTGTAGCGTGAAAGGACTCCATGTTAGGAATCTTAATGACCTTTGACCTATCTGAAGGGCTCTTAGGTTTGAAGAGCCTCGTTTCTGCGGGAGTAGTTTTGGGAATCGGACGCACTCTTTCTCTGAGTTGAGCAAGACGGTTAAAGCTGCGGACTTGGAAGCTAAAACCTAAAATCTGTGACTTCTTGGACTGTTTTTATTTTGTGATTATTTTGAAGAAAAACAGCAAAAATTATTTCAGGAACTTTTTAAATATTTTTCTACTTATTTTAGTTTTGCCTCTGACTTCTTTTATTTTTACATAGTGTGAATTTTAAAAAATAAGGGAGACAAACAAATGTACCATTACTGAGGTGATCCAAAATTAAAATAAAAACTATAGAATACTTAGAAGAATGTCAGAACATTACTTTATTACAATATTATGTATTTTGCAGGAATATCTCTCCATACTTTTTGTTGCCCCTTTTGAGGCACAATTTCTAGTTTTAATAAAACTACTTAATTTTTATTTTTTGGGTCTGTTTTTTATTTCAGATTATTAAAACCACTCATCAGTTTGATGTTTTGTTCTTTTTTTGTTGTTGTAAGAACTAGGGATGTTTGAGCTTCAGTGCCAATAAATTTGTAATATATTGAAACACCTCAACCTGACGCCATGGTTTGTTTGTTTTTTAAATAAAATACAGAAAATACTGTATTTTCTGCATTGGACTATAAGGTGCAGTGTTAATGAATGGTCTCTTTGAAGAAATAGTGGATATCCTGTCTCTCCTCACATTATATAAATATACTTTATCAACTGAACTTATGAGAACAGATTTTTATTGCTCATTTAATTTAACCTCCAGTTCCTAAACTGATGACATGTTGATTGTTTCACCAAGTAAACAAAATCAGAGGACAAACTTAGCATCACATGCTAAGGGTTTCTCCCACTGACTAAAACAGTCATTTGGTAATGAGTCCTCTTCATTCTGGAGTGAATTCAGGAGTTTGGAGTCATGGAAAAATGCAAGGACGAACAGACGCCAGGGAAAACTACTGGGAAAAGAAAAAACAACTGAAGAAGCCAGATTCTTATGTCTGAACCTGCAGCCTTTCTTTCCACGTCAGGTTTTCATCTGCCAGTTTATTTCCACCTTAGCGATCTTGCATAACAAACGCAGAAATTGATATTCAGAGTTTATTGAAAGAATAAATCACACAAGATATTACAGAAGAACACAGAATTAGTACATAAACGGTCAATTTGCTTTCAAAAAATTGCAATTTTGCTCAATTTTTGTCTTTTCATTTAAATGCAGTAATGTTTAGACCAGCGGTTCTCAGACAATTGATTCAGTAAATTAAAAAAAACAAAACGTGATGCTTAACCAATATTTTAATTCCAGGAAAGATGCCAGCACCTTTATTCATATTTTGCTCAATTAGTATTAAATAAACCATCTTAACTGCATTTAACTGTTTTTTGTTTTTTTTAATAGAATGAATTGTATTCCTCCTGGTTTCACTGCAACCACAAGGAACGCTGCAAATGACATACCAGCACATCACTTTTGTCAAAAATAAAACCCACTGTGACCACCACATCTCATTGGTCAGGATGCAGCTGAAAATCACTGGTTTAAACTGGTCTTTAGAGTAGAAGGCAGCAGGGAAAGTGCAAACACAAAGCAGCTAAAACAAAGTTCAGGGCCCATGTTAAGATAAACAGGGTCACACCAGAGCAGGTAAAAGTACTCACAGTCTACTCAAGTAGAAGCACAGATACTTGTACGAAAGAATACTGTATTAAAAGTAAAGGCTGGACTGTTTTACTCACGTAAAAGTAAAAAGGTAGAACTTTTAGTCGTACAAAATATGTTACAACATGCTCTGTGTTGGTATAAAGATAAAAATACTGATTCGGTCTAGTTTTTCTAAAAACAAAATCTTAATTTGGGTGATTTAAATGCACAAAGCAGTGGATTTGTAACTAATCGTTCGAGTCAACAACATTGAAGGATGTTTAAAATATGGCTGCAGACGGAGATTGCTTTGCGTCTGCAAATGTATTTCTCTATTGTTCATGATGTATTTCAGGTTAAAGCACTGGTGTCCAAACTTTTTACCTAAAGTCAAAAACTGTCAAACTGAAAGCAATTTCAGTTGCTTGCTTTTCTACAGAAGCCTATGTACTGTTTTTGAAAGGCAGTGAATATTTCACGGCATCTTTGAGCTGCCAAGAGCTGCACAAAATCATGGCAAGGGCCACAATTTGGAAACTCCTGGATTAAAGTCTCCATCCATGTTTTTCTCTTGGGTTCTTCTGCTTTACTTTCTTTGTATCCAGCTGATTAGTGAAATATTGACGTTTTAACACTTTTTGTGCCAACGGTGGATTTCTTTTTCATCCTATGTGAAAATATAAAGAGCAGAAAGTACAGATATTTCTCTTGAAATGTAAGGAGTAGAAGTAAGATAAGTACTCAAGTATCTGAAAATCTACGTTAGTAAAGTAACTGAGTACTTTTACTTTTTTACTTTACACCTCTGGCTCAAACTATGTTGAACTCGCAGACTGAGGGCTTTTCGTCGCGGCAGTTCTCATCGAGCCACTTCCCATCTGTCGACAACATGGCGGCGCAGTTCTGCGACTTGCCGCCATCCGGCTGAGGAGCCCTGAAGTTGGACGTGTCCCAGTTTTTGTACGTGACGGTGGAGCCGGTTTGGTCCATCCACTGGCCCTCGGTGGTCATGTCGTTGACGCCGAGCCAGACCTCACCGTTCGAGCCGACGGTCTGACGAATGTAGTCCCGGAGCCGGTTGTTCTCCTCGGCGGAGGCGGGAGTAGCCAGGACGCCGCCCAGGGAGTTACAGTCCTCACTGGCAGTGTGGTAGCGCTTCTTCAGGGGGTCGGCCATGAAACATTTCCCATGGATCTTTTCACCTTTTAAACAAACTGCGACAGAAGATAAAATCAGATATTTAGATAATGAGCTTTGCTTTTATTGTCTTCTTTTGCCAACACAGTGAAAAACTATACTGATATTGAATACACAATATAACCATGTATTAGTTGTTTAACATTTGCAACTAAAATAAACCTGACATACAAAATCATCAGCTTTAAATCTAAACTAACTTATTTCCTGGTTCTTGTCGGTAGCTACAGAAACCATTTTTTGGAGGCATTTTTCCCAATGTTTTTCTAGAAATAATAGTTAATTTCCAGTTTTCTAGCAGTAACAATTAAATTTCTCAGTTATTCTCGAGAAATCAAGATTTTGTTTTCTCAAGGTGAAGGAGACGATTGGAGTGTTTTAAACTTGATTTCATCCTTAAATCAAAGCCACAACTACTTACATAGAGATTGACTCTTTAGCTCGAGAAAACCATCGAGAAAAAGTTTATATGGGAATTTTGACTCTTGGCTTCTATAAATATCAACCAACCAACCCAAGACCAATCAATAAATCAATCAAGTTTATTAGCATAGCACGATTCAGCAACAAGGTTGTTCAAATTGCTTTACATCATAAAAACATTTTTAAAAAATCAGCAATTCATTAATTGATCATGTGTGCAGTGTGTTATCACGTCTCAGTGCAATACTCAACTCCACCAACAGATGTCAGTAATACAACACAATAAAAATTATATCCTGAGTACTTACAAAGAAAATGTGCACATATATGTTATATGACATTTCCTCTGTAAAGCCTTAAGCCCCACAGTCGGGGCTTAAAAGTGCTTAATGACATTTTAGAAGGCGCAAAATAAATAAGGGCTTTTTTCCCCAGTTCTGTGTAAAAGGGACAAAAAGCAAGAAATAATTTGAATGCAGAAAGTAAGAATCAGAACTTCGTAGATGTACAAGGGTAACAACTCGGTTATGATCTTATAAATAAAAACGTAAAAATGTTTATCCCAATGATACACAATATTTTTTTAAATTCTGTCTATCATTAGGTACATTTTGTGTCCCTAAACTTGCTCAAACTTAGAAAGCAACAGGACATCCTTCGTGTTCAGAGCAACAGGCGACATGTGTGAACCAGGTGTCGAAGGTTTCAGGCTGATTCTTATATTTAGGATATTTTTAGACCTTATGGCTCCAGACTGATTACACTGCATGCTCTGAATGACAATCGACCTCAGACAAAGGTCATGATACAAAGCCTGAATCTGTACCCATACTTCATGTTTAAACCTTAAGACAAATTTTAAAGGGTAACGAAAAGTTGTTTTAAATATTATTTCAGATTTTCCACTTACTTTTAGCTGTTTTTTTTATTAACGTTTAAGCAGTACTTTATTGTGAGAACGTTCAAATCTCTGCAGTGTGAAGTCAGTCAAATATTTTATAGACTTCTAAAGGCATTGGAACCGGTTGTCCTGATATGATCCATTTAATTCAAATTCAAACATACTTTACTGACCCCAAAGGGACGTTAAATTTATGTTGGATTTAAAAAAATATGGCCTTTTCATTTAAATGGCAGAATTTTACATTTTCCCTTGAAAGAACTGGTATAGAATATTGAACTCTTATTTAGAAAATCAGTAAAAAGGATTTGCACAGTTATTTCTACTTCAATACTACAATATACTTAAATGCTAGTTATGGTGCGTATGTTCAATTTGAATAATAATGGGAAACAACACAGTGCAAGATTCAATTGTTTGTGGATGTAAAACTTACGTAAATCTCAAATATTGTTTGCGATAAAAAAATAAAAAAAAATCAGAAGCTTCTTGATTTGAAACACCTTCCATAAGGAAATATGTCTGATCATCTGGTCTAGTTTGAGCTCACCTGTTTGCAGAGCTTGTTTTTCCTTCAGCAGGTTGAGATCCTGAATGATTTCATCAATCTGTTTCTGCAGCGCCACCACAGCAGCATCCCGCAACGTATCTGATAGAAAACAAAACACAATCTGTGCTAAATTTCTGTACAACAAAAATGATACATCAGTATACTGCAAAACTATACAACCTTACAAAAAGTAAATTATTCCTTGATAATGATAAAAAAATACTAATTTCATTGGTAAATTATTTTATTTATAACATGGGGAAATTGTCTTGTTATAAGTAAATTTATCTATACTTTTTCATCCATATTAAGAAATTATTCACTTAAAACAAGCCTCTATATCTTGCTGATAAGTTACTTTAAGTTAGTTTTGTATTTGCACTAGAAACTAGATAATAATACTTGGTGAGACTTGGTGTCTTTAATGAGGTTAGGGTGAGGTTATCCATTTACCTTTCTTCACCGGTTTCTTCTTGATTGCAGTCTGCTGCTGCAGTGAGCAGTGGATGAGCAGCAAGACGCCCAGCAGAACAGAAAATCCTCTGAACTCCATCCTGGAAACTGTTGAATGTGGCGCCGACGTGGACATTCACACATTTATCCGTCTCCCTCACACCCTCCCATTTATCCCTCCTTACAAAAGGAAAAGTACTGGGAGAGTCGTTTGTGGGGAACGACAGTCCAACCTCAAGAGCCTGGAGGGATGGCGTGACGAGGCGTCCCATCTGGCTGCAGCCTCCTCACGTGGAGCCAGCGTGCTGAGCAGAGCCAGGCCCGTGAAGCAGGTGCAGACAAGGCGGGACGGTGCAGGCCAGCCGTTACATAATCCTTCAGATGCTGTCATTAAGGGCGATGGAGAAGAAATAAACATATTCTTCTACTGCATAAGTCAGTGGTGTCCAAACGTTTTGCCATTAGTGCCAAAATTGAGTTGAGAAAACTTGAGGGTTAAATTTTTTTAAATTAAAACTGAAAGGTTTTTATTTTTGAAGACATTTGCTGTTTTTATGTCTTCAATATTATACTAAATAGACAAAATTTTAATAAAGATATAAAGGGCATTAAAAAAAAATCTACTACGAAAGCAAAGCAGTCTAATTTTTACAGGAATCTGTGAATCATTGTTGATTCCAAACTTTTTTAAGGGTTTATCTAAGTTAAACCCAAAAAAATAATCCTCATTTTTTTAAATTTTATTTTATTTTGGCAACAAAGTTTGTGCGGCGTTTGCTCATTTCAACAAAGTGTAATAAAAATAAATAAATAAAATAAAAACATTGGATCTAAATAAACAAACGTAAAAAGATTTTATATGTCTGGAAAAATCCTTAAATTATGTAAAAATTACATTTTGTTCCATTCTTGAATTGTGATCCGAGGAACCAAACAAAATCATCCAGAGGGCCGCAAACGGCCCGGGCCGCACTTTGGACCGCCGTGGCTTATTGAGGCGCCATGACGGATGTCGGAAGTGAGGGGCGGGAGTGTTGAACTGAGCGACGGAAATTGTTTTCCCAAGTTGTTTTTACCAGTTTATTCGTGGCTTCTGTTTGTTCCAGTCGAGCTAATTTGTCTGTGAATGTTAGGCACCTGTTTGGGGCTCATAGGCCTAACTCAAACCCTACTTACGAAATATGAAACAGCTAGCTTAGAATCCGACCCAAACCTCCTTCTTCCTCCTGATTAAATTGCCTGAATTCACACCACACGATTTATGTCACTATGCCATAAACAGCGTTTCCTCTTACAGCATTAAAAACGTACAAAAGACGAGATGCTAACAAGTTTTTATTTCTGCCATACATGCTAGGCTACATGACTGTGCGGCACTGTCCATGGTTATCGACGTTTACTAATGGTTAGACACGTACCTTCTTCATATTTGATAGCTTTCTAATCACACTTACTTGTAAAGTAAATGAACGTTAATCTTCTTACCTTGTAAAAAGTGTTCGCTATAGAGCCGCGATTCCACCGTGTCGTCATATGACTAACGGCTGCTTTCCATCGCCGCCATCTTTCCTCACTAAAAGTTATAGCCTACAGTAAAATGACAAGTTAGGTTTGCATCCTGGTCTGATTGTATAGCCGACCACGCAGCACCCCATAAGCATTTTTACAACAAAAATAAACAAAATAAAAGCTACAGATGTCTATTTTAGACTAGCTTTACATTAGCGCATTGGTTATTGGACGTCCGTCATGGCGGAGTTATGAAGAGAATTACGTCACGTGCAAAAGGTCAGTAGGCTAAAAACAAAAGCTGGTTTTGGTTAATCTTGCAAAAACATATTCTGGGAAAAAACTACAACCTTACACTGCAAATGCAAAATTGTATTTAATTGATAACAGTAAGCTGACTTAAATCATCAAATTCCTATTAACGCTCACTTTTAGTCAGTTACTTGGAATTTGTGGTTGAAAAGTCTCCAACTCCAGCTCCTCATTATGAAAAAGTACATGTGCTTTTTTCTGTGTTGGAAAGTACTTTGACTCATTACTGCATGCATCCAAGCACAAATGCTTTACTTTAGTTTCTTTGTTTTTCTGGAGCCGGAATTACGTATTTTTAGCATATATTTTGTATTTCAAACACTTGATGTAATTAGTAATTCTGTGAAGTTGCAAAGGGAAAGCACAACCCACATATGGAGGCTTTCCTTTTAAGTGTATGTGAATGAACAGGTATTATCTTTATTTAACCGATGTTACGTTAATAAGATATGTCTGAGTTACGTGTACGTAAATATATTTGATTAAAAATCTAATAGTTCAAGTTAATAAACTTAAATGTGTAACCTGAGTTACCGGGTTGTTTGTTAAAAAAAATATTACCCTGTTTGTCAGTCTGTTTTCTTCAAACAGATTTTAAGCAAAAATTGGAATAAATTGTGTTTTTGTTGCAGGTTGTTGACAGCAAAGTGCAGAATGCTGAATGTTTTTTAAGATGCCAGAATGAATCACAAGTTAACTGACAAAGTAGTGTGTATGGTTTGTTTTGAGCCTTTCTCCTCTCAGCCTCTGAACACGCCCTGCAGCAGCCTGAGGGAAGCGTGGAAAGAATCCAGAGTCCCGTCTGGATGTTGTGTAAAACTTCACAGTCCCTGCTGACACGTGGCAAAAACACAGGACCAGGCAGAGAAGCTGGAACTGGAGCTTTAACTTCACCTCTGACCTACACAGATGATTTCACATCTGGAATATTTGTCAAATGTCTGTAGTAGGAAACAAACATTTTAGGACTTGATTAAAAACTTGCTTTGTTCTTTGTCATTTCTGTCCAGTAAAACTATTAATCTAAAAAATCAATAGACAAGACTATATAAAGATATAATCCATATTTGTATGGTATTAAAAGGATCAGGAACTTTTGTTTTTCCACTGAAAGCTCTGGTTTGCTCAGTCATGTCATGTGGCTGAAATTTTATGGATGATGCTCTGATGTCCCATTCTCCTGAAGGCAGCACAGAGCTGCAGCACCAGAAACTGTCAGAAACACTGAAGAGCAGAAGAGTTATGATGATATGGTTGCAGTTCTGTCCATGTTTTAATGTTGCATAGCTGTCGTTTTAAAAATAGATCAACGATTAAACTGGCATTGTTGTACAACTTTTATCTGGTCATTTTGTTCAAGATTTAGCAACTGACATCAGAAAATTGCACAGAACAAGAATATTTTTTCCACTCTGATTGGTCATGGACACCTCTAAAAAGAATTTCTATTCCCATGGCTTTTTATTCTCTGGGAAATTAGTTTTCATGATAAATACAAAAAGAAGCAGAAAAATCAAAACATCAACAATGGTAATATTGTTGATGTTAATATTATTAATAATATTAGTAATATTATTAATAAAATAATAATATTATTAATAAAATAATATTCAGTGCAAAGTGGGACCTGGATAATGGACAGGGGGGAGCTGGTCCAAAAAAGGTAGAGAAACAATGACTTAAAGGTTAGATCACATTAAAAAGAGGAAGGATGATTTATGAAACCTGGTTAAACTAAAATATGATTCAACAGCTAATATTAAATACATAATGAAAACATTGTGACACAGCAGCTGCATTAAAAATGAATACACTTTGGATGCTGAACAGGCCTTTTAAACATCAGTGTCGTCAAAATGAAACTGAAACTGGAGCTTTGATTTGCAAAACAATCAGTGCGATGTGGGTTTCATACACAATAAATATGTAATAATAATAATAATAATAATAATAATAATAATAATAATGATAATAATACAGTTTGACTTTGATGTCTGATATAAATAAGTTTTTTTATATATATATCCAGGTTTTCCCCTAACTCTCTCCCTCCTCACAGCCTTTACAGGAAATGGCAGCTCTGACAGAGAAGCTGAAGAGTTTATCTAAAATGACTTCATGTATCACTGCCTGGTTCTGTTCATTATTATATATGGTATATTCTGTTCTGGAGTTTTGTCTCTCTTCATCTTAGATAATTATGTAAATACTCCAGATTGAAAGAAATTTAGGAATTTTTCTCTTTTCAGTTTGACATTATTTTCGTTTCTAATAATTTAGGCCCTTTATGTTAGTTCTGAAATACCTATTTCTTTTGCTTAATACCAGTTCATTCAAACTTAAATATATGATCTGAACCTGACCCAAAATTATTGCTTCTGGTGAGTTTAATACGCCACTGAATGAGGAAAAGGCCTGATATAAAATTGTGTTAATCTATTATAGTCTAAATAAAGCAAATAGCAGCTTAACCTGCTGAGGACAGAAAGGTGCAGATGTTCATTACTGGAACCAGTGCAGCTCACTGTACAATAATGTGCAGAGCTCCAACCTGCTCTGCTCCCATCAGTCACACATCCCAGGAGATTTACTGCTGACTCACCCTGCAGTTACAAGAGACAAAATGGAGCTGGAAGATGCTGAACACAATCTAAAAATGAGAGAAGTTTCACTGATTACTCAAATTCTGGTCTAAAAACAAAAGCAGTGATCATTTAATTAAATTAATATGTCAGGTTTATGAGCTCATTTATCAGGTACATTTGTTCCTGGGTTTATTTTAGGTGCTTTTTTCTGGGAATCTTCCTCTCTGCTCCTTGTTTTCTCAATTTGTGGATAATGTGTGTAGTCGCTGTTTTCTGGAGTCCCAAACACTGAGAGAAAAATTTGTAACTGTTTATAAAATGTTCTTTAAAAATGGATATAAGAAGCACATTTTCTGTGATAATATTCTAATCATGCATTTGATAACAGAGAAAAAAATAGATACATTAAGAGATATCAAAAATCAGAAATGATTACCAGTAATAATGAAGTTTCATATGCAAGCATCTTATATGAAGCATATAAGCAGCAATAAATATAATATGTTCTAGGAGACATTTTCTGAAAGCTTAAAAAGTGGTAAATAAAATACTTTAAAATAAAATGTAAACATTTTCATGCATTGTTTCCAAACAGGAAGTGTATTGATAGACTGATTGGATCTGAAACAGCCTGAAGTGAAGACCAGCCTGCAGTCTTCAAGATCTCCAACAGTGTTAAAGTCTGGCAGCTTCATATTATAGACAGTTAAACTCAAAATGCTCAGTAAAGTCAATAGTGATCCAAATGGGTCTAAGCACCATGTTCTTAGAAAACCTCACCAGAACCGTCCAACATCCAGGTTCTGGTTGAGTTTAATGTCAAGATGTGGTGAAGGAGTTTTACTCTGACTGGAGATCGACTGCATTTATTAACACAATGAAAGAAACAGAATCTAGTTTATTGGTTTCTGCTCTCCATGTTTTATACTTAAAAGCTTTTGTCAAGAAACTTTCAGTAGAGATTTGCTGTTTTTTTCCTGCAGTCATCATGTTTATAAGAGCTGCAAGTTTAAAACTTTCACTACTTATTTATTACTTTAAAAACTACATGTTCTCCAGCTCTAGCAAGATAATAGAGAGCATTATTTTGCTCAGCCTCGTCTCTGGCCTTAGATTCATCCACAGACTGCAGCCTGGATTTGTTTATACATTCTCTCCATCTCTTCATCATACTTTATTTTCATTTTTCTCTCCAGTTCTTATTTCTCTTTATGTATTTTCTCTTCTTTTTCCTTCAGTATGTGTTGTTTCTCCACTTGAGAATCACTGTCTTAAAGGTTAGATCAGTATAAAAAGGGGAAGGTTGGTCTATGAAACCTGGTTAAACTAAAAATATGATTCAACAGCTAATATTAAATACATAATGAAAACATTTGGAGCATTTTCCTTTAATGACACCGTATTTATTGACAAATGTAATGACTAAAATTTACATGCGAAAAATTTTATCATCTTACATTTAGCATCTAAACATCAGGAGAAATATTTTTAAAACAGTGTGACATGCAAAGATAACAGCTGAATTACATCATTGGAGCTTTAACTCAATTATTAAGACAATCAGGAAAACATGCTTATTAGTTCTGCTTTATCCTCTGGAGCAGCTGCTTGGTGACAACATCTAACATCATATTATTTTATTTGCTTGGTATCAACTCTGTTAATTTTCTTATGAGCTTCACACACGGGATAAGATCCAAAACTTCTCCCAGAATATAGAGAGGACTATTTTGTTCAGCTTCATTTCTTGCACAGGATTCATGCATGGCCTCCAGGTCAGATTTTTGCTTTTGAATTTCTCTTTCCTGCTCTTCCCTCAGTTGCTTTGCCTTGGTTTCCATCTCCTCCATCTCACCCTTGAATTCATCCTTCATTTCTTGCATCTTTTTCTCATATTTCTCTTGTATTTCCCTCTCCTGTTCTTCTCTCTCTTTACGCATTTCCTCTTCTTTCTCCTTCAGGATGCGTTGTTTCTCCTCTTCGAGTATCCTCTCAGCCTCTTGGAACATCTCATTGGTGTAGTGACTTCCTCCATTCCTATCAACAATGGTTCTGATCTTCTTCAGCAGCTCAGTGACTTGAGGTTTCTTATCTTTCAGCTTGTTGTTGAAGACATGATACTGGTTATTACATCTGGACACCAGATCCTGGAGTTCTGGACTTTCAGACAAATAATCTTCAATGGTGGTGTCCTCTTCAAGATTGTCTCCACATGTAAACAGAACCATGCTGTATCTGTCTGCAGCCTCTCCAAAGATTTCTTGAATCTTTTGCACTGTTTGTTTTTCTTCTTCTGTGAATCTGTTGATTGCAACGACCACCAGGAAGATGTGGGGTCCAGGAGAAGCGTAACAGATGCACTGACCCAGATCTTTGGCTGTTTTATCTTCATCAAATCTGGTGTCAAACAGACCTGGAGTATCAATGACTACAACCCGCTGTCCATCCAGATTACTGGAGACTTTAGAGCAATCAATGGTCATGGATTTGGCGCTGCATTTGGATTCAAAGCACCGTCGACCCAGAATGGTGTTTCCAGTAGCGCTCTTCCCAATCCCAGTCTTCCCCACCATCACGATTCTCAGGTCTTTGTTGTCTGTTCCTGTAAAGAAGAAAGTTTAAATTAGGATTAGAATCATCATGTGCTCAGAGCTTCAGCCTCTGTGAATCTGGGAGAAAATAAATGATCCATCTGAATCAGTGACATGGAGATAATCATACATTTGAAACCAAACATTTCAAAATACTGTATTATTATGTTGGTGTTAAGATTCTTCACACTGACACTGTTAGGACACAAGTAAAAACTAAAATATTTATTGTAGAAAGTGATTGCTTGTCTGTGAAGGCTGGATGCATCAATCGTTATTAATTTAGATTATCAGAGGAATCAGTTTTTTTTCTCAGATTTCTCTCACTTTTGTTGTTTTTTCTGTTGTTAAAAAATTGCTCCATATGTCAAATCCATGAACCTGCCACTCTGCACATCACCACGATGCACAACATTGGTTGAGTTCATGTGATCAGAACAGGCGTTCTGACTATCAGTGCTACCATCAATCCGTCCTACCTGGTGGTGATGCTACGCGCACATCGATGCTACGTCACATACTGCTTACTAAGCAGGTTTCTTATCCTTACATCCTATTTGTGAGAAGTTTGGTTTCATCTGTTTTATTTCATCAAAGATTACAGTAACCTTTATTTCATTTATTTTATATCTGGCTTTCATTAACTTCATGTTTTGAGTTCACATGACAGGCAGCTTGTAGACAAATTTATAAATGTCTTTATTTTGCCGACTGCATTGTTGTTACTATACTGTCTGCTGAAAACATACATATGCATACAATATTCTAATATATTATCAAGATATTAGGTCATTTCACGTTTACAGTGACCTGCACAGTTTGGTGGAGACATTTTGGCTGCAATTCATTTGATAAAAACTGCCATACAATTTATCAATGTGCCAAAAAAGGATCAGTATTTGTAGATGTCTGTGTTTAATTTCAGTATGAAACTTGTTTCCTGTCTGATAATGTTTCAATCTAACAAACACTTATGGTTATATTACAGCAGTATCACACTGACTGTGTGTTACCTCTGAATTTTAAATATCTTTAAAAAGGTAGGATATTCTGATTCAGGGTCTTAATGCACCAATGTGGTCTAGCCACACATTAACAGGAAGAATATTCTGATTAAATAATTTTAGAGCATCACATAGAGGGAGAATTTTCTGTCTAGGGAATTTATCAGATAAACATTCAAAACATGAAGAATATTCTGATGAAGGGTTTTGGTGCATCAACAGCTTTATGTACTTCCTAACTGTATTACTGTACAGTAATTGTACTTCATTACATCCCACCACTGGTCTTAACTACATCAAATAATTTCTGGGTTTGACTTTGCTGTCCTTAAATCTGACATTTAAGATACATTTTAGTGGCTTAGATTTGTTAGGTTTGTTTAATTAATCCAAGGAAACAAACTATTTTAATATTTCAGTTACTTAAGTTATGTCAACTGGTTCCACTTCAGCAGATTATTTAACTTGAATTTGAGAATATTAAATTCAGCCAACAAAGTCCAAGAACCTTATTAGAACTCAATCATGTTGAATTATGAATTTACTGTAAATTTACTGTACGTAAATTCTTATCAGTTATATTAGAGATAACTTCAGCATTAAGCCAAATGAGCAAAAGTCTAACGTATTGGATTTACTGAACTGAATTTATTTGTCTTAAATTATTATGCAGAAAGTAAGTGTGTGAAAGTCATTTAGATTTATTTATCCAGGTTTAATAAAACCAGTTGACATAACCTGGTTAAGTAAATTCAACATTTCATTTCTTAGAGTGTATCTACATGTTTTTGTTTTTTTTATATTTTATACATCGTAACAAACTCAATATATAGAGAATCTGACTTACCATAGGTGGGAACTTTACCTGTGCTGTCCATGGTCAGAGAGATCAGTGTGACACTGATCTCTCTGACCATGGAGAGAGATCAGTGAAGAAGTGAAGAAGTGAATACACTTTGGGTGCTGAACCGGCCTTTTAAACGTCGGTGTCGTCAAAATGGAACTGAAACTGGTGCTTTGATTGGATCTTTCTGTCCAATCAAAGCTATCTGAATAATTTTAAAGCTGTTCAGTTTAATTTTAGACAACAGGCCAAAGGAGGCTATCATCTGGAAAATAATGGCTGAAATTAAAATTGAATGTAAAAGTGAAATAATAATAATAATAATACAAAAAAAAAAAAAAAAATCTGTGATTTCTGCTTTAACAGGAATCTCAAACAAACTACCGCTACCTTCAGTAGCGCCCTCTAGAGGGGAATGAGCGCCAGAAGGGTTAGTTTCACAAGATTTTTAGTGCTTTTCATGCTTTACTTGGTGACATAATCTTTAAATGAAACAGCAACTAGATGGATAAAACAATCAGTGCGATGTGGGTTTCATACACTATAAATATGTAATAATAATAATAATAATAATAATAATAATAATAATAATAATAATAATAATAATAATAATAATAATAATAATAATACTGTTTGACTTTGAAGTCTGGATATAAATAAGTTTTTTTATATATATATCCAGGTTTTCCCCTAACTCTCTCCCTCCTCACAGCCTTTACAGGAAATGGCAGCTCTGACAGAGAAGCTGATGAGTTCATCTAAAATAACTTCATGCTGTTCATTATTATATATGGTATATTCTGTTCTGGAGTTTTGTTTCTCTTCATCATAGATAATTGTGTAAATACTCCATATTGACTGAAATTTAACAATTTAGGGATTTTTTTCTTTTCAATTTGATATTATTTTTGTTTCTATTAATTTAGGCCCTTTATGTTAGTTCTGAAATACTTATTTCTCTTATTTCTTTTGCTTAATATCAGTTCATTCAAACTTAAATATATGATCTGAACCTGACCCAAAATTATTGCTTCTGGTGAGTTTAATACGCCACTGAATGAGGAAAAGGCCTGATATAAAGTTGTGTTAATCTATTATAGTCTAAATAAAGCAAATAGCAGCTTAACCTGCTGAGGACAGAAAGGTGCAGATGTTCATTACTGGAACCAGTGCAGCTCACTGTACAATAATGTGCAGAGCTCCAACCTGCTCTGCTCCCATCAGTCACACATCCCAGGAGATTTACTGCTGACTCACTGCAGGCTGACTGCAGGGTGACTGCAGGGTGGGTCACCCTGCAGTCCACTGCAGGCTGATTCACCCTGCAGTTACAACAAGAGACAAAATGGAGCTGGAAGATGCTGAACACAATCTAAAAATGAGAGAAGTTACACTGATTACTCAAATTCTGGTCTAAAAACAAAAGCAGTGATCATTTAATTAAATTAATATGTCAGGTTTATGAGCTCATTTATCAGGTACATTTGTTCCTGGGTTTATTTTAGGTGGCATTTTCTGGGAATCTTCCTCTCTGCTCCTTGTTTTCTCAATTTGTGGATAATGTGTGTAGTTGCTGTTTTCTGGAGTCCCAAACACTGAGAGGAAAATTTGTAACTGTTTATAAAATGTTCTTTAAAAATGGATATAAGAAGCACATTTTCTTTGATTATATTCTAATATTCTAATTATGGATTTGATCAGAGAGAAAAAAAACAGATACATTAAGAGATATCAAAAATCAGAAATTATTACCAGTAATAATGAAATTTCATATGCAAGTATGTTACATTATGCATATCAGTAGGAATACAAATAAAATTTCCAAGAGATGTTTTCTGAAAGCTTAAAAAGTGGTAAATAAAATACTTAAAAATAAAATTTTTACATTTTTAATCTAACTTAAAATACATTCAGGCGAGGCTCCTCAGATCCAAGCTGTGCTGGTTGTTGAAACCTTTGTAGAGTTTGTTTCTCAGCTCTTTTCCTTTATGTCAATGAGAAAACCTGCAGTTGAAAGTGTAAGGCAGCGCTACACCGCCCTCTAGTGGTCAGTTTGAAAACAGGAGCAGAAAAGTTGTCAACCCTGATTAAATACTTTACTACAATAATATTGTTTTACATAATATGAAACAAAACACTGATAACCTTCAGTACCACATAGGTAAATTATTGCTTTTGTGGTGAGTTTAATGAGCCACAGAAAATGAATCAGGAGAAGGGATGATAATAATCTATTTCTTATATTCTAAATCGCCAAACAAAGCAGTGGAAATTTAATTAAAACAATGTGTCAGATTTACATTCATGAGCTCCATTGTCAGGTAAATTTGCTCATGGAGTCATTTTAGGAATCCTTTTCTGGGAATCTTCCTCTCTACTGTTTATTTTCTCCAGCTGTGGATAATGTCTGTATATATGTACTTTATTCAAAAGACTCATGGTCCATAAGATACATAACAACACAACATACAAAACAAGAGAAAATAAAAAATAAAATACAATAAGTGGTCATAAAATATAAATATAAATCTTATAGAAGACTTGTATACCAATGTTTCCACAGAGCCGACTGGTATCTTAGCGCACTAACAGAGGGATGTGAAAACATTACAAGAAGATTGTTTGCTGAGTTACCCAAATGACACATAAACTTGTATATCAGATTTCTCAAAAGTGCCTGAAATGTTCTTACATGGGCGTTTCAGAACATTTGACTTGCACTGCTGAACCTGGGTTTCTTGATCAAAATTCTCAGAGTCATTATAAGCAACCTTAAGCTTCTGCACATTAGTTTTTTTTTTAATTTGCACCACAAAGGAGCTGTATACAAGGATGTACAGTAAGCTTTAAACGGGCTTATTTTTACCTCATCAGAGCACAAATCAAATTTCCTCCCCAGAATGTTTGCCTGGGCGTATAACATGCGACACTGCCTATAGATGTCATCATCATCAGAGAGCTGGTCTGTGATGTAGTGACCCAGATACTTAGTTTTGGAACAAACATCTAACTTTTGCCCTGACAGAAAAAAATCAGGGAAACAGAGTTGTTTGTCAGCTTTAGTTCTACAAACTGGTACAACAGTTTTCTTAGCATTATACTGCACATCAAATCTCAACCCATAATCAGAGTAGATATTCAATAACTGCTGAAAACCAGCACTGCTGGTCATCAGAAAGTGATTGACCAAAGTATCACCAATCATACACCCGGTTTTACAGAGGTTCATTTCTTTTGATAGGTCATCCATATACAAGTTAAACAGGGCAGGTGAAAGAAGCCCACCCTGCTGCACACCATTACTAACACCAAAGGGAGCAGAGATGTTATTTCCCCATTTTACATGCATTTTCTGGTTAGATCACCAGTAAACTAAATTTCGTGTAATAATATCTGGAACACCTCTTTTTTTTAATTTGTCAAATAACTTATTGTGATCAACACGATCAAAGGCCTTAGAGGCATCAATAAACCCAAGTAACACAGATGAATTTTTCCTTAAGTATGTTCTTACAGCTTCTTTCAGGCCGTAAATACAGAAATCCGTTCCCAGCTTGGCTTTAAAACCAAATTGATTATCTGTTGTACTAATAAACTGATTGAGCCGACCAAGCAAAATTTTCTCTAATACTTTAGATAACACACTAGCCAAAGCTATGGATCTGTAGTTATCAAGGCTGTCAACCTTATTAGTTTTGTCCTTAATTACTGGCACAAGGGTAACAGTTAGTAAGGAATCAGGCAACTGCCCATGGGTCAAAAACCCAGAAAAACACATTGCAAGCAGCACAGACACTTTTTGGCTAGCATATTTCAAATGTTCTGCTGCAATGCCATCAGAACCTGTTGCCTTATTCTCACACAAATTCACTATAGCCAGCTGGATTTCACTAGGGGTTATTATAACCACATCATTCTTAGCAATGTTTCCCAGTCCATAGGGTTCATTTTTTGTTGTGTTAGTCTATTTATGTTAATAAGTGAATCTTGATGATTTTATAGCTTTTGTGGTAATTATGCTCAGGCTGTGAGTTCAAAAACCGTATTAAATCAAAATTAATTCAGAACATTTTAAATTTTCTCTAGATTTTTCCCTTTAACTTGTATTTTTGTTTTTACTCAGGTCCTTTTTGCCTGACATTAAATTAAGTTTGACTTCAAACACAAACAAAAGAAAAGAGCAATTAATACTAACTTTAGCTGAAACCCTTAAAAACACTGATGTGTTCTTCAATGAAGGCAAAACACTTTGTTTTGTTTAAAATTTAATTTTATATCAGTCCTAGTTTAAGTGTGGATTTATAAGACAACAAAGGTAATTTATTATCTATTCAATGCAATATTCCCCAGTCACTTTGACATGTAAACCAGATGATGTAAAACAATACGTTTAGCAGCATTTATTGTTTTCATCAAGCTTTATTTGTGATTCTATATTCAGAACAGAAACATTAACAAACACTGGAAATCAGTTCAAACAATCATCACAAAGTGAGAATTATTGCAAAAAGTGAAAGAATATTGACGTGAAAATCATTGTGAATCTAGTTTATTTACTGTCATTTTCTATTTATGACAATCTTTCTAGCAATAATATATATTTTCCAAAAGCTTAACAAGTGGTAGATGAAATACTTTGAAATAATAAGCAAACACAAACTAACTTGAAGGAGTTTTACTCTGACTGGAGATTGACTGCATTTATTAACACAATGAAAGAAACAGAATCTAGTTTGTTGTTTTCTGTTCTCCATGTTTTTATAACGAAACTTGCAGTTCAAATGTTTTGTTTTCAGATTGATGCAGGCATTGTCATGTTTGTATGAGCAGCAAGTTTCCAACTTTCACTTTTTACATTCTGTTTTTAAACATAGTCTTAACACGATGACCTAAGTGGTTTCCACCTTTAGCCAAATTATAGAAAGGATTATTTTTCTCAGCTTCTTCTCTGGCCTTAGATTCATGCTGGGACTGCAGCTTGGATTTTGCTTCTTGAATTTCTCTTTCCTGTGTTTCACTCCTCTCCTCTGCCCCTTCCTCATTCTTCTCTCTCCTCTCCATTTTTCTCCTCTTACTGTCCTCCTCACTCCTCCCCATTTTCTCCTCCATCTCTTTTGTTTTACTCTTCTCCCACTCCTCTTCCTCCTTCTTTCTTTCAGATTGGAATTGCTCCTTCATTTTCTGAATCTCTTCCTCAAACTCTTTTCTTATTTCTCTCTCCAGTTCTTCTTTCTCTTTGCGTATTTTCTCTTCTTTCTCCTTCAGGATGCGTTGTTTCTCCTCCTCCACTGCCCTCTCAGCCTCTTGGAACATCTCATTGGTGTAGTGACTTCCTCCATTCCTGTCAACAATGGTTCTGATCTTCTTCAGCAGCTCAGTGACTTGAGGTTTCTTATCTTTCAGCTTGTTGTTGAAGACATGATACTGGTTGTTACATCTGGACACCAGATCCTGCAGCTCTGGGCTTTCAGACAAATAATCTTCAATGGTGGTATCACCAAGATCGTCTCCTTTGGTAAACAGAACCATGCTGTATCTGTCTGCTGCCTCTCCAAAGATTTCTTGAATCTTTTGCACTGATTGTTTTTCTTCTTCTGTGAATCTGCCGATTGCAACGACCACCAGGAAGATGTGGGGTCCAGGAGAAGCGTAACAGATGCACTGACTCAGATCTTTGATTATCTTATCTTCTCCAAATCTGGTGTCAAACAGACCTGGAGTATCAATCACTACAACCTGCTGTCCATCAACATCACTGGAGCCCTTGGAGCAGTTCACAGTCAGGGATTTGGCGCTGCCTTTGGATTCAAAGCACCGTCGACCCAGAATGGTGTTTCCAGTAGCGCTCTTCCCAATCCCAGTCTTCCCCACCATCACAATCCTCAACACGTTGTTTGTAATGTTGGTTCCTGTGAAAAAGACAATTTGAATTAGAATCATCATGTTGCACTCAGAATGTCAGACTTTGTGTATCTGGTAGAGAGGATAAGATGCAGCTGAAATCTTAGACATTAAGGGAATCAAAGACGTGGCGGACAAGATACTGATGAAACCATGTATGGATGAATTATGTCTTACATTAGTTTTCTTTTTATATTCGAAATAATAAAAACACAAATTTACATCTAATTACCAACATGTTTATATTTTTATTTCAGGCTCCAGATTCCATGAAAATATATATTGTCAAAGAAGGATTCTGTGATTTTAAATTATTCGCACTTGTCACCGACCTGCAGCCTTCAAGATCTCCAAGATTTCTAAAGTCTGGCAGCTTCACATCAGAGTTGAGTTCCAAATTATTCATGTTTAGCAAGAGATGCAGAGTTTATAGCAGTGGTTTTTAACCGGGGTTCTATCGAATCCTAGGGCTTCGGTGAGTCGGTCTCAGGGATTCGGCGGAGCCTCCGCCACGAAGGTCAAGACACACCCGAGTCATATAAAGTAAGGGTTAGATGTGGTGAAGGAGTTTTACTCTAAATGGAGATTTACTGCATTTATTAACACAATGAAAAAAACAGAATCTAGTTTGTTATTTTCTACAGAGCTCCCTAGGGAAAATGGAGGATGTTTTTTTTTTTTTTGCGCTACCTCTCAAAATTATTGTATTCCCTCAATAATCAGTACATTATTGTGAGAATGCACAATGATGTACTGATCTCATGTGACACAAATGAATACAGAAAGCCTTTCTTAAGGCCCCAACACACTCGGGTGGACGTCTGCCACACATGTCCACGCAAGGATAGATTTTTAGGACCTCATACTCAGTGTCGCACATTAAAATACCAGGTGGAAACAGTGTTCACATCGAACTGGTTTTCATGAGACACGGGGCTAAGGTTGAGAATAAGGGTTTTATGAGTTCATATTGTTTCAAAGTTGACATCAACATGATAAAAGTTAACATAAATGATAAATGGACTGAACTTATATGGCGCTTTTCCAGTCATTTTGACCACTCAAAGCGCTTTACTCGAGACTCACATTCACCCATTCGCACTCACAAACACTTATACACCGTTACGCAGACCGGTAGGCAATTTGGGGTTAAGTGCCTTGCCCAGAGGCACATCGACACGTGGGAGAAGGAAGCTGGAATCGAACCTACAACCTTCCGATTGCAAGACGAGTACTCTGCCATCCAGCCACAGTTGTCACTGGGACGTGATAGACACGTTAGCGAAAATGCTTGACAGCAACAGACTTTATATATTCACACAGATATTGACCTGGTCAATTATGGAGAGTTATAAGAACAATAAACAAGACATCTGAGTTTGACTTATTTTTTTTGAACAATGGCAAGCAAAGGATTATCGGGTATCTGGTCATTTTCGATTGCTGCACAAATTATTGCATCGATCACAATGGTGATCAAAACATAATAAACCAAGCTCATTGAATGGATCCCTGATTAAAGCTAAAGCAGCACAGTCTCCTGCTGCTCCTCTGCCAGCAGGAGGCTGTGCTGGCTCCGAGAGGCGGTTCACCCATGAACCGGCATGTGACCGCCATTCTCTGTCCCGCACTGAGAGGCGAGTTAAGGCTCCCCAGATGGAGAAGAAACGGAGCTAGGCACCCAAAATGTTCATTAAAATTGCTAGTATTTGTTAGGATTGTGTGAAATAAAGGAATTTATCACGAGATAATTTTAGGTAATCAGTATACTCGAGTATGAAGACCCAACTGTTTGTGCGGTTCATGGAATGTGCTCAGCACACCCGAGTATGTGGGAGCCCTTTAGGGTAGCCATCGTACTTTCTGCTTTAAAATAAGGTTATCGTGAGGTTTTTCCATGTTGTTAATATCTTATTGTGAAATACCTCAAGTTTTACATCTTTTTCTCTAGGATAGAAATGTACCACAAACTTATGATATAGACAGAAACTTTCCATAAGACAGAAAGAAAATAAAAACACATCCAAACTATTTGGGCTATTTCTGAGTTATTATCACCACTATCAGATAAGGAGTCATCTGATAGTTTTGATTATGTCTCTGTTGTGCTGGTTGTCTGAATGGTTTAAAGGGCCGTTTTCAGTTCCATCTCAACCTCAACAAACATAAACATGCAGTGAATAAATCGATTTTCAATCTGTTTTTTACACCAAAGACTAAATAATAAGCATGTTTTCACTGAGGCTCTTCAAATGCATATATATTTGAAATTATAAACTGACTGTATACAAAATAGACCAGCAAATATTGCAATAAGTATATTGCAAGGGAACACAAAAGAAACCCATTCCCCCCACAACCCTTAAAGAGCTCTGCTGTTTGCTGTTCTCCATGTTTTATACTTAAACATTTTCAAAAAAAAATCTTCCAGTAGAGATTTGTTGTTTTCATATTCCTGAAGTCATTGTCATGTAAGAGTGATAGGTTTACAACTTTTACTGTTTAACTATGAACAAACTCTTTAAAAGATTACCAATGTTCTCTCCAGGTGTAGCCAAAAGAAGGACAGAATTATTTTGCTCAGCTTCTTCTCTGGCCTCAGATTCATGCTTAGCCTGCAGCTTGGATTTTGCTTCTTCGATTTCTTTTTCAAACTTCCTCTTTTTCATCCATCTCAGCCTGGAATTGCTCCTTCATTCTCTCCATCTCTTTCTCATACTTCTCTCTTATTTCCCTCTCCAGTTCTTCTTTCTCTTTACGTATTTCCTCTTCTTTTTCCTTCAGGATGCGTTGTTTCTCCTCTTCGAGTTTCCTCTCAGCCTCTTGGAACATCTCATTGGTGTAGTGACTTCCTCCATTCCTGTCAACAATGGTTCTGATCTTCTTCAGCAGCTCAGTGACTTGAGGTTTCTTATCTTCCAGCTTGTTGTTGAAGACATGATACTGGTTGTTACATCTGGACACCAGATCCTGCAGCTGTGGGCTTTTAGACAAATAATCCTCAATAGTGGTATCACCAAGATCGTCTCCACGGTAAACAGAACCATGCTGTATTTGTCTGCTCTCTCTCCAAAGATTTCTTGAATCTTTTGCACTGATTGTTTTTCTTCTTCTGTGAATTTGCCTATTGCAACGACCACCAGGAAGATGTGGGGTCCAGGAGAAGCGTAACAGACGCACTGACTCAGATCTTTTCTGGTTTTATCTTCTCCAAATCTGGTGTCAATGACAGCAACCTGCTGTCCATCAACATCACTGGATACTTTGGAGCAGTTCACAGTCTTGGAAGTGGAGCTGCATTTGGATTCAAAGCACCGTTGACCCAGAATGGTGTTTCCTGTAGCACTCTTCCCAGTCCCAGTCTTCCCCACCATCACGATCCTCAACTCATTGTCGTTTGTAATGTTTGTTTCTGTGAAGAAGAAAATTTGAATTAGAATCATCATGTTTCACTCAGAATGTTAGACTTTGTGTATCTGGTAGAGAGGATAAGATGCAGCTGAAATCTTAGACATTAAGGGAATCAAAGACGTGGCGGACAAGATACAGATGAAACCATGTATGGATGAATTATGTCTTACATTAGTTTTAATTTTCTTTTTATATTCGAAATAATAAAAACACAAATTTCCATTCAATTACCAACATGTTTATATTTTTATTTCAGGCTCCAGATTCCATGAAAATATATAATATATTGTTAAAGAAGGATTCTGTGATTTTAAATTATTTGCACTTGTCACCGACCTGCAGCCTTCAAGATCTCCAAGATTGTTAAAGTCTGGCAGCTTCACATCATACAGTTGAGTTCCAAATTATTCATGTTTAGCAAGAGATGCAGAGTTTATAGCAGGGTGCCCAAAGTCGGTCCTCGAGGTCTGGCATCCTGCTTGTTTTAGTAGTAACAACCTTTTCAGGATGTCAATGTTCTTCTTGATGAGCCATCATTTGATCCAGGTGCGTTAATCCAGGGAGAGAACTAAAACACAGGATGCCGGCTCTCGAGGACCGACTCTGGGAACCCCTGGTCCACAGTGATGTCTTCATATAAGACTAAGCACCATGTTCTTAGCGGGCCTGGCAGCAGTGGTGAGAAGGACGTTGCTGACCACTGTCAGTCTCATACCTTATTTGGAAATCGAACCATTGAACTCCAGAAGTAAAGGGGGAGCTCTTCCTTATATTATTCCCAATCTCCCTTTTTATTTTCTGTTGATATCTGTGATACATCTTCACCTTTAGGAAGAAGTTGAAAAAGTCGGCATGTATTTAAACATCTCTCTTTAATTTACTTCAGCGCAGCTTCATTTACAATGAAGTTTTACAGTTTTTAACAAACTCTGTATCTTTCTGTATTCTTCTAAATCTGCCTCTTAGTTGCATCTTTTCGGGCTTGCTACTGCCTCTAGTGAAGTGGGGGTAGTAACACAACTAATATTATTAAATTACTAAATCAAAATAGCAAAAAGTCTTTATGATTTCTTAATTTTTCATTTTCTTAAGAATGTGGAGCTAATAATAAATTACCTAAACATGAGCTGAAGAATAACAAACTTTTAAGAATATTTTGAAAGAGAGTATATTACTCATCAGTTTGAACCTCTGAACTTATGAAGGCATTACTGTTAGAAAAATTATCTAAGTTCATTTTCTAATGAGTTTATTTGAAAGGTTATGTTTTCATATTATTATTCTGTGTGTTGTTTCCTGACTCCTTTCTTTTGTGGTATACCCTTATTTGTTTTTCCAGATGTTTTCTTTGGGGTTAGAAATTAATATACTGAGTTGTCTGTTATTGATGCATCAATTGTTCATATCGTGATTCTATGAATGTGTTTTACTTTATAGAGTTATAGAGTCAAAGAAAAGCTAAATAGTTTCATCTTAATTGTCTTCTATATAAGCCTTTACCAACAAAAAATCTCTTATAATAACATATGCTGCACCACATAAGCAAAAATGTTAATTTTTGCTTGTTGTATCTGTTTAACAATTCTAGTTGTAACAACCAGATTTTATTCTTCTGTGAACCTAATTTTTTGTTATTGAAAAACTTGTGATTAATTTGTTTGTGTGAAACAAAGGCTGGATCAAAACGAAAACTAAAAACAAGTGAAGAGAATTTTGTATTTATTTACTTAAAAAAATAAATAACTGTGCTCGGGTTCAGGTGAGTTCTCTGTTTTGAGATAAAATTACTTGGTTGGTACCTTTGCCTTTCTGCAGAACTCGTTAATGCCTCACCACAGGTTTTAACACATAATTAAAGTTAATTTGTACATCACACTTTTGCTTTAAAACATCAGAAATTGAAAGGAAATTTGAATACAAAATGCACTGTGTGTTGTTTTTATTTACTTTCAGCTTTATAGGTAATGGTTTATAAAAATCCTCCTGGATTACTCAACAAGCGCTGCGAAGCCTCAACACAAAACACACATCACCACAATATATTACATTAAGCTTGTTGACAAAGGTACTAATATTGTTGTGTGTATATTCAAAAGAGGGGAGGACTGGTTACATTTGTTTGAATAACCTTTTGGGGAGAAAGGTACTTATCTTTTACTTGAGTGATATTTTTACTGCAACTCTTACTTGAATAGATTGATTTTGAATTTAAAGAAATAAACATCAGATATTGGAATTCATACGGTTTCACATTTACACTCAGTTAAATTAATAAGCACATTCAATGAATATTTATCTTAATGTAGACATATATGATTGACACATTTAAATATCAAGTTGTAGTACAGGCACAAAACCATCCTGTTGATTTTTCAATAAACAGTTAAGATAAAAGTAATATTGCCAAACTTACTGCAAATGTTCTCAGAGTAAAATTAAATTCTTGCCGGTTGCAAACAAGGCAGCAGCAAAGGGCTGTTTGGTTACAACTCGTGTAAAAAGAGGGGAGTGGACCGCTCCACTGCTTGTAGTGACTAGTAGATGTTTTTATGTCATTATGCACAAACAGTCAGTAATAATATTTACAGACATGTAAGAAAATGTACAGAAAGGAATCATAACTTATATTAAAATATGTATGAGTCTATTAAAAATATAAGCAGAATTTAAGATGTAATTATGGCATGTATTCAGAGAAAAATAGATGCACTTTGTAGCACTTTTTATTGTAGCACTTCTTGTGTTACGAGCTATAGCACTTTTTATATGCCTTTCAATAAAATTAGAATAGACATCCTCTTTGTTCAGAGGTCGTCAGCTTGCTATGCTTAGGGAGCTCTATAGCATTCAATGAGAGCACCCTGAACTTCAATTAATGAAGAGAAGGGGATACAACATGTGACCTGACCAAGCATCCATATATGGAGTGAGAATGTGTTGTTATATACAGTCATATTCAATAAATTAGAATAGCCAAAAAGATGAGACTACAGTTACCTTTTGAAAATAATATTTAAGCTGGCATTAAGTATTTTCATCAAGCCCTGCTTTGTGTTAAACTTAATCTATATCATGTGTTTCAACTACTAATGAAGTTTCTAAAATAAATGGGCTTTTAGTAATGTCCTAATTGATTGAATAGGCCTATAAGTTTTTGTTGTATACTTTCTATATCAGCATAAACTCAACATTTAATTATCCTGACTTACCACGGATGGAGGTCTTGCTTGGGGTGCCGCTGTTGCTTGCCATGATCAGTCAGAGAGAGCAGTGTGGACAATGGAGCTCCAGTGAAATGATGAATATAAGTTTACAAGACTTAAACAGCCCTGCAGAACTGAAAGTGAAGTTTTGATTGGCTCCCTCTGCTGTTTTATGTGCTACACTTGGCTGACAATCAAGAACACACTGTAGACTTGATAAGTGTGTGGAATATTTCCAAGATGTCGCCCTGCTGGTTGTTGCTTTGTCTTTGACAGTAAAATCTCCAGTGACACAATAAACAGAACAGGTACAAAACATTCTTTCACAAACAGAACAGAAACGTTGAAACATTCCTTCTCCTCCACCTCATCTCTATGCTGTAACCCAGTAGATGAGCTGGTAGATAACTTATGTACATTTATATCTTCACTATAATATAAATGTAGGTTGGTTTTCTAGCTCTTCTATTTCTTCTCCACATTTGCAATAAATGGGAAAAACGCTGCAATAAACAGCAAACAAGTGAGATTAAAACAAGCTCCATGGTGTTCTGCATGTCTGAGTGTTGTTCCTCTGAGGCAAGTATATTTAATTCCTGTTGCTCATATTACATTCTACATCACACAATTTAAACATATTTCTGATTTAACTATCTTTATATAGAATTTAACCATTTATGAAAAGATTATAAAAAAAAGATACATCACACATTTGATCCTTTATTTAACAAATATAGTGAAATATTTGTTCAGATTATCAGTAGGAACAGAAATAGAATATCTGAAATTTAATTGGTGTTTAATGAGGAGAAATTGTTTAAAAAGTATTTCCCATCGTATTCTGATCTAGACCTCAAAAACACTCACCATTGCTATACACAAGATATGAATTAATGTGAGGCCCTGACTACAAGACTAAACATGTGAATGCACCCTAAGTTCAATGCACAGAGTTTCAGAAAATCTTGTGCTTAAATTAAAATATTCAGTCTCACAGAGATGATGTTGCTTTGGAGACTGTCAAAATTTAAACCACAATTTTATCAGAATGTTTTCAAACCGGGTTAAATGTAGCCCTAAATGTTATCCATCCATCCATTTTCCGGTCACCCTTCTCCCTAACGGGGTCGGGAGGTGCTGGTGCCTCTCCAGCTGCGTTCCAGGATACACCGTGGACAGGTCGCCAGTCTGTCGCAGGGCAACACAGAGACAAACAGGATAAACAACCATGGACACACACAAGGAGAATTTGGAAAGACCAATTAACCTGAGTCATGTTTTTGGACTGTGGGAGGAAGCCAGAGAACCCAGAAAGAACCCACGCATGCACAGGGAGAACATGCAAACTCCATGCAGAAAGACCTCGGGCCGAGAATCGAACCCAGGACCTTCTTGCTGCAAGGCAACAGCGCTACCCACTGCGCCACTGTGCAGCACCCTAAATGTTATGTATATGTTTTATCTTTAATTCTTTTGTAAGTGTCAGTGAAATAATTTATGTTTTGAAAAGATTTGTTTATTTCTGATAATTAGGATTATATATTTTAAGTTTGGTTCAAGTTCGAGAGTTGTGTGGAATAATTGTATTTTATGTTTTGTCGAACTGTTTGTCGGGAGTTGTCGCGAGATTTTATGTATGTGAGACTGCGAGACTTAAAAGGAGAAAAAAAGGGGGAAAACGTAGCAGAAGCCTGAATAAAGCTACAAGTAGCAGCCTCGTGGTTATAAGGTATTTCAATTATGTTTGTAATTTTTTGTTAATATATCGATTATAGTGTTTTAATTACTTGCTATTTTAATTTAGAGTGGACGATTGAGTTGAGATAATTGATTTGTGAAAGTCCTCTGAAGTGGCAGGCGACCATGAGGTAATTTGTCAAAACACGTGTCACCTGTTTTTTGTAAGTGTGTCTATGTCTAAAGCTGTTTTTTATTTCTGTAGTTTTCATGGCGTTTAATAAAAGAGCCCGTCAAAAGAAAGCTGTGCCAGTGTGTCACTTTGGAGTTACACCTTTTATGTTCTTTTAGTGCGGGGTATCGGTTTATCAGTTATATTCCAGTATAACATAAAGTTATACTCGAATATATTCCAGTATAACATAAAGATAAAGTTATACTGAAATATATTCCAGTATAACATAAAGATAAAGTTATACTGGAATGTATTCCAGTATAACATAAAGATAAAGTTATACTGGAATATATTCCAGTATAAGATAAAGTTATACTGGAATATAACTGGAAAGCTATATCTGAGCTTTCCTGTAAATGAGCTATTAAACACAACATTGAATTGGTGCAATTAGTTTCTCTGCTTGGAGGAAATGTATTGTAAAAGCATGTCTTTCTCCACCTTTGACAAGAAATGACTGTACTTACTGGAACTACAAACTGTGGTACAACCTTTTATGGCAATAGTTTTATGACGTGTTTCGCAAATTACCTCATTTTGTTCGACATCTTCCATATAAAATCAAACCACAGCCAAATTATTGATCCACCACTGTTTCTCTTTGGAACTAGACTGGTTCCTCTTCAGTTACCGTCTCATTCACTGCAAGTGTCAATCATCGGGGTGATTCTAGGATCTGACCTTTATGGATGCTTGGCCCCCAGCAGGGCTAAGACCCATGAGAAGATATCTGTTAGTGCAGTTTTCTAAATATAAATGCTTATTTACATACATTCACAAACAAATTAAGAGACATTATCAGTCATTCATAGAATAAAAGAATATTCATTTCACATTTTATTTCGTGTGGAACTATTTCTGTTATCGAGATTTGCATGTATATGATAGACTGCGAGATTTGAGTAAACGTTGCCTGGATCGGAGCAACATTTAGCAGCCTTGTGTCTCCTGTCGCTGTCAAGAGTGGACAAGACAAAGACTGTTTCTTAGAGTCCTCCAAAGTGGCAGGCGGCCACGAGTTGTCACTTTGGAGCTACATTCACGGTGTTCTATGAGATTATCATATACATGCAGAGTACGCATGCCTGCGCATGCATATTAAGAAGTCCGATCGTCAGAGGAGCTGTCAGTTCAGCATACAGGACAAGTTATGACCAAAACCTGTCGTGTATGTAATTCAATTGTTTTCAATGATGACTACAAAGATTTACAGGCATTGTCGTGGTTTCAAAGTGTATTTAAAGCAGGGTCCAGCTGCAGCTGCAGTGAACTACAACACACTCCCGTGTAAAACTCGCCTCCTTGTTGCTTGATGACGGTCTGACTGGCTAACCTCTGAGTCAGGATGACATATAACTGTTAATATCAAAGTGTATGACAATCTCTGTCATGATTATATGTTGCTGATTAAAAGAAACTCATATGGTAAAGACAGCGTATTCTTGTCTGACAGATAAAGCCGTCACTTTGTGCTAACCTTATGATGATCTGATAGAGCCGCTGCTCCTCCGCATAGAGAGGAGTCAGTTGAGGTGGCTCGACCATCTGGTCAGGATGCCTCCTGGACGCCGCCTGGTGATGTGTTCTGGGTACGTCCCACAGCGAGGAGGGTCCAGGGAAGATCCAGGACACGCTGGAGGGGCTATGTCTCTCGTGTGGGCTGGGAACGCCTTGGGATTCTTCCGGAGGAGCTGGGACAAGTGGCTAGGAGAGGGAGGTCTGGGCCTCCCTTCTGAAGCTGCTACCCCCGCGACCCGACCCTGGATAAGCGGAAGACAATGGATGGATGGATGGAGGGGCGGGCGGGCAGGCAGTCATCTGGCTGTTTATTCCAAGTGGTCGCTACAGGAGATAAGCAACATGTGACGCGGAGGGAACCTGACCAAGCATCCATATACAGTATGCTGAGTGGGGAGTGAGAATGTGTTTGTCAGGTTTACATTTATGAACACATTTGTCAGGTAAATTTGCTCATGCAGTAATTTTAGGGGTGCACTGTAAAGGTTCTTCTCTGCTCCAAGTGGAGATTTGTGGATAATTTTTGTAATTGTTGTTTTCTGGAGTCCCAAACACTGAGAGGAAACATTGTACCTGTTTCTATAACGACACGTCAATGACTTTCTTCTCATCTCTTCTTAAATTTCCTCAATTCAGGAAATGTTTCTTTTTGAGCTATTTACCCTATTATATGTTAGCAGGCAGGTGCTTTTTAAGATTAAGAATACTTGATTGTTTAGAACTTGTAAAAAGTAGTGACAAATTAAAGTTAATTCACAATATATCCACTTTTCTCTAGATTTTCCCTTTAAATTGGACTGTATTTTTGTTTTTACCCAATCCCTCTTTTGTCAGCCTTTAAAATGTGTTTGACTTGAAACATGAAACAGTGATAAGTTCTTTAACAACACAATTTTCTCCTAAACTGTGAATTTTATGTCAGTCCTAGTTTAAGTGTGGAATTACAAAGCACAACTAAACTAATTTAATATCAATTAAATACCACAACATTCCCCAATCCCTTGTAAAGCAGATAACAGCTGAGCAAATTTAAAAGTCAACCAGTCTAACAGTATTTATTCTTTTGATCAAGCTTTATTAGTGATTTTATAGAACAGGGTGACACAAAATATCTCAACATTGAAAAACACTGGAAATCAGTTTAAACAATCATCACAAAGTAAGAATTACTGCTAAACTATTGTAAAAAGTGCAAGAATATAGACACATGTTCATTGACATGAACATGTGAGTTTAGTACATTTACTGTCATTTTCCATTTATGTTATTTTTATAGCAACAATATATATTTCCCAAGAGCCTCCAAAAGGTTCAAAATTGATACATAAAATACTTAAAAATATTATCCAAACATTTTAATTGAATTTAACATGAACGAACATTAACTATTTTTTTTTCAAACAGAAAGTGTATTGAGAGACGGCAGGTGGAATAGCCTTAAGTGTCCTTTACACCCAAACCTAATTTCTCCAAAATCATTCAAATATACCAGTCATTTAACAGACACAGAAAAACTCCTAATTATTCATACTCTTTGCAGGAGTGAAATCCTATGATGGAGGTGTGCTGCTTCTTCCCAAAATGGAGAAACATTTGTGTTTAAATAATATCAATATGAAAAGATAAAAGAAACAAAATAAATCTGTCATTTATGTCAGAAAAAAACAATAACAAGAATAAATTTTTTATTTATTTAGCTGTTAGCTGTTAGCTTTTAGCTGCTAGACTTTAGCTGTTAGCTGCTAGTTGTTAGCTTTTAGCTGTTAGCTTTTAGCTGCTAGGCTTTAGCTGTTAGCTGCTAACTGTTAGCTGTTATCTGTTAGCTGTAGCTCTGCATTACAAATAAAAATCCCTGCAGCAATTAAATACTTAAAACAAAAGACATGTAATACTTTTTATTTACATTCACTGTTCCAATAGTGAACAGTGAATGTTTATTAACAATAAAAATCAATTGTTGTTTTATTACTTTGAATCATGATAAACTGCTTCATTAACAAAACTGCTACACTTTCATAGACCTAAGCTTTTTTGTTGTTGTTGTTAAAGGTAGCAAACATCTTATTCATATTTAACTCGATCTTTTAGTTAATTATAAGAGTTTGAAATGAGAGGCTGAGAAACTGAACCCAGCTCAGAGTATGGGAGCAGAAGAGAGAACAGACAGAAAAAACTGAAAATGATGCCTTTATTTCTCACTGTCTTCAGTGTAGAGCCTTTAAATCCACAAAATAAAATCAGAAGATTTTATTCTGGCAAAATAAATATCAGAACAATATTCTGATATTATTCTGGTGCTTTAAATGTTACATTTAAATTATGATACTTCCCAGATATTCATTTCGATGTTGTTTGTTCTCCATCCCCCAGATCATAGCAAAACTAAAAAAGACTTAAAAATAAAGCAACTTAACAAGTTATTATTTAAATAGCCCATAACTTGTATTGGAAAGCATTTCAATAAATCAATGTTTATGAGGTATTTTAAAGCTTTTTTATTTAGAACCTTAAATTTTTGTAGAGGTGTAGCAGAGATTAGATCAGTGAGACGAAACAAAACTTGCATAGAAACATTTGAATTTTAGTTTTAGTTCTCAACAATTTGTTCACTGAGAAAAACCTGTTTGATGTGCATTACTGGTCATTTTAGGTCCTGCAGCCTGAATGTGGTTGAAAACCTTTTTAAACCACATCTTATGTCATATTTCACTGTAACTTCACCGACCCTCCAAAACTGGTCTTAAGAAATGTTGCTGTTTATGGTCCCATCCAATAATAAGATGGGATTTACGTTCTTGGTTGAACCTCTGGGAAACTTGAGATGAGGTTCTCATGCAGGGAACATCCATGGTCTGGCTGAGTTTTGATGTCATGATGTGTAAGTGTAGTGTCTTATTGACTTGATTTATTAACACAATAAAAATAAATTAAATCTGGTTTGTCATTTTCTGTTCATCTTTTATACTTTGAGAAATGTTCAGTTTGGGATTAGCTCTTTTATATTTCTGCAATGATCCTGATGTTTGAAAGAACATCAGGATCATTGCATTAAATCTCACCATTTTATTTTTACCACTTTCTAAAAATTCGATTTTTCATTTTCTTCCAAAATCCAGAAGTACCGCGATGTTCAGCTTCTTCTCTGGCCTTACGTTGTTGCTCTTGCTGCAGTTTAGCTTCTGCTTCTTGTAATTTTCTTTTGTTCTCCTCCTCCAGTAGTTTGTACTGCAGCTGGAATTTTTCTTCTTGAGTTTCCCTGATCTTCTGTTCTTCTAGTTGTCTTGTCAGGTATTCGAACTGCCTGTCTCTCTCCATTTTCTCTTCCCTTCTCATGTCCCATTGATGCCGCCTCTCCTCCGCTATCTCCTTTCTCCATTCCTCTCTTTCATGTTGTCTGTCTAACCTGTCTCTCTCTCTCTCGGCCTGGAATTGCTCCTTCATTTTCTGAATCTCTTCCTCAAACTCTTTTCTTAATTTTCTCTCCAGTTCTTCTCTCTCTTTACGCATTTCCTCTTCTTTCTCCTTCAGGATGCGTTGTTTCTCCTCCTCCACTGCCCTCTCAGCCTCTTGGAACATCTCATTGGTGTAGTGACTTCCTCCATTCCTGTCAACAATGGTTCTGATCTTCTTCAGCAGCTCAGTGACTTGAGGTTTATCATCTTTCAGCTTGTTGTTGAAGACATGATACTGGTTATTACATCTGGACACCAGATCCTGCAGCTCTGGGCTTTCAGACAAATAATCTTCAATAGTGTCCTCTTCAAGGTCGTCTCCACGGGTAAACAGAACCATGCTGTATCTGTCTGCTGCCTCTCCAAAGATTTTTTGAATCTTTTGCACTGATTGTAATTCTTCTTCTGTGAATCTGCCGATTGGAACGACCACCAGGAAGATGTGGGGTCCAGGAGAAGCGTAGAGGACGCACTGACCCAGATCTTTGGCTGTTTTATCTTCTCCAAATCTGGTGTCAAACAGACCTGGAGTATCAATGACAGCAACAAGCTGTCCATCCACATCACTGCAGACTTTGGAGCAGTTTACAGTCATGGATTTGGCGCTGCATTTGGATTCAAAGCACGGTCGACCCAGAATGGTGTTTCCAGAAGCGCTCTTTCCAGTCCCAGTCTTCCCCACCAACACGATCCTCAACTCATCGTTGATTGTGATGTTTGTTCCTGTGAAGAAGAAAGTTTGAATTATAATTAGAATCATCATGTTGCACTCAGAACTTCACACTCTGTGTATCAGGAAGACAAGAAATGATCCATCTGACACCTCAGTAAGAAACAGGTGAAAACAGAAATGGAAGTGTAACCCACATAAAGTGGGGATAGCCTTTTGGGAAATAGAGATTGGGTAGGCGGGGTGGTCTGCCTGGCCAATGGGAAGTTTGATTCCCATGAATGTTTAGACCAATCAGAGAGCGGAATGCCACAGAGGCTCCACCTTCTTTCCCGTGTTGGCAGCATTGATTGAGAGATCCAACCCTGATCAGACAGCTGAGCCAGAGTGAGAGTCTTTTGGTTTCTTTCTAATATCATTTATTGACTTTGAAGGATTTTTTTTGTAAATAGTTATTGTTTAAATCCAACTTATAAGTTAGAAAGAGTGGTAAGTTTCAGAAAACTGAACTTCAGTTTTTCTGCTGTTAGAACCACTAAGATCAGTTGGAACTGTTGCACTTTCTGGCAGTTGATTGGCAGTTGTTTTCAGTTCAACTGAAGGTACAGCCTATATAATAATGTATTTTTATTTTACTTAATTCATTTTCTTTAAGTTAAAACTTAAAAAATATGCATTTTACACTGTCTAGTGCCCTCCGTGTCTGGAATGAGAGTCCCTGTCTAGTTGTTTTGAACGTGCCGCACTGAGATCGGTGAGCATATTTTGTACCTTTCATTTGGTTTTTGTTCTTTTATCTTGTTGTCAAATAATGATCTTTATTTGACCTACTTAGTTATTAAAACGTGAACCTTTGCTGAGTTTGTGTAAAATGTAATGTTTTATTATTGTTCTTGGAAAAGGATTTTTCGAACAGTTATGAAACATAATAAACTAGAATGGTTTAATAATAATTCTATGTTTCTGCTGGTCTTGTCTGTTGACAGATCAGGTTTTTTTTTTTTTTGTTGTGTTGTTTTTGTTTTTTTTGCTTTTTCTTCTCTTCTCCTGAATTGTTCCTGGAGTGGATTCCTCTACTGACTTTGTTGGCGAGCCTTCCCACCTGGACTTAGAAAGATCTGGATTTCCTCCCATGATGAGTGAGACCTGAACCAGGATTTAATTTGATTCATTTGTCATCTAAAAGACATTAGAGCACAAACTACCAGGGTCCACCCAATAGATTTAAATTTGATATTTAGCACTTGGCCAAGTATTGTTGTTTTTATTTCATGTATTTTATTGTGTGTAATTTCACTTTCTTAATTGTATGTCTTGTCCACTTGTGAGTTTATGATTCATGTTACTAAAGCTAATTGTTTTTTTTAAATTCACTCAACTGTGTATGAGCACCCATCGTGCTCCGACAGCCGAACCTATTGGCCCATCTACCTAAAACATATTGTACCCTTCTCAACTGTGTTACAGAAGAAATATATTTTACATCAGCTTGAATTTTCTTTTTATATTTGAAATAATAAAAACTACATCTTCAATGTTCACCCAATTACCCACTTGTATAAAATTGTTATTTATATAGAAACATGACTGCTATATATTGTCAAAGCAAGAAGTTGTGATTTAAACTTACTGGAACATTATCATTGTCATTTACTGCTGCTCTGTATGCAATTATTTAATGGTTTAGGTGCAAGTCTAAACCAATTATAAAAGGTTATAAAAATCTTTTATAATTGATTTATAAAAATTAATTATAAAAGATTATTATTTAAAAAGTTGGAAAAATCCAGAATGCCAAATTTATACAGACTGTGACTGAATCTGATTATCTTTTGATATAAAACCGTGAAGGTCCATTATAGAGACTTTATAATGGTCTGAGTTTAGTTTGGTCAGTTTGTGACCAGACAGTAGCTCCATAGGACAGATGTGAGAAGATCAATGAGTTAAAAACATATTTGCACACTGAAGTGTTAGACAATTTCTAATAATTTTGAAACAATTTTTATCTGATCTAACAGTTTTGTGATTTGTAATATACCATAACATTCATATCACCATGAATATTGTGATGGGTAAACGATATTTATCAGAATATAATTAGTATAAAACAATAGAAACAAATAAAAAGGGTGAACTGTGGTGGCGCAGGGGTTTGGCACGCCCCATGTTTGGAGGCCTCAGTCCTCGTCGCGGACGTCGCGGGTTCGACTCCCAGTGACCTTTGCTGCATGTCTTCCTGCCTCTCCTTGCCCTCCTTCCTGTCTGCCTGCTGTTAAAATATATGAGCCACTAGCGCCGCAAAAACTCTTCGGAGAAAAATTAAGTTAAAAAAATGACATGCGATTGATTGGAGTGTATATATTTCTATGCTTAATAACCGCTTGAATGTTATTTTGAACATTCAAAACTGTTTTTAGTTGTTTTTGTGTTTGTTATTTACCAGTAATGTTTCACTGTTTTGTTATAATGCTGCCTATCATTGCCAAATCTCCTTCTATGGGGACCACTGAGATTATTTGGGACCCACATCAACATACGTCATTACTTTGGCAACCTTATTGCAATTATTCAGATGAAGTTACTTGACCTTGTCTTGTCATCAGCTGTATTCTGTCTGATCAGAAATTCACACATTGAGATAAAGTAAAGGTGAGAACAGGAGGGATTGTGATCATGCAATTATTTAATGTATTTGGTTGTAATTTTAAAAGAGAGAAATGTAAGGTACTGTCAAAATATCAACAGTGACTAATATCATACTATAACAGTAATTAAAATCTAGAATTGTATTAAAAGATGATGTAATTACAGAAAAGATGGCAGACAGAGAAAAGCTCCACATAAATATAGTAATGTTTAAAACATTAGAATATAAAATAATCTAACAGATAGGGCCTGTTAGTCAATTTAAAAATACTGTTTTAAAATAACATTCAAGCAGGAATTAAGCATTTTCATTAACTCCACATTTCTCTGTGTTGAAAATATTTTCTCATTGTTTTAAGTTTTCTCTAAATGTTTTAAGACATCAACCTTGTGTGTATTTGCATACATGTTTCACCCAGTCACAAAGTTCCTAAAATAAATGCACTTTTCAGAAATATGGGTCTATATATTTTGTTGGATACTTTCTACATCAGAATAAATTCAACAATTAGTTATTCTGACTTACCAAAGCTGGAGGGTTTTCTTCGGAAGAAGCTGTTGCTAGCCATGATCAGTCAGAGAGAGCAGTGTGGACACTGGAGCTGCAGTGAAATACTGAATACAAGTTTACAAGTCTTTAAAAGCCCTGCAGACAAACTGAGTTTTGATTGGCTCTTTCTACTGTTTTATGTGCTGCACTTGGCTGACAATCAAGGACTTGATAATCATGCCTCCTCTCCTTCTCTATCTCCTTCTCCATTCCTCTCCGTCCTGTTGTCTGTCCAACCTCTCTCAGTCTCTCAGCCTGGAAATGTTCATCCATTTTCTTGATCTCTTCCTCAAACTTTTCTTTAATTTCTCTCTCCAGTTCTTCTCTCTTTTTGTGTATTTCCTCTTCTTTCTCCTTCAGGATGCGTTGTTTCTCCTCTTCGATTTTCCTCTCAGCCTCTTGGAACATCTCATTGGTGTAGTGACTTCCTCCATTCCTGTCAACAATGGTTCTGATCTTCTTCAGCAGCTCAGTGACTTGAGGTTTCTTATCTTTCAGCCTGTTGTTGAAGACATGATACTGGTTATTACATCTGGACACCAGATCCTGCAGCTCTTTTTTGAGCTTATCAGAATGTTTTCAAACTGGGTTAAATGTAGCCGTAAATGTTATGAATATGTTTTATCTTTAATTCTTTTATTTTATTTTTAGTGCGGGGAATCAAGTTTATTCCAGTATAACATAAAGTTATACTGGAATCTTATCTGAGCTTTCCTGTAAATGAGCTATGAAACACAACATTGAATTGCTGCAATTAGCTTCTCTGCTTGGAGGAAATGTATTATAAAAGTTGGTCTTTCTCAACCTTTGACAAGAAATGACTGTATTTACTGGAACTACAAACTGTTTTGCACAAATCTCATTCAAACTACTAAATAAATTGGCTGGATAATAATTCAGCCGACTTACATCTCCATTAATTAAGCAAATGGGGAAAGTTTTATGGAAAGTTAACATTAACAATTAAGAGAGCTACTGCTAAACAAGGCAGCCAATTTTCTAATGAAATGCACAGAGAGAAAGATTCATTCTCTTCCTTTAAACATGCATATGGCTGTTTGCTGCTCCTGCTGGGATAATTCATGGAGAATTTCCAGTCTTGTCAAACCGACAGCAAACATCACCGTGATCTGTTTGAATATCTTCATGTGGAGCAATGCTTTTAAAGAAAGAAGATTTCCTTGACACAGAACATCCTTTAGTGGAAGCTGTGATCATGAAACTCTTAACTCTCTTCAGATAGTCTGACATTATATGGTACAGTAAGGCTATTGCACTGAGGTTGTCCATATCACACAGTGTCACCAAGAGTCAGTGTGTGTCTGGTGGCACGACAGCTCATGTCAGCATGAAGCTTTGGTCTTATTTTATTTAGCAGAAATCTCTGCATACAGAGAGGATCTCAGAAAGGATCAACTTTTCCAGGGTCTTTGGGATTAGGAGGTGTGGCAAACGCTGGGTTTCACCATGACGTTTTTGGTGATGTCATCCTCCTGTAGTTTCTTTTTTTTTTAATACCTTTGGAAAGTAACTACATAAAAAATATTCTTATACATAATATAAACAAAATCACACAATATGCATAAAAAATATACAAAATAGATAAATAGAAATGTAAACTAATTTGGCTTAAAAAAAACAGAATCAGCTACCAAATGGATATAAAATACATAAATACACAAATTAAACAAACTGTCACTATTCAACAGAACATTAGTTTTACAAGATGTTAAAAAGTAGTTACCCATCATGTTTTTTTAGAGACAAACATTATGTGCAAAACTAATTAGATATTTTTAAAGAAAATCTTCCTTTTAAAAATGCTCACCACCAAAATATGTCATATAAAAACCCTGCAAAGAGTAAAAGCTTGAGCACACTTCCTCATGATCTGGAACTTTGTTCATTTCCATTTTTTTCATTTGTGACAGATATCACCACTGAAAGGATGACTGTCAGTGTTTTTATTTTTGTCTTTAAGGCTTTTAGGACGGCCTCAGTGTTTGCTGGAGCTGATTGGTTCATTGCTTCTCAGAGCTGAACTCTGTGTAACCAGACAACAGAAACTGCAGAGACCAAAACACTATTGAAGTTACTGCATGTCCTTTCCATATTTCAGATATCAGCTAGTTCTGTTAAATTCAGTCCAGTCTAGTCTAAACCAGCAGACCTTGCTTCTTTGTCTTCATGGTGGTTCAACCTTGTCAGCCTGATAGCATGACGTAGTTACACCATGAAGAGTGCATATCATGATAATCTCTATTTTCCCTGGCAAGTTTTGTTACAGGTATTACGGTAAATAATATAACATGGCCTAGCTTTGGTTTATAGCCATATGTGTGTGTATGCATGCTAGTGTAGCTAACTCTCTGGTCCCTGTTCTCCCAGCTCTCAGCCAACAATCCCTGACATGGTGGTGGAGCGCCCTGCCACATGGTTTCACAAATGTCTTCAGGGGAGGGAAGAAGGGATGAGTGTTTCTCTGCTAACTGATCCTGGAGTGTGTGCAGATATACAGACAGACCTGACTGAATTTTTTAATGACAACAACAGCGTCTCACCTTCTACTTCATGGGACGAGGCTAAAGCTGTAAAGATTGGAAGGACAATAACCATCTCCTCCACATCACAATAATTATAATAATAAAAAACAGAGACTTGAAGAACATAAACCACAAGTCAAAGTAGGGGCATTTGACAAACAGCATAATAAAACATTTAAAATAATAGAGAAACAACAACAGAAACTAAATTATTTACTTATATAAGACAGAAGGAGGTCCTGGGTTTAGATGTAATGTATATAATATTTAAAAATTATATCATCAGACGGACAAAGATATAAAGTTATGAGGACCAAAATAACAATAATTCAAATAAATGACATAATTAAAAATAAGAAATGCAGGCAAACATAAAATTCATATAATTTTCCTTCAATATAAAGTAATTTAAATTTTGAAAGAAACTGCAGGTATGTGTCTGTTCTGGTGAATTTTTGGTTAAAACATGTTTGTTCTTCATTCAATGAAGTGACTCACAGTGGGGAGATAATCAATTATACTCATGTAAGAGTACTAATACCTCATCATAAAATTACTCAAGTAAAACTAAAAAGTACAGCGCAATAAAACTACAACAAAAAGTAAAAACAAACATTTTTTTCAAAAAGTTACTAAAGTAACTGTATCAAGTTATCTCCCATCTCTGCACATAAATCAGCCAGCAGGTTTTATTAAGAGGCTCCAAACTTTCTTTGCTTCTCAGCTCCGTTCCCTGTAAGGCAGCGCTACACCGCCTTCTAGTGGGCAGTTTGAAAACAGGACCAGAAAAGTTGTCAACCCTGATTAAATACTTTACTACAATTATATAGTTTTACATAATATGAAACAAAACACTGATAACCTTCAGTGCCACATAGGTAAATTATTGCTTTTGTGGTGAGTTTAATGAGCCACAGAAAATGAATCAGGATGATAATAATCTATTTATTATATTCTAAATCGCCAAACAAAGCAGTGGAAATTTAATTATAATAAAGTGTCAGGTTTACATTCATGAGCTCCATTGTCAGGTAAATTTGCTCATGGAGTCATTTTAGGAGGCTTTTCTGGAAATCTTTCTGCTGTTTATTTTCTCCAGTTGTGGATAATGTCTGTAATTGTTGTTTTAGTCTATTTCATGTTATTAAGTGAATCTTAATGATTTTATAGCTCCTGTTGTAATTATGCTAAGGCTGTGAGTTCAAAACCCGTAATAAATCAAAATTAATTCAGAACATTTTAAATTTTCTCTAGATTTTTCCCTTTAACTTGTATTTTTGTTTTTACTCAATTTAATGTCAGGTCCTTTTTGCCTGACATTAAATTAAGTTTGACTTTAAACACGTAAACAAAAGAAAAGAGCAATTAATACTAACTTTAGCTGAAACCCTTAAAAACACTGATGTGTTCTTCAATGAAGGCAAAACACTTTGTTTTCTTTAAAATGTAATTTTATATCAGTCCTAGTTTAAGTTTAGATTTGTAATGAAACAGTTAAAATAATTTATTATCCATTCAATGCAATATTTCCCAGTCGCTTCTATATGATGTAAAACAATACATTTAGCAGCATTTATTGTTTTCATCAAGCTTTATTTGTGATTTTGTATTCAGAACAGAAACATTAACAAACACTGGAAATCAGTTCAGACAATCATCACAAAGTGAGAATTATTGCAAAAAGTGAAAGAATATTGAAGTGAAAATCATTGTGAATCTAGTTTATTTACTGTCATTTTCTATTCATGACAATCTTTCTAGCAATAATATATATTTTCCAAAAGCTTAACAAGTTATACATGAAATACTTTGAAATAATAAGCAAACACAAACTAACTTGAAGGAGTTTTACTCTGACTGGAGATCGACTGCATTTATTAACACAATGAAAGAAACAGAATCTAGTTTGTTGTTTTCTGTTCTCCATGTTTTTATAACGAAACTTGCAGTTCAAATGTTTTGTTTTCAGATTAATGCAGGCATTGTCATGTTTGTCTGAGCAGAAAGTTTACAACTTTCACTTTTTACTTTTAAACAAGCCGGTAAAAGATTTAACAAGGCTACATCCAGCGTTAACAACTTCTTTTCCAGCGTTAGCGATGTGTTCTCTAGCTTTAGCCAAATGATAGAGAGGATTATTTTGCTCAGCTTCTTCTCTGGCCTTAGATTCATGCTGGGACTGCAGCTTGGCTTTTGCTTCTTGAATTTCTCTCTCCTGCTTTTCCTTCAGGGCTTCAAACTGCTTCTCTCTCTCCTTTCTCTCTGCCTCACTCCTTTCCATCTCCCTTCTTCTCTGCTCATTCATCTCCTCTCTCTCCCTCTGTCTTTCCTCATGCATCCTCTCTCTCTCCCTCCTTCTCTCCTCTTCTATTCTTTCCATCTCTCTTCTCCTCTCCTCATTCATCTCCTCTCTCTCTCTCCTCTTCTCCTCTTTCATTTCCTCCTTCTCTCTTCTCCTCTCCTCAATCATTTCTTCTCTCTCCCTCTTCTTTTCCTCCTCTCTCTCC